CTTGACAGGTATGACTAGAAGAACTGACTATATTGGGTGGGATTGAGTAGCAAAGTAAGACAGAAGTCATCGGAAATCTATTCTTAGAATTTTTGAAAATTGAAAACATAACCTGAAAGAGCATTTACAAAATGCAAATTAAAGTGGAAGTTGAATCTGTTGCAGACTGCCGAGATATAGCATGCAAAAGAACTTAGTTATCCTTTGGGACTACTGGTGATCTAGTCTGGTTCATAGATTTTGGTACCAAAACCAAATGAAAGTGTTTTGATTGAGAAAGAGCCTTTACTCAATTTGGCACATCTCCTTTGTTCTGTATCATATTAAACAGATTTTACATTCCAGAAATGGGCACAAAATCTAGTGTCATAAAACTTGGGCCTCTTGATTATGCCTCATTACTTAATTCTACTAATCATTTAGCAAAAGTGAATTTGAAGTTCATGTTAAAATTCCATCCATCCTGATGAAGAAGTATTTGTCTATTTCTTAATAAATTAATTATTCTAACATTTGGAAGTCTTGTAATCAACCTTTGTAAAATTACTAAAGTACAACATGCTTGTAATGTTCTTAATATAATGATTACTAAGTTAGGTCTAGAAAGATACAGAAAAAGCAGATCCTACAGAGAGCATATGGGGATTGAAACATTTTAAGTATTAAGCAACCTCCCATTTTGTGTGAAGGAATAAGAAAGAGTTATAACATCATTTGAGTGGAAAGGCAACACAAAACCAAAACAATGAGATCAAATTATAGCAAGAACAATAGCAAGAAGTTTGATGAAGCAAGAACCTGTGCTAATCTTGCCATATCTCTGCCAGCTTGTAACACCTTCAACTGATTTTGCCTGTGTAAAGGTAATTCACAATGCTTTTCAGGTTAGGGGATAAAAATTCAAAATTTCTAAAACAGACTTTTATGACATCATAAGTTAAGAGCTATTTTGGATGATTTTGCAGGTGAATATTATTGCTCTTTGACAGACCATTGCAATCATTTTGTTAGAACCATCAATGAAAATTTAGTTTTTCTTTTTTTAAAATTTCTCATAAGACCCATTCAAACAAATAATAATTGATTGTCATTATACTGATCTTACCTCTGCTGTATACTATCCATAGGGTTGTTTTAAATTGCCACTGCTTGCTTTGCAAAAGTATACAGAAGTATAGTCTACATTGAATCATTATAAGCCGAGCAGCTAAAATAGAAAATGGAGAAAAATCAGCTCCTTGTAGCCTCAAATTAACAACAGCTGTATCATTAAAGAGACATAATATAACTAAAAACAAAATATAACTGAAAGTATAAAGAGAGCCTTATTTAAGAAGAATATTGCATATTTTGCAGTCCTTAAGATAATATTTTAAGTATATGATTGTGTCTCAATAAATCTGGACATTTCAAAGTATGTGGTCAATGCATTAAAAACTGTGTCCAAAATTTGAAGCTTATGTAAAATTTTTATCATGTAAATTGTGTACAAGCAATAAATTACTTATTCTGCAAATTCTGTTCCTTTCAGTTTTCCAAATAGCAAATTAATCAAAATCATTGTTTTTTTTCACCAAAATAATCAATGGTGATCAAATGCTACCAGAACTCACAGAAACTAGAAAGTTATAAATTCTAAATTGAAAAAATTCTAAATTGTGTAGCTTTATTGCTATTATAATGTAATCAAAGGTGCTCCATAGTCAGAGCTTACAAGTTTCAGTGTATAGAACAGGGTGGCTCTAAATTGCAACTCCAAACTTTTCCCCTTAACGTTATGATGAGGTAACCGGATCAGGCACCAGGTATAATTTACATATTCATCAATATTATTTCAGTTATAATGATAAGCTGATAATTCATTTAGAGATATTTGCAAAGAAATCGGGATATAAAAGTTCAGGGATATCGGATTGCCATTCTATCTTTATAATTCAAACAACTAAGAAAAATTTATGAGAGAGACATTGAAGAATAATAAAGAGTAACTTGTCCTCAAACAATTTAACAAACCTTTAAATAATTACATTTCAAGGCTGAATATAGAAATGAACCCTTACCTTTTTCAGATCACTATCTATCAGAAACGCAAATTGCCGCTATCAAATTAAAAAGCAGCTTTTAATGTGACTGCCAAATATAAAATCTTTGAATAAAATCCAGTCAAGAAGTCGGAGCTCGGTAAGACCACTCTTCTGTGGTAGGATGTCTGACAGCCTCGATTTGGTGATTTCCCGCCAATATTCTTAGGGCACCTTGGCACCTTAACAAATTCTTTAAGAAATACAACACAGTATCCAGTATCCAATAAGATTAGTTGAAAAAAAGGAGAGATCTAAATTGCAAGCAAAACAGTTTGTTGTCATGCCAATAAGGTAATCCCCAAACGTCTCTTAAAGCCAAAAATGAGCAATGATCACATCTTCTGTAGTCTGCAGGTAGACTCTTTAGAGCTGATCTTTCGTGGTCGCTGTCATGTAAGGTATACTTTATATTTATATCCTTTGTTCGTAAAGTTTCCAACGTAAGCATCGAAATGAATATTCTCGTTAATACAGATTCAGTTTGTTAGGAGAGTTTGGAATTGAAGAAACCTTGGGCTAGTTTGCCCACAGTAGTATTTTAATCAACTATACACAACACAAAGTGGAGTACCATTACTCTAATGATGCAAAATAAGTGCAGAGAAACTTCAGTATTCATGCCTTTGATAAATTAACAATAAATGCTGCTTCTTATCCTTCTGTACTCTGCACATTACGACTCTTTGTAACAAACCGTTTAAAATCCCAGAGTTCGTGCCATACTAAAATTGATCACGATTTTTCAGCTGAAACATTTGTGAATGTTGAAAAACATAAAATGTTTTAAAACTTTTGAAAAAATGTGTATATTGTCCTAATGAAGTAGGCACGTTAATGTCTTCCTTGGATAAGATTCTATTTTGACATGGCTCAAGATAAAGAAAGATTTAATAAAGTTGACGATGTTGTGTGGGATGACACAAACTTTTCACTAATGACATGTTTGATGCAGTAAAAGCATTTTCAGATATTTACATCATCTCAATCTCATGTAACTAAGATGAACAAAGAAAACCAAGTTAAAAGGCGGCGTATCTAGGTCATCAATTTCTTCATAGCCATTTTGAAGGAAGAGCAGCACCTTATCAAGTTCAGTCCATCAATAGAAGAATTACCTTGTGACGTCACTCGACTCTTGCACAGTGTATGCTGGGGGAGATGATTACTAGGTAGCTCAGGTGTGCTAGGGGGTAGAGTTAGGGGGCTCAGCCCCTTGTAAATGACAAAAAGTATATAGTTTTCTAGTTCTACTCCTTTCTCGCAACATTTTTTCAAAGAGCCAATTTTGTTATTTGACTGTTGACCATGAAAAGTGCCGTTCTAAAAACCGGATTCCATCACTTTCTCCATAGGCCCGGAACATATTCAAACAGTACCCTAAAGAGGGAAGCGAATAACCCGATCCAAATGCTTTCTGCTGGCTGACAATCCGTTGTAGTGACAGTAATTTTCCGTTAGAGAGACTCCAAGAATCATTCCAGGAGTATAACAGTGAATTTAACCTTCCAATAGGAGGGGGCTAGCTTGCTCCGACGGCAATCTCTAGCCACCTTAGCCAGCAAAAAAGACCAACTCTGTTTGCAACAGAACCACCACTTGCATCAATAAGTGGTATTTGCGGCATTCTTCGGCATGTTTACTAAAACTGCCAATGAATTGTATTCAAATGGTAAGTAATGCTTTACCTGAAATTCAGAACGTATGCATTAATTGCTCTCTGGAATGTTTTGGTAGATTTTAAGAGTTCGTCTCAGGGATACAATTACTCTAAGGTCCTTAATAGAAGGAGGGTCTTGATAGTTGGGGGTCAGAAATTTTTCAGAAAATAAATTAGCGGGGATCCTATTAAGGGGGGGGGTCTTAAATGTGAAAAATCTGAAAAATCGTGTGATGATTCTGTTTTGGGGTCAAAGGAGATTTTCTTCTGAATACAATCGATAGCAAAATGACAATTATCACCATTTAATAATGTATTGTTGTATTACTAAAATGAGCAGGCTAATTATCATTGTGTACATCAGTCAGGCCTATGTAAATCTTTTTAGGATGTCACTACTTTTCTATGTTAAAACTTTTGTACAATTCAACCTCTTCATTTAAGAGAAACTTTACATAAATTTCACACCTGAACAAATGACAAATGAAAAAGGGTTATGAATGACTGCATATAAAATCAATAAACGAGGGGAGGGTCCAAATAAGCTCCAGGGGGCTTAGAAAAAAATCAAAAAATTAATAAGCGTCCCCCCTTCTATTAAGGACCTTAGAGTAGTTGAATACAAGATCAGGGCAAGGCTTTGCATCGTGAATTTCATTGAATAGTCAAAAGTCATAAGTTACCATGGTATACACTTATAAGGGGGAAGAAAAGGGGAACATATGGACAGGACCGCCGAAAGGTTTCGAAAGCCCTGGGGCAAAGCTGAAAATTTTTGCGATGCCCTTTACATCAGCTTAAATTCATCAAATTGTAAAACGTTTTACTTTTTAGGTATTATTCTTTTGCTTTTAGTTGATTCTATTCTGAAATGGAATTCATTACTTTTTGAGGCCCCCTTAACCTCGGGGCCCTGGGGCAATTTGCCCCCTTGTCCTCCCCTCTAGGCGGCGAGGATTTCAAGAAGTTGGAAGAACAAGAATAAGACGGAATAGAAACATGGTTTCAGAAAGGAGTGAGTGCTGTGAAACAACTGCCGACAGATAAAAGGGATTCATTAAATACGATTTGAACAAGATTCTAAGACAGTCTGGGAATGAAGGCTGTTTAAAAGCGCTTCCTTCTCTCGTTTATGGACATCAGAAGAAGGTTATTGCCGATTCGTGATCAACACAAAGAAATTTAAGTGAGAATTCCACAGCGATGAAAACACTAACAAACATAACTTTACTCCTTTCCATGACAAAAAAAACAATCAGTTATCGTTCATCATTTTTTTACAAATATAAACGTTTCGACAATTGAAAAGCAGAGCTAATTACACTTAAAACGTTTTAGCAGCAACGGCATTTGACATAGAAGATTATCTTTCATTCTATTTCAACCTTCCACGTCCCTTGTGATTGATTCTTTTTGCTACGAGCAAAACATTTAACAAGCCAAAATTCTGCAGATCAACCGTTGTAATTTGAACAATTTCAGTTACAACAAAGTCATATAACAAAAAGTCACCAATAAAACCATTTTATCTACATTCGAATTCTTTAAATTTCAAAATAAAAATATCTCTACATCTATTTAGTATTCAAATTAATATCACAAAACCGTAAAGAGCTGGAACAAACGAGATTAAAAATGTTCATCAGTAGCTATTTTTGACTTTTACCCTCCAGTGAAAAGTCACAGTAGAGTTATGTTTGCATATGAGTTGGAGGGGCGCGTTTCAAACTAAAATTTACAACACAGGGCTAAATAGTTAATAATGCAATTGAAAGCATATTGTATTGATTCTATACCTTCTTTGGCACATCTTTGACAAGACATTGCGACTACTGCCACAATATTTTAATTCGTCAAGAATATAAATACGTTATGGCATGCAAATACTTTATGGAAAGTTGAACTTTTGCGAAAGTTTGTTTGTCCATGCCAATGTTTGTCCTTTACGAAATTCTTTCTCCATTCTTATAACTTTCTCTTGAAATTTAAATTTAAACAAACTCTCAGTGTTATTCAAGCATACATGCTTATCTAATTACAGATCACGGGCGAAAGCGTTCATAAGATTTTACGAAGGATGTCATCATTTTCTTTAAACGTTCTACTCTAAAAATCCAGAAGGATGGGACGAAGATAATCATTCTGAGCGCGAATTTATACAACGATTCGATATAACTGTTCGTGATTGCCTGGCATTTAGCAAATCAATTTAAAAGCAGCCAGTTCTCATTCTCAAGCTGCACCTAGCTTGCTTTTATATACAACTGTCCGTTCGAGTCTGTGCAATAGACGGGGACAGGCTGCATATGCGGGTGACTGTTTTGGGACATATGGCCATGCTGTCCCATCTGTGGTCTCGCCTGCATGAAATTCTGGTTTGCCTGAGCCTGTCCCTCTGCGATTGTTGGTTCTGTCATGGAACAAGCTGGGTATGGATATGGTGCAATGTGGGGTACGGGTGAATAGTAACCAGCTGGGATTGAACCCTCTGGGTAATACCCTCCGTGAATTGGTGGATGGCGTTGGTCAGAAGGGTAGGGTGCTACTGGGTAATGTCCGGGTGTGTATGGAAAGTTCATCGCGTAAGGACCGGGTGAAACGCTCTCTGGGCTTGAGCTGCGTCTTCTCTTTGATTTGAAGACCGTGACTACAGATGACTTTCCCGCTCTATTTGATGCATCAATCATAGGCTGTACGACTCTTCGACGAGCATTGATAAACCTGAAAAAACACATTTGTTTAGCTCACCATTTAACGCCGATCTAAACACATTTACACCTTTTTAAATTACTTATACCAAGAGCAGATTTTCAAAAAATAAACTAGCTTCAACGCTTCTAGCTAAGGAAACTTTACCTATTTTTAATAACATTTGCTGTCAGAAGAACCTTTGGTCAGACCATTTTTAACAAATTTTATCAAAATTGATATTTATTGATAGAGGTGAAGATATTCGAGATTTTGTCAGCAAAAAAACCATATGAAAATCATCTTATAAGTTATTTGTCAATGTAAGTTTCCGAAATCTGAAAAGAATTGGTCAAAACATTAGACTGAGACCAAAATTAGCAAACTGTACTGCAGAAATAAAAATAAAATGGTTGCAAAGAGTCGCGTGTACTCTATAAGATGGTTATCTTGAGAAAGGAGAGTAAATTTCAGATGTTTATTGTCTAAGCAAACATGAAGTATTTAGACTTCATAGTAGACGAGATGTAATGTTGCATAAAAAAGAAGCTCATACCAATTGTTGACTTGCAGTATTGTTAGTCCAGTTTCATTTGCAAGCTGTCTTTTCTGTTCTTCTGATGGATAGGGATGCTGAAACGCATTTGGATCAATTAAAACCAGAAAATTGAACAAAATTGAACCAACTTTATCTATAAGCTACACATTGAAATTATCATTTATAAATGCAAAATCAATTCAAGAAAAACTCGAATTAGTCTAGATAAAAATTCGAAGGGCAGAAATGAAAATTATTGGTTCATTGCTAACTAAAATACACAAAACATATAAATGCATAAGAAAGTTGATTCCCTTTTCACATGGAATGAGTTGAAACTCATGTTGTTTCCAGATTTTTTTCGCTATGGCTTATAAAAATCGCTATTTTTGCATGATACTGGATAGGTCTTTCGCTGCGGATCCTGGACCACACTGTATTACTACAGTCTCCCATGACAAATAGCACGATAATTGACATTATCATAAAGACCAACGTGAACCACCTACACTGCGAGTGACAATATTTGATATTCAAACTTCAATTATTATCATAAAAGCTCTTATATGCCAGCTCATAATAACTAACGTCGGTGTTCGAAAGAAGACTTCAAGGATCATAAATCATGTTTGGTTTTAAAAGTTAGTGAACTGATTTCCCTAATCGGAAATCGGAAATTCTCTGTGTAACAAGGATCAAACTAGATTCACTGGCAACATGAAAACGTGACACCATTTACAGCTTACCACAAACTATGGCGTCTTAATCTGGAGTAAATTTTTTCAACTAGAAGCATTAAGTTTGCGATTATCAGTTGGTTTTCTGGTCTCCCACTACGGATATCCATTCCCAAACCAAGAATTTGTGGCTATTCGCGGGAATTCCGTTACTAGTAAGTATCAATTTGCCGTTTTAGTGAGATTAAAGGTGCAGCGAGCTAGCACACATTCAAAGGTTGGAGTATCCACCTGAAAAACTGCTACTTGAATATGATCTGAAAGTGACAAAAAAGAACAAACTTGACCATTTTTAATGTTGTTTCACCTAATCTCAAATACATTTATATATAGGCTTCGCGATAAGTTTAAGGAGGTTTAATGTCCAGTGGTTTAACAAGCTCTGAGGCCTAAGGTCTTTTCAGTTTCCTGCTTACGTTTCCGTGACAGGCTTGGTCTCCCACGATGATCCAACTGAACTAGTTGATGCTACCTACGTGTTGTTGCGGTTGTTGCTGCTTTTTATTTTTCCTTTCTTGTAGCATAATCTGCTTTTGAAATCTGCGTAATTTTCTCGTGTTTAATGTTCGGTATTAACTGTTGGAAACAGTAAGTGTGGGATGGACTTTTAAAGGCCTAAAAGCTGTTTCTTGATCAATTTCATGTATTTTCTTAATTTTGTAAGTGAATATCCTTTGCATAGTTGTGTGTCGGACATAACATAGCTTGATAAAGTACTAAATGCACTTTGCTTATCGCTTTCTGTTTTTCTGTTGCTATTCATTCATTTTTCAATTTTTGCTGGCATGGTAATTCTTGAGTTTTGTTGCATTTCAGCCGGTCTGGTTTCTTATGGTGTTCTCAAGTTTTAACCAAATTTCAGCCTGATGTTTCTTATAAAAGTTGTCCTTATAAAAAAGCGTGTACTTAAAGTCGTTGGCGGTATCACTTTCAGCAGGAAAACCTGCATAAAATCACATAGATAACACAAGCCTATGAAAGAGACCGGCCAAGGTAGATAATTGATCACAATATTATCAAGATACTGGATTCATGGCCCATAAATTGTAGAAATAAGGTTCTACTTTACAGTACTGAATGGAAGACCACCGCTACAAGGAGCGATGCACATAAAACAACCGCAGATAGACTATGGAAAGAGAGAAAAGTGGCTGTGAAGACTTTCTTCAGCCAATCCTGCTACGGTTAGATCATTATTTTTATAAAGCACCGTTCCTTTCGAAGTTTCCTGTCAATATTCAAACGGTAGAACAACCAAACTTTGCTTGTATAAATGTAGCCATTTCATTTACATATATACTTTCCCTATTAAAATAAAAATGCACTGAAACATTGATTTAAAGCTTCTTATGTATATCTGAAACAGTCATTTGATGAGATTTCTCCAAGTATTAGGAAGAAGCCAAACAGGCATTCATGCTACAATTTGGGTAATTTATGTCCACATGTCTTCAAAAACTCTACGAATTTTTCATACGAACTCTAGGCATAGAAATTCTTGAATGTAGATAAATGAATATAACGTAGGCAAACGGGCTGACTACATCGATGGGCTTGTTATTTGTTATACATTTAATGTATTCTAATGTTACTTAAAGGGATAATTCGCTATGTTAAATGAGTATAGTTTGATAAAATCGGGATTAAGAGAATTGTACCGCTCTTAGAAGGCATAAACTCAAATCAACATTTCAATCTTCCCATAATGCTTCCGTGAATATAAATTTTGTAACGCCATTTTCGTCTTTTCATGACGTCTTTTTAGCAACAGCACAAGTATAAAACTGAGTAAAAGACTGTAAATAAAAGTGGGAGCCTCTCAAAACACTGCAAAAGGCAAGCAAAATTACACTCAATTCTGCCATTTTGAAACATACATTAGCACTGTTCGAAAAACAACCTCCGTGTCTGCAATGTTTGGTGCAATGTAATCAAAGACCTTTTACCAAACCAAACTCATAATCATAAACTTAATAAGAAAGCTTGCTTCATTCTGGATTTGTCAAAAGATATTGATACTCAGAGAAAGACCTGGTAAGGTTGATACAAAAGCCCCTTCCCCACCTCCTCCGCATCCACATCCTCCGCCTCTTTCAATGATAATAACTATGTATGATAATAATGCTGCAATGGCAGCTACCACAATACAACTAAAAATCCATCACTTTATAAAGAAGATCCAGTTTTCAAGCCACTAAAGGCAACTTGAATAATTCTCTTGGAAACTATCATTCTGACCAGGGACTATAAAGAGGACAACAAAAAATCTATCCTGCACCTTTAAGGACTCAAATTTAAGAACCTTCTTTATTTTATTCTTTACAAACTGCTGTTTCTCTGTACAAACGCTTTCCCTGTTCTTAAACATATACATTCTTATCGTTTATGGTTTACTAACATTATTATCATCACTGTGCATGCAATTGACTGGACCTTCATTTCGGATCTTTGACCACACCGTAAAGTCCGCATGGCAAAAGACACCAAAAAGGTTAAAAGGTTAACCATACATCAAAATCAGCCACATTTTTAACATTAGTTCGACATAATACGGCCAGAATTCTATCAGCGTCGAATGGGGCTTTCTAGGTCCGAAAATCGGCCGTTAAAAAAATCCAAACAAAAACCAGCTGTAACCAAAATAGTTTCGATTCACACAATGTTTGACCCGAGCATGCTCAAATAAGATATTACTCGAAGTTACAAGATCACAGTTAAATTTAAAAATTGATGTTTTGAAGTGAGTTTTGCCTACACAGTTCCTGCTACCCAAGCTCTGTTAATATTCATAATGCAGCTTTCACACATATAAGGAGTTTCTTGCATCCACAGTTTAAGAGACACGCTATGTTATGTTATGTCTAAATTCTATGTCTTAATCGAAGATAAAAAGAAATGATAAAAAGAAAAATGAGATTTGCTGGCCACATTATGAGGGGATCATGCGGGTTCTTGGCAAGGCTTGTTCTGGAAGGTATGATTGACGGAAAAGGAAAGAGGGGAAGACAAGGAAGAACATGGGGAGACGATGTCAAGGAATGGAGCGGGTGTGAGAGCATTGGGAGAGCTAAACGATATTCTGAGGATAGGGATAGTTGGAGAGTCATGGTACCTGATGATAGAAAATGGTACCTGATGATGACGAATCAAAGATTCGTCCTGCTTTGATAACGTTGTCGTCTTCGACAAATAATCTTCCCGACGACCCACACACAACAACAAAGTACAAAGCACATCACATCTAATGCTAATAAATCGCAGTTTGAGTCCGTTAGTCGTCATTTTAAGAAAAAAATAACAGAGGAGACCACTCTAAAGAGATTGGGCTAAGGACTGGGCGATCGTGCTTTCCCACTAAAGGAGCACTGAGCGTTCCAGAAATCTAATTTCAATGTCCAGTGAGGTAAAGAAGTTCATGGCATGCTGGCTTCTCGGGTACATTATCAACAGTCCGACCACGAAAAGGCTTGCTACCCAAGCATTAAAGTATTTTCCTTTGACACGGCGACTCTGTTTCTTCTAAAGTTCTATTGCAAGTCTTCTTAACAATTTTAACTATTTTATTAATGGTGTAATGTAACAGGAGATTAAGCTGTTTGCTTTTTAATTGAGTGGAGTCAATTCTTCAAGCTGTCTTCAACTGTTAACACAATGTCAAGAATAGAGCTTTTTTAATGTTTTGCCCCAGAAATATCAAGAAATAATGACTGTTAGACTGCTGCTTTTTTTCTGCATATGAAACGAGAAAAAATGAATAAAAAAACGTAAACTCACAGTTAGATGCTGAAAAAGCCATGCCTTCATGATGTTTGTTGCCATTTTTGGAAAGATACCGCGTTTTTTCTGTTTCCTTTTGTCTTTATCATCATCATCATGCATGAAGCTATCTTCGGAGTCGTGGAGGTTTTCACCAAATGAGGAGTCTTGAAAAGACAAGGAAATGCATGAGTTACTGGATACCATTGCGAAAACGAACAGTGACGGATGGAGGTCATCGAATGGACAAAAACATATGAAATGGAGACAGAGCTCGGTCTACAGTGAAACGGCAGCAGTTAACTAACTGCAGAGAAACAGACCAGTAATTGATGCTTGCACCTTGTTGTTGAAAAATGTGAATCTAGGACGCAGTATCAAGTGGCAATACCTTTGAAGGACCACAAAGGCATGATACTTTTGATATGACTTGAGAATGGAATCTCGGGAAAAGATTCCATTGCTTTTTAAAGCGATTACTCTAGGCCATTTTGGTGTTTTAAACTACAGGTGTTGACTGGTTCTAAATGAACAAACCATGTGAGGTTGGAGGACCAAATTGCCATTTGACCCCTGTGGTCTGCGGCCATTAGTTACTTCACCTTGTAAATATCATGTTCCCATGGCAAATATAAAGCTGCTTTCTAAAATTGTAATAGTAACTTGACCTTGAAAGTTACCATGGTTCTGTTTACTTTGCTACCCATCTGAAGACCAAACTGATGATATTTCGGTACCTTGTCTAAAGAATCTTCAGTTTCTTTCAATTGCAATTTCTTGGTCCTCCTTGTATAAAGCTAGGAGGCTTCAACTGGATGGGAATCGAATTTTTGTAGAAACAATGATTGAAGAAAAATCATCTTGGTACAAAATTTAAAAAAAAGTCTGTAAAAGGCGTGTAATTCTTGTGGAACATACCAAGTAAGAAAGCAGAATTTTAAAAGCTTCTTATAACAGGCAATTATCAGAAGCTCCTTGTTGCGGCCAAATCTTTTGGTTTCTCAGAATTTATCTTTTTCAAAGGATATTGGGTTTCAAAAATGACTTAATTCGCCGTATGTGTATCATCCAGAAATATTTGGCACCAAAGTGAATTTTTGAAAACAAAACATTAGTCGGGATTTCCTCTCTTGGAAGCTTTGTAATTTATTTTCTAGCAATAATTTGATATCGGTAAAATCTTAATGAAAAGAGATAAAGAAATCTTGGTAGCAGAGGTGTAAAGCGGGGTGGTTTTGTCACTAGATTTCATGTAAATTCCACCTAGTTTGCAAAAATAAATAGAGACAAAAGTGACAAACCAACCAAACATGGTTGTATGAAATCACGAAGAAGTTATTGTTCCAGGCAAAATCTAGTTGAAATTGGACGAAAATAACAATAGCGTGTTTGGAAGACCCCATTCTAAAACTAAAAAGATGACAGGCGGAAATTCGATGCGAGGCATCTGTACTGCAGAACTGTATACTCGCATAGAGTAACTGATCCTTCTGACATCTCACTTCCCACGAATATGGATCATTTTTGTTATCCTCATTAAATCTTTTCGGTTACACCAACTTCATTTATGTCGACAGAAACATCTTTCCTCAGACTAGTCTTTCACAATCTGTCAAGAGTTGCAATTGTTTCCAGCCAATCCCTGTTCAGCTTTGCAAGTGTTCGCTCACTTGCGTTATCCTATTCTTAGAAAAACGTACCATTATACCACCAAAAGTGGGGCCCTTTATAAAGAGATATCGACAGGAACAAGAAATACTGGACTTCACTTACATATTTGAAATCGCTATAAAACCCTTTTAACAATCACTTGTGCCTTTTCGCATCCGTATTTTTGATACTGGTATTTACTTCCATGTTTTTGGTTGAGCGTGAGAAAAAATTTCAACATTCAATTTAAAAAGGATCGGACTCAACAAGACGGTTTGCAATGAGTATGCAAACTTTCCTATCTACGATCAAAACTCAATCAACCTCGAACGCACGAAGTCGGGAGTTACCCAGAAAATATTACAACAGATTACCTTCAGCACCATGTGCAGGCGGTGATGGCTCCGAGGCTGCTTGGTCATCTAGAGGCGAGGCTCCTGGTAATGGAGTCGTAGAGGGGTTTGTAAGTGACGTGCCTCCTTCACCGTCCAGCGGGTTTGCAGGTAAGTTCAATCCACCACTTGGCCAGGCACTTGGGGATTCCTGGAAATAAGACACGTTGACTTAATCACAGTATATGCGACAGTGTCAAAGTTTCATAGCCTTTTTAAATCGGGGTTAAACCGTATTGACCTGGTTCATTAAGTGGGCTAAAATTGGACAGGAAACAATGGGTAGATACCGATAATAATATTTTCTAACTGAATTCCCTTTTCGCTTTAACAAGACGCACGACAGCTGCGTCTTGTCTTGAAGAATCTATTGTTTTAAAAGCCCTGCAAATCTATATACAAAATTGAAATCTGCAGAAGGTTTTCACGATCAAGTCAACTGCAAACTCTTTGTTGTTAACTGCATTGAAATGAACAATGTTAGAATAGAAAGGGAAATAAAACGATAATCACGTTCTCTTCTTTTTCGATATTCCCATCCCAACTTTACTAATTAAACCTCTTCTGCTATCTATCCAACCTACATCTCTGCTTCAACAACCACCTTTCTCGCTCACTAATCACAACAACAATAACTCTCGCTCCAGTCCCTTATAACTCGCATTCTCGCAGTTTAACTGTTAAAAGCAAGTCACTGAATAGAACAAGAAAAACGGAACAACGAAAATGAAAAAGGTTCTACAGGAAATTTATAGAGAAAGCAAAAGCAACTGTAAGATTCAGGCACGAGCCTCCCCCTCCGGCCCTTATGGCTTATCATGTCTATGCGCTGATTTCAAAAACAGGAACAAGATTCCTAATTGCAGCTCACAGAGGTGTTCTTTTTTAGCATACACAGCTCTCTCATTTGTATAATGCTTTCTAAGTGCATGCATTAACGAGCGCGACTCGCTCGCTTCGGGTAGATATTATGACCTAAGGCGACACAGTCATAGGATTTATAGAGGTTTGGTTCAGGATTATGGTCATTAGAATATGACGTCAAAAGTCATTACGGTTCATGACGAGTCCAAGGTACCTGACAAGATGATGGAGACGGTGGACCTTGCTCCTTTCCATCGTCGCTCTCTGAGGACGCCTTTTCCCTTGTGTCTCCTTCTTCTAAAACCAAATCTAACGGCATTTTCCCTTTCAAACATGCAATGTACCGTTTACAGAAATTGTCACATAAATCATGAACCTAAGAAACAAAGTAAAAAGGATCATGTATAAAAAAGCATACGCCAAATCGTCAAGAAAGTAAATATTCTGGCATCAGTATGGAATCTGATAGAAATTGCTGTGCTCACTTGAATTTCGCCTATTCCTAATAAGGTTGAATCCAGAACCAGGTGCATTCTTACAAAAAACGTCAGATCAAGTTAGAGCCACTCTACTTAAGTTACAATGCTAGTAATGATCAAATACTTAAACTAAACCCAACGTACAAAACTATCCAATTAAACAATGCTCACATCTTTCCTAACATATAGTAACAGCTTTTTAACCTTATTTGACGCAACTTTAAACGAGTTTCACTCTACTGGGGCAGTCAGCAAAAAACTGGCAAAAATATTCCTTAGGAAAAAAGGTATCTGTATTATGGTTATTTAATAAGGGTTTGCTATTTTGTCATTACAAGTTACCTTTTCCAATTCGAGGAGGTGAAAGCGGAGAACTTGCATTGCAATGATCATCTAAAAAAGAACGGTAGAAGATGTCAAGTCACTTTGATTGAAGCAATCGTCATTTATTAGCTATTAATGCCCATCGTGTTTTTCTCAAAAGGTACATGCTTGTATCTGGCTCAAGTTGTTTAAAACAAATTTAGTGAATTTACTTGGATTAAGCACGTGGTTTTCGATCGTCTTTTTGAAAGCGTTTAACAGAAGACAAAATACGGTTCAATACTTCTGGCGTCGCCTGGAACAGATTCGCTTATATTGAATGACAATTTTCTTTGCAATTTGTGCTGTATATGGATGCCTTTGCTTCATTCATGTTTAAGGCAAGCAAAGAGTATAACCTGTTAGGGTCGGGAATAATGTTAAACGGCAACTAATGATTGCAGCCTTTTTCATAAAAAGAGACAATTGCGAATTCGGTTAAAAAAGGTTGCGGGCGCAGATAAAGAAAAGTTGCAAGTTTGATGACTTTTTCGTCAAATACGTATGGACGAAAGGCGAGTCCGTAAAGAAAGATTTGCCGATTAAAAAACAACCGTATACCTGGAACCTTAATGAAATATCATCGGGGCTGGAGGAGTGATAGCCCAGCAGAGGCACTGGTATTCGGTATGCACTAGTGAAAAAATTATCGGTAAACGTGAAGTTCTTCATTGCTCTGAATGCCGTACAAAGATTTTTTGCAGGTTAGAATAAATTTTAATTGTTTATTAACTTCGCATCAAGAGGTCGCTTTCTCGTTTATAGCATATTTCACTTTTCCTCTACAAAAAAATAATTAGGATGGGCTTTCCAGCAATCACGTGATCAAATCAAACTAGGATCAGGAACAACTGCACAGGGCTGACGTAAAGGGACCTTGACATGACGTCACAAGATCGGTCTGAAGAATTTCTAGATTTGGACCCAAAAACCCAGGGGGCATTATGAAATACTTTTAAATGTGCAAAGTAGTTCAATTTAAAGCAAACGAGCTGAGATATTGTCACAAAACCACAGGCTTTTTATCTTAAGGACACTTTCCGGGTTGGACTGAATTTCATAGTTGGAGGAGCCCGAACTTTTCGTGCTTTGGTCAAAAAGTAATATTGGGACAAAAACCAAATTTATAACAAAAATTCCAGAAACAAATAGTACCTGATGTATGACGTCACAAAATATGTGTTGAAGTATTAACATAGATTGTAACCACCCAGGTCCTAACATATGTCTGACACTTTAGATCGAGTATCTTATCTACGTTAACCAACCAAAATAGCTTGAAATCCATTAATGCCTACATCTCACCCAGTCAATGGCATGAAACATAGTAGTGAGAACAAAACCCACTGATTAGTAATCAAGAATTGAAGTTTTGCGGAAACTGAAACTGACTTACCAGCCTGTCGAGTTCAGTGTCAGACGTGAAGAACATTTTCTCGTCTCGAAACTAAGACAAAAGAAGATACAAGTTAAAAATACTATTTTATTTGCACTGCAGCTGGCAGACAAGTGTAAACTAAACTCCTTATGACGTCAATTTAAATTTTGACAGCAACTAAACGAAAACCCATTAACGTAAAAAGATAACATATCCAAAATATTTCTTTTGAAATTCAATTGCTTTTTAATTTTAAAGATATAAAGCACAATTCAAATTTATCTTATCTAAAGCCATTCTTAAGAAAATTTTCCTTGTTTTTTAGAGCGTCCTCTGAGCTCAGGGAGGGGGAGCCGAGGCAATCTGCCCCTTCCTTCTTTCCTTGCCGGCAAGATGGATGCCTATAATCCAAAATGTATTGTTCTTTAAAAAAATTTTTCTGATGTGCAAGATGAACAGGGAATAGATTGAGCCTAGAACTTCGAGGTAAATCATGTTTATCCAGTACTGCATCCAGCAAATCAAGGGGAACCAGGTGCCATTAAAAACTTAATCTGTTTTGGGCATCACTGTTAACCTTAATAAAGAGCCAAGGCAAAGAAAGCATGGAAAATTATAACTTTGAATTCTTTTGCTACTAGCCAGAAAAACTAGAACATCCTTTAATCACAGAAAAAGAAAATACTATCCAAATCTTCCAGCATTTTTGAGGCTGTGAAAGGTTTTCCGAGAAATTTTAAGGCAAGGCAAGGAGTGCCGAGAAATTTTAAGGCAGGACAAGGAGTGCCGAGATATTTAAAGGCAGGGCAAGGAGTGCAGATAAAACATCATGTGAAGCCTGAATACGAACAATAAGAGTCTGGTTGCACGTTCGATAATCGAATGATGTGAACAAGATTAGTCAAATGGATCGGATCTAAATCTGAATCCCATTGTCATGTATCGATTCTTTTGTTTTTAAGATACTATTCTTGCGACGACACATGTTCAGAGCAGACGGTTTATGGGTTCTAAGCCATCTTAAATTGGAATGGAGAATTTTCTAAAAGAATAGTATATGATAAGCATAAAGATATGACTTTATAACAAGATCTGTAAGTAGACGTCTTGTCATAAAATTTTAAAGATAACTGTTTATTCTATAAAAATATCATACAAAAGCAAGCAAGTCATTATAATCACTTCAGAGAGAGGTGGCTCAGAAGGAGGTCGAAATTTAATAAAACGGGCCAATGGCAACAGAGTATAAATGTTTGCTAGAGGAAGAATATCTACCACAAGGTCTATAGTGCTAGAGATCCCTAGATACCGCGGAGCGTTGAGAAAAGTGAGGAGGGGGGCTAAAAAAGTGGGGGGGGGGGGGCTAAAACCGGATTAGAGCTGGCTTGTCTATTGGCTCATTTCTTCATATTTTGCATTTTTGACAAAAAGTAGTGGGGGCTCAAGTGCCTGATCCTCGAAACAAAGTGCGTCAGTACTGATATTGACTGTCCCTCCCATTGGTTTGTGACTGTTCTGGCGCAATTTAGCTTTTAATTTACATTCCCAGTTGTCAAGAGGGTCATTCTCATCCATTGTAAAGTAATTCATTTAAGGAACAAAATCAATGTTAAATTGACAAACAACAGTTAAGAAAAATATATGGAAGTTCTGTTATACTTTGATGATGAAGATGATCATTATCATCATTTATACCGATGATTAAAGCTAATGATAATGATTTATTATGATGATTATGATTGATTATTTCAATGATGACGTTGATGATGATGAAGCCAGTCATCGAGAGGAAGTGTTCAGGTTTCTTCGGAAATACGTTCTCGGGAAAATAAGCTAAATTCTTCTTGAAAATGTATCTTATCACAAGACAAGCAAGACTTGGAATCTTGAGTTCTGAATACCATGGAAATACATGACATTAACTGTTTTAAATGGTATTTATGATGTTTATCTGCCACCTATGACGTCGTTTATGACGTCATTAAAGGATAGGGGAGCTTGAAGACTAAGAATCTTGACAGGTCACGTGATCGTCACGTTCATGTTCTTTTCGTTGCACAGCTTAGGAGAGTAGGACAGCCAGCTTTGTAAGCTAAGTCTGCGAGTGTCAGACGCCCTAGCTGAATGTTTTCCAAACAGGATAAGCGACATACGAATCCTTAATTCTTTCAAAACAGTTTAACTTGTTGTTAAAATCGATGTTTATGATCAATGATTTGATATGCCTCGGAATGTACGAATTTTGCAAGGGATATAAAAATTATGAAATAAAAGCAGAGAATTAGGTTATAGAGCAATAATGAGAATTTTGCATATGATGGTAGGTTTTTCAAATTTTGTCTAAAGTGATTGAATTTGTGGATTTTTAATGGTGATGTTGACATAATGGTAAATATAAATTTCATTTCAATAAACAGGTTGAATCATCAACAGTAGTCATCCCGCTCGACCCATCCCTGAATGTAGGAAACACAAAGAGTTATTACTGAACCCTCCTCCGCAATCACATTCAAGTCAAGAGCCTCGAAGTGATACTGAATATAACTCAAAGTAATTTCCAAAACGCTTTGGAGTAAAGCAAAAACAAAAATGCTTCACATTGAAACGGTCGAAACTTTGAAAGGATAGCAATCAATAGCTACCTGTTTTGCAAATGCTTGAATATCTTCATTGAAAGAATCCGACGAGCAAATGTCTTCCTGGGCATCACCCCTTTGTCTTGGTGAGCATGTCGCCAGCTCGCATTTTTCGAACACCAGGGCGAGGAGAGGAAACAGTGGATGCCTGGTTAAAAAGGAAGCAGATCTATATGTTAATAACTCGAATTAAAGGCAACAATGTTTTTGGTATTTGATAACATTCCAACGAGGCGCCTGGAAGGAGGTGCTGTATTATCAAAATCTAGGTCACCTACAGTGAATCTGGGGAACAAATCAGTACAATACTGTTGTGTAGAACTGTTACGTAGTCCTGTTACTTCACACTGTTGCGTACAGTTGTTGCGTAGAACTGTTACGTAGGAATTAAAGGAAAAAATTTCAAACCACTTCACATTTGTATAAGAAACTAAGTTTTGCATTTAGACAAAAGTTTGCCTAAATAGTAAGACGTTTTAAACGATTGCAAGAAAAAGCCTGCAAGAAATATTCTGAAATGTATTTCAAAATAATCTAAAGGACGTTTTCGCAAAAAATTCTGCTCACGTCGATCGCAGCGGGACCATCAACCAGAGAAAATTAATAGCAAATAAAACAGACACAAAAAATATTTTTTCTCGCCTTGCACAAAAAAGTTTGCAATTTTTGTGAACCCAAAATATAATTGTACGTAGGATCGAAACCCAAAAATTAAACCAGAGGTTTTCCTTTCCAGTAGCATGCCTCGAAAGGAAAAAGAGCTTAATCTGAACCAATAAAAAGCGCAAAAGAACCGAACTGTTTACCGCGAACGATTGAGCATGCAACATCACTATTTACCCTTTATGTTCGTTCATAAGAGCGAATCTCAAATTATATGTTGAACAAGTGACACAAATAAGGCCGAAAGCCAGCAATGACCATTTGATATGTGATCAATACCACACTTTTGTAAAATTGTGGCCTTAGAAAACATGCGAAACTTCTAAGACATATCCCTCGTTGCTGCTGCTATTCATAGTTTTATCAATCAGGAATTAGCTCTGGGAAAATTTCACAAATTTTAAAGGACACTTTTTTGGGTAGAAGCAAAAAGATGCTGCAGGTAATACTCCACAAACACCTAAAAAAATCAAAAGGAAACAACCCCATTTCATTGGTCCAATTTCAATACCGTTGTTGCGGTTGCTGATAACTTCTTAACCTTTTCCGTCTACACGAATGAATTTGTAATTCTAAAATTTGCTTGTTCGCTGGCTTTGTAAATACTGTAAATACTTTAAAATAACGTTTTAAACTACAACCTCATTTTATCACTTTGTGGAGTTTTCTATTTCAAATTATTTGTGTTAGGAAATATCAAAACAAATAAGATAAAAGCTTCTTTTCCATGGATATAATGTTACCCTCAGCTGATGATGAAGTCTAGAAGAACTGTAATTATGATAGTAAAAAAATTATGATAGTAAAACTATTATGATAATTATTGAATAATAATTGATGATGATTGTTATTAAAAATAGTCATTGTTAAGGACCCTGATAGATCTCATATGATTTCAAAACTCAACTAGAAAAGGAAGAGAGATAAATTCTGGATTTCGTAATTAATTAAGAAGTGTTACTCGAAAACAGATGACAATTTAGCTAAGTAAACACTATCGAATAACTGGCCCCATCGTAGAAGCACCATCCCCATTGAAAGTTTACTGAATTGGGGGCCTAGTGAAAAACTTTACAAACACAATCTTTGGATGAAAGGGTTATCTTTCGGTATAAACAAGGGGACTCAGCCCACTGAGCCCCCTGAGCGCCAAGTCCTTCACTATCTAATAATGAGGAAACGGCAGTTGCTTTAGTTATGGCAGATGCATTTTTGACTTTAAAATGCAAATTGCTTTTTAATAACAGTTAAATTTCAAAATAAAGGTCGAGATGACCTTTCTATTTTCGTGGAGAGTAAATTCTAAATAGTCTCGTTGAACATTCAGAATTTAATCTAAATGTTCAACGAGAACAAATGAAGGCGATTTACTTTTAAAAAAATGAGTGCTGACTGCATTCATCTTTTTAAAGAGGCTGCTTGTGAAAATCCTGACATTACAAAAATCTGGTAATTTACGAGCCTAAGGATAAAGAATATCAAAATAGGACTTTTGTAATGAACTCCAAGGTAACTTGGAAAGAAGTAGAAGGGAGGAGGGAGGGGGTCTACGGCGTAGGCTAGAAAAAAAGACAGTTTGTTGAGAAAAGTTGTCAATAATAGTACCTCTTAAGAGTGATTATTGTAACGACTAAGTGGTGAATGATAAATCTTTCAAAAAGGAAGCAAGAATTTGTACCCTGATGGGGGAGGGGGCTTTAACAATGATCTGGCAAAAGGAGAAGGAGAAAAGGAAAGGGACCCACTATTGAAAAATAAAGGTCAGTTCCTTACCATAGCATTTAATAAGAAAGTTTAACTAACGCTATTAAAATTGTCTTAACTGACGGCCAAAACTCTTTAGTAATTCCTTAATTTTTTTGTGTTTCTTTGAAAAAAAAACTAGGCACAATATTGGGTCATAAAGATGTCAGAAGACAAATAAAGATAAAAATAGAAAAAAATTGATGATAAGAATTGTTTGCACTGTTTGCTCAATAGGTATCGGTCTGAGCATCTGTCTGAGAAACATCCATCTGAGAGGAATGCTCCTCCGCTTCTCCGCTTGGTTTTCAATTTCCATGCTCAAAATTTTGTGGCTCTGGCATCCAGCGTGAATTTTAAAACCCCTGTACTAGAAATTCCCCAAGTTTTTGACTGTGCATGTACTACCTTCCTTATAAAGCACTGTCTTAAATAAATGCGCGTATCCCATGGCGTACCCTTTTCTAGAGCAAGACGCCACCGGCTTATAAATTTTGTGAAACATGATAGCAATTTAAAAAGATTGATACATAATGTCACAAGCAACAACACTCACCACTGGAATACCAAGTCATGTTTTTTAATGCTTGTTTTACAAAACGCAGAATTGTTTCCCTCAAACTTTCACAAAAATTCGCAAATTGTTTAAGTATTAACCAGATTCACTTTATTAAAAATTAATTTTAAGGACAGGAAAACTTCTGCTCTATTAAGGTGTCTCCTTCTGAACTTCAATTTTTCATCTTCTTCATGGAAAAATTAGCTCGTTTGACGACAAACACGACAGTCAATAAAAACAATCAAAATTTTCACTGGCTCAAGTTATGGAAACTTGAGCTGATTGGCCTGTATCTCCATCTAACGCCCCCTCCAAGTCCCCGGAGCATCTAATCGAGGAGCTTTTAAAATAAAGTATGTAAATAAAGGATGGCGTTTAGTTCATTTAGGTTTAATAAACGAACGGGGGCGTTAGTAAGAGGAATTGAAAAAACAGGGCTGTTAAACATTGTCGCAATTACCATAGATTACGGGCAGTCGGCCAAGAACACCAACTTCCAGGTCTAGTCGAAAGTATGGAACCTTGAAAGTCTGGTTTTGCATGTGAAACAAATGAAAACAGTAATTCCAAGATTTGATTTGAAAAAATATATTTTGAACCGAGGGATTCGTTAATTCTGAAAATTTAGCTTGAAGTGAGTAAACAGAGGTGTATTGGCCGGTGGGTACATAAAAATTCAGCGAGGGCAAGAATTTTTGCATCTTCGTTCTAACTTTAACAAATTCTCTATTAACACATAGAAACCAGATGCGACATAAATAGCTAGACCGGAAGAATGGACAGGCGAGGCTGGGCTAGGCCCGTCCAGGCTTGAGTAGGAAGGAAGCTGAGGCTTAAACATCTGCGAAGGCTCTTTTCTAGGAATCAGTAATAAAAAGTTGTTAGTCATTTTTTCTGTTCTTGTTCCGACAATCCGTAAGGTGTTGTTTACCTTGGAGTTGCTTGCAGACATTTTGCTTAGTTTTGTTAGCATGAAGATTATTGCATGTCGAATTGAATGGATACATGTGTCGTTTGCAAATATATGCTTGGTCGCGTTTATCAATCTCATGTGAAATCCTTTGAAGACAAACAAACCGATCGATTGTGCCAACGATAAAGAGCAAATAAACTTCTCGTGATTCTCAAACGAAACACAGGACCTCCTGACACGGAAGTATAGATTTTGCTGCCTGGACAGCATCCCTGAACATGAGCTACTAATATCAACATTATATGCTTATATTACACATTTAATTATAATGTCTTATAAAAAGATATCAAGCACTTCAGAAACATGACGAAATTTTGAAATTACGAAAAATTATTGTGCATCTGCTAAACAATAAAAATATTACAAAGGAATTCATTTTGCCAACAATGAACCCTGTTAGAATAGCTGGAGCTGGAGCTGGAGCTATTCTAGCAGTAACGATGTGGCAATAAAGAATAGATTATAGGAAAAAGAAAATAAAATTCACACTTTCGTACTTAACAAGATTTAGACTCTCATTTAGCTGCCTCATAGCTGCCCTACATTATTTTGCTTGTTTTGAATGGAATTATTTTGCTTTGTCATTAAAAATAGATTAAACGTCCCACAGTCAGATTTGTGAGAGGTGTGATGGCCTGACATTGGCAACAGATAGATTCTTCGACCACTGACTTGGGGGTTTTTACAGCAAATAGTTTTAACACTAAAGTTAACTGCTTCTCTAAACGTGAAAGACTTAAAAAGGGCACGTTTCTGATATCAAATCCTCACTGTTAGAACAGATAAAAACCTCATAGAAGTTGTAGCTCAGCGTTTATAATATTCGCTTGGAAAAATAAGAGGTGCCATGGAAAAGTTACGGAAAAGTAGTTAGATAATGTAAGGTTTTGGAATCATATTAAATGGTCCGTATTATCTTAGATAGCTATTAAAAAAACTAGTAATAACTATAAAATAAACGCAAAGAGACATTACGAACACGTTGTAATTAGAGAACCAAGAAGAAAAGAACTTGCATTCAAACACATTCAGTCCGAAACAAGTAATTTTGATAGCCATTGGACTCGTCTAACAGCCTTTTTTGTTATGATTACTTAAACAATATTTGGAACCAGCTCTTTAATAAAAAAAATTCACGTTTGTTTATGGAAGATGCTGTTTCTTGAACTACACAAAACGCCTGGCTCGTTGGTGTGCATGGATTGTAATCCAAAAATTTTGTGACAATATCTGAAAAACCGTGTTCATAATTTTTAACACTGAATATTTTGATACAAGCCGCTCAAAGTTTAAATTTTTTTATATCTTTTGAGAAAGTAAACAACGGTGCAGCCTCAGCGGGTAAGAAAAATATACCAGTGATGAAAAGATTACTGTAGAGGTATGACAAGACTATCCAGCAGGGATCACTTGCTAATTTTAGTTTTCAAAACAGTACCTCAATATCGTTATCAATTATCATGCGAATCCAGTTATCACGATCAAACCATACAAAACTTGAACTCTTTACAGAAATTTCAAACTGAGTGGTAATACTGCAAGAGATACCTGAAAACTACTTCCAACGAAAATGATCATTTTGCCAAAGTCTGACCCGTTACATAGTTTTCTGGCTCGATGCAAACAAGGAAATGGTCTTATTTGAAGAGGACGAACATCTCTATACCACATTCTCTAAAGGTTACCCTCATCAATCGCACATCAAATACTGCTGTCGGAACTTAATTCCACTTGTAACTTATTGGAAAAGAATTTATCTGCTAATGGGTTGCTTCTTAGTTGATTTATCCATGTGTCTAGAGCTGTCAGTCGAAAAATGGATATCAAGGCATTATCAAGTTGCAACATTGTCACAATTTCAGTCGAAAGTCAGTGAAAAACAAGTGATGATGGACAAACTGCTCATTTTGTCTGTTATGTCCATGTTGATAAGTACAAAAACATTTGGTTTAGGCAAGAGTAACGAGGAATTAAAGTTTAAGTAGGTCTATTCACGGTTGTCAAACTTGATCTTTGTTAGGACAAGTCGCTGTCTACACATTTATATGTTCAAACATACCCGTATACACTCTCTTTGTCTCTTTTGATCTGGGCATCGGAGGTTGGAGAGCTGTCATTCGGATGATAGCTGGCTTGCTCCGTGGACATACATGAAGCTTGGCTATAGTTGGCGTGCGACTGTGGCTGATGCATCCTCACTAAACGAGTATGGTCATCGGGCAGCATGTTATTAGAGCCGCCATCTTCAAGACCAAGACCAAATGGCGATGGAAATGTGTCTCCGACCTAAGAGAGGGAAATCACATCTTACAATTGTTTACAATATCAAGCATTAGGACTTTGTGCAGTAGGTGAGACGTGAGGATGTACGAACATAGAATCGACACGTGAGATCGACATGCCAAAGGCCGTTGAGATTTGACTCATGTCGCGCTGTCGATGAAATTATACTTGCACTAACCCTTTGCGCCATTTGACAGACAAGAGCTTCAATGGACTGATGGCTTGAAGGATTTCACCCAGATGAGCCGTCAACGTTTTGTTTCTGTGCCTGCGGTTAGACAAACTACTATAGAATTATGTCAGCTAAATCTTTCACACTGTTGGCAACTCTGCCCAAAACTTCAAAACGTCAACTACGAAACGGAAAGGCAGGAAGTAAGGGGGAGAGACATGAAAATTCTCAACGCACAGCTTGTAACGTTTTAACATGCCAATCAAATCCTTGTTGCCATAGAAACTGCAACACGAGGACAGTTGCAAGGTGTCAAATTTCATCTGGTCATTTCCTTGGGAAAATCGCGTATTCGATCGCTTCAAATTAAAAACACGTACACGAGATTCGACAATTTCGGCAATTTTCCGAGCTGAGGAGACAATTAATTGAAATTGTTTGTTGCTTGAACAGCAATCTTGCTTCGATACAAAACGCAGAAAAAGTTGAAGGAACACCTCTTGTAAAAGATTATCTTGGATGATCGTAAACAATGGCTCCTTGCAAACAATAGGCTCACGTTAGCGGGGCGTCTTTCAGTCTCGACCGATCATGCTGATGTGAAGTATTGTGTTTCACAGGTTAGCGTCAATTGCAACACAACTGCAGCCTGATTTCCTCCCGATATTGCCATGTTTGCCAAGCTTCTGCGGAGACAGCATTAGAGAAATCACATCCTTAATTGTCTGTCTGGTATAAAACAAAATTGCAGTGTTTTGATTACCTTTCAATTATATCGATTATTTCTAAGGTAACCTCGATTTTACAACTCCTTCAACAGCTTTTCCAAGTATTGAACAGGCTAGCACACTTCCAATGCAACAAAACCTTTCAAAAGGTAACGAGCTACGATACGATGATCACTTAAATATTACAATCATAATTAGCAAATCAAAAATGTACCTTTGCAAGTAAAAACATATGCGACTTACTACCTCGCTTTTGCATTGCCCAGCTCGCCGTGATTTTCAAAACTAAACTGGCTACAGGTGAAAACGAACTCTGGGCCGTTTCTTTCGCTAATAAAATTTCAACAACGTTTGAGAGAATGAAAACCCAAACGTATTTTCTGCATCTTAATTCAAGTAATCCTTCTGTTGAACAATCAATAAACTTCTATTTGATCCTGTTATTTATTGAGTAGACATTTCTTATGCATTAATATGTGTATATACAAAAATAGAATAATGAAAAATGAATGAAAAGTAACAATTGTTTTGAATAAAGTACCTCAATTGAAAGCGTAAACATTAACTTTGATCCTCGAAAGCTGATTTCAAGAAATGAAGCATGCATTTTCTTAAATATAATTAACTACTAAATATTACTGAAAATTAAAAAAAATCATAAAAGATGTAAGATAATTTTATAGTTTCATATCTTTCATGGAAAGATCCTATAGATCACGGAAATGAGAATAAGGAAGTTTTCTGCTATAAAAACATTATTTTATGGAATTCTCTCTCTCATTAGGCAAAGTCCTGTAACAAAATAGCTCGTCCAATGTGCTGAATAGCAACATGCTAATCTAGTCGGCATCTTCAAGAAGAATTTCCAGTGCTAAAATTAATCAACTTCGCCTTTACTTACTGCGATATTTTTTAGTTGTTGACCAAGAGCTTCAATTTGCAATTACAGGTTACGTGCGGAGTCCAATAAAATTCCTATCCTTCCTCCGACAAATTAACCAGCCTACCTTTCGAAAAATTCTATGGAAAACAATAACACAGGGCGTTGGGCGCGGTAAAAGGCAAGTCATCAATGACCCGTCACATGACCAATTGTTCTGGTCACAATGTCGTTGCTTTTGATAGCAAATTTTTGATACATTGTTTTTGCTACACTCTTTTGTGTACCAGAGAATCGATGTTTGATGTTCTTATTATTTGGATAATATCAGGCTCGAGTTACCCTGGGTACCAGACTAACTAGCGAGTGTTCCTTTTCTAAACTTATTTTCACCAATTACACACTGTAATTGTTTCCAAGACCACTCAATAACGATTTTGCATGTCATTTAAGCAGCACGGTTGACCAGCTGATTAAATATGCTCTGTTTTATCAATATGAAAGAAAATCTTCAAAAAAACATATTGCTTTTTAACGTTTTATTCTTCATCTGGTCATGTTCTTGTGTTGTTCTAATTTTTCTTGCAAATCGAGCCTCGTAGTGTTCTTATAAAGTGTGTTATTATAAAGGAATAAAATAGTATTAAGTAAGAATTATTATGAAATTACGCACAAAGAGTGTTGCCCTATCATCTTTGCTAAGATATGAAAAGAAAATAAAAAATCCCTGTATCTTAAAAAATTACATGCAACAAATGTGTTGCTTTGTAATAAAAAGCCTAACTGCTTGTTAAGAGGCGCAGTGAGCAAACAATTAATTCGTAACAAACCCATCGAATATTGTTTTGATGCTGTCAATGAGAGGAAGGGAACTTTTTCGAGTAAAAATCTTGATATACAGAAGATTCCATTCGTCAGCAGCGGAAAGATGGTAAAAAGGCACACTGTCCTTAATTTCAACTGTAAACAAGGACAAAGAGGGAACACTGTCATCTTTCCTGTGACAAATGACCAAATATTTTCAAGCCTAAAGAGCCATAAAACCCAGGTGTAAGCTTTGTTTTCATATACTTTCGTAACCACCACTTTTTTGCATTGAGGAATCTTTGAAACTTTTCAGAAACGCGGCCCCGCTATGTACCTATTTCTACTTAGCCCCGCCCCGGGTATTATAGTTAAATGAAAAAAACTGTTATGACATCTGCAGGGTTTACGCGCCAAAAACAGTAGCTTCAAAAGTTTACAAGAGTGTGCACTTGCAGCCCCGTCGGAACCGGGGGGGGTGGCTGGGGGAGCTGGAGCCACCCCAATACCCAATAATTGTCAAACTGTAGTATGTTTCCTTTATAACAGTGTACTGAATGAGAAGGAAAACAATGGGCAACCCCCCCCCCCCCCCCCAAATATGAATTTCGTTCCGACAGCGCTGACTTGCATTTGTAGAGCCATCCGAATGGGATTTTTTTTAGAGGCGGGGGTGGAGAAAATAGCTAAGCCTTTAGTGTTTCTTGGTCTTAACCATGTTATGAAGGAAGTAGAACAAAGGTTGGCAATTATAGGGAGCTGCAGACCACCCAAAACACCCCCCCCCCATCTTGACCTGCCAATCTCCGGCTTTTACAATTAGGCCTTGTATTTTCTAAACGATTTACAAACACATTATTTTTTATTTCCTTCAAAGCCACGTTCAACATTTCTTCAAATGCGCTCTTAAAGATTCTGAAGAAATTGTGAATAATTTGGATTTGAACGAAAATACTTACCCTTGTATTGGCAGTTTTCCTTTCGTAATTAAAACAGGCTCATTCCTTCATTAGATCAGAATTAGTTCAAATATTATAGTAAAAGAATGTCCGGAAAGAGCGAGCAATGTGTCCGCCAAGCGCGTTATAGTTTGATTGCGTCGTTCGGAAATGCAAAGGTGTGATATGCATATAGAAGTAAACACTGTGCATAAAAATCTTAGAAAAAAGGAAGTCATTTCCATGAATAGGTTGTTTAAACCTGTGAAAGCTGCACTATTACAGGCTTGCATTAAAAACGTCTCCCAACCCTTCTTTGGTATGCTATATCATTATGAGAACAGGGAAAATCTTTAGTATTCTCTCTGAATTTTATATCCACTCCATATATTTTACCAAAAACATTTAGAGAAGCCGAGAAAAGTACACATTGGTTGCAAGGCTATTGGTTTTGCAGCTTTTTAGTTTAATTTTGCACCGTTGATATGAATATCTAGCATATTTTCCCAGGAAGGTCGACAGTATTTGCATAACATGCAAGGCCTGTTCAATACAATGGCGGGCTGGAGAGAGGATCCGATCTGAGACGCGATAGCACCCCAGCCCACGCCTCCACTCTTCTCGCGAGCTCTCACGAGCCTCCTTTTCATCGTATCCCATCCCCGCAGCTGCTTTCAAAGTGGTGCCTATCCACCAAACTGATCTTTCGCCCCTGCATAGCGCAGCAAACGGTAAAAATATTTCGTCGTACTTTCTTTGCCGTGTTGTGCGACCGCCAAACTTGAGTCCTATTTGTCGGTAAAGTGGGCGAGCCATCCTTTATTTGCCAACAAATCTTGAATTTTGTTGAGCACCCCTACATAGCAAAGGAACTTTTGCAATGAAATTTCTATCTATGGAGGTGTTTCATTCTCAAGCCCCACCGCAGCGACGGCCCTGAAAATCGTAGTCATAAAATTCGAGATTCATGCACATAGTCAGGTATCGATCAAAGGGTAACTTCATTCAAAGGAATTTGACGATTTTGCAAGCGCATTTGCGAATGTTTTCGAGGCTTACCAAGTTTGGCTTCGGCCGGAAAGCTCAATCGAAGCATAGGAAAAGAACGATCACATCTTTTCTTTTTGTCTATTGCTCTTTCTCTGAAACGAAGTTAACCAATCAGTAGTTGTCCTCTTCGCGCCGAAAAAACGACAATGGTGCCAGTAAGAGTTCCCCTTCTGCCCTTTCTCTATATCCCGCACAATCTGGGAGCTTGCACTGCAACAGAAAGGGAAAATAGGCCCGGCTTCTAGGAGTTTTGGGAATCCTTGAAAAAACATCGAACACAAAACAACATCGTTAGGGTAAATGCTTCACAAAGCGACTCCTCCTGAAAATTTAAGCAGCCTTACTTTCAAAATGTGTCAAAATTATCCGCCCATACACAAATAAGAACCCAATTCCTTGGGATTATGTTAAGTTTGAACATGCCAATCGTTTTAGAACCATGTATTCCAAGTTCTTATCTTTGCTTAATCTACCCAAATACTCGCCTCTTGGGCCTAAGATGACACCTGTACTTCGTCAAATTTAAGAAATGTTCCATAAGTAATTTGACCTGGATAAACTTATTGCAAATAAGTGCAAATTCCCAGTATATCTATAAACTCAATTTTAATTTTGTTACCTGACCTTAACGCATAGAACATAAATTTCTATTCAGATCTTAGACTTTGAGACCTTGAATACAAATAAAAATCATTTTTGGAGATTTCCACGAAACAACAGGGTTTCAAGGCGTGTAACTCGTCTGGCAAAAACTAAAGCGTACTGTCAGGTGCAAGGATAATATGGAGTTAGGATGGTACATATTTGTGTTACAGAATTAGGTCTGTGTAGCTACCTCCACAAAGCCTCCTTATTGAATAAACTTCCATTTCAAACACGACTTTGATAAAAGGTGATAATATCATCAATGCACCCTTTAAAAGCATCATCTTCTCTATCGGCTCTGCTACCCTTTTTGCCAATGGAATTTGCTTCCTCTCAAAGCCCTTCTCATAAGCAGGGGGCAGGCCTTCCCTGCTGCGTCCCGAGCCACAATCACACGATCTTCCCGCACATAACTGAATGTCTTTAATCTCTCAAGCCTTCATTTATTTATATCTATTTATACACATATTAATGTCCAAAGGTCAGCTTATATTAATTAATAAAAAATGTTTCAAGAATAGGCATCAGTGTAATTTTAGTACATCATTTAAGAAACCAGCCCAGAAAAACCTGGAAGGGGTAATAGGGGGAGGGGGCGAAGCTTGTGGATGAGTGGCCATTAAATATTTTCTGATCAGTCCCTCTTGGTATCTATTGGAACAGAAAAATGTTTCTCGTGATCCTTTGTGGGAAACAGCTACAAATAGTAAACAAAATCGCTTTATTTGGGCATTCAAGCATTATTTGGAGATTTGTAGAAAATCGAAACTACAGATTATCGACGTGTAATAGAATGAACCATCGAAATGTGGCGGATAAATATGTTTTATACGCAGATTCCTTTGGTCAACATATTCCTTTGGGAGAATTTTGACTATATTTTGATATTTGATAAGTGATGGGTTAGGTCTAAATGGAATCAGTTGAATCCAAATGGAATCCATGCGGTTAAGCTTTGTTAAGGAAAAACCCAACAAGAATCAGTTAAGTAACACATTTATTTGACTAGCTCAACATAGTGTAGTTGACCTGATTTGTAAAAAATTATTCAGGGTTTTAGCAATTCAAAACTTTAAAAAAGCTGAAACGCAAGAATTTTTACCTAATTGGATCACAACAAAGTTTTTTCTCTCATGAAAGAGAAGCCTTCAATTCAAAGAATTACTTTTAAATAAACTGACTCACAAAGTTTTAAAATACAACTCCGTCAAATTAGATACATATTTGTGTACCTTGCCTTGCCATTTGCCGTCACTTGGTAACAAACACAGGTCACAAAATCTTGTCTGAGCTTCTGCAAAATGCAATTTTGAACAACGTTTTTTCTCAAAATCGAGGATTTTTAGCGATGTGTGGGTGCTTTTTCGGTGAATATTCAAATTTGTCAGCAAATTAAGGCTGTATCACTCATTTTGTTGGCAAATGAGGCCTGAACACCTCCTTAGAGCGAAAAAGCTAGCTATAGCACTGCTTACACCCTCTTAATTTAAGAACAAATTAAGAACAATTCAGCCTCAGATTTTCGAAAAAATTAAGAACAGTCAGCCAGAACTTAAATTTACTGGTTCTTATAAAAAAAGAGTGTACTACATGTAGCTGCGATTCGTTACCAAGAAAAACGCATCGCTGTCAAAAGAAAAAATTAAATATACTTTTAGGCAGATTGAGGTACGAAAAGGTACAAAAGAAAGTTATTCAGACTTTGTAGCTCATATACGAATATTGTAAACATGCCCTCTGTGTATATATTTTTTAAATTAATTTGTTCCATTCAGAGGCAGAAGTAAATGAAGTTGAGAACCCTGATTACCAAATCTTAAAAATTTCCACACAAAGAAAAGAGAAATGCACCTAGAGTTGAGTCTTTTGGTACACCTTATGATCTCTGCTAGGTTTGCGGCTGAACACTGTGTAACAGTCTAAAATAGCTTTTGGAGACGTTTTCGAATTTGATCTACCTTTACCTTATTGTGCACGTTAAGTAATGCTAGAAATCAAAGTTTCCTATATATTGATTCATACATGCATGAAACTTAATATATCTAAACATCTTGCAAATATGAAAGATTTAATCTCATTGAAAAGATTGAAAAGATACAATAAGAACCACTAAAAGACTGGTAACTACTAACGAGAACCCTAGTACGCTTGTACAAGTACCCTAAGTGTGTGCTTGTATACAATTTTATGCCGTTATATAAATTAAAAAGTACAATTCAACTCATTAGCGACGGGAGAGCAGAATGAATCATTTTCATCATGGCAGACTTAGCTTTTAACATTGGCAAGGGATGATTGTACACTTCTGCAATCTGACTCCCTACATCACAGCTTTTTTACTCCTTACAATGGGTGATACTACAATTATACTTTGCCTTGATTTCATTCAAAAACAACGAGATGTTGTTTTGTTCAAACAGGACCGTCTCAGTTACAAAAATTTCAATTTTACGGAAAATAAAGAAACTTTTTTCTATCTAGAAACCCTTGAAACATTCTAATATGTTTGGGTTTTTAACACCTAACATAACATTATATTATTGCGATGGACAATGCTTTGAGTCACGCTACACTCGCCACAAATTTGTGGACTTGAGCATGAAGAAATTCCCAAGTCATCTTGTTTCGATTATAAAGCTTAATCGTCTTATTGAAGATGATAAAAGCATTAACATTTAATATTCAGCTGTCTTTACCAAAAGGGGTACTTAGCACGCCACGTACATTAGATATGTACGTAAGCTATTGGCCCGCCTCTAACTTGTCTACTGTGAAGAGCTAAAGGTAAGACTACCATTGTTTGTATGCGACTCAGCCAATTACCAGGCGAATCTCAAACACCACCTGAGTCGCCTTCAAGCCACAAGCCGTTACTTTCGCGCTATTGCTTGGACTTACACCAGGTTTTTCTACCTAAGTACGTTAACAAAATAAGATGCAGCATCAACAAACGAAATACATTATTCTTCGTATATAGCAAAGTTGTTAATAGACTGAAAAGGCAAATGATTTTGATCCGGACTCTGCTTACTGGGAGCTGTGAAACTCACAAGTGAAGGCCTTTATGATATAACTTCAATAATTCTCCTTATGAATGTAGATAGGGATCGATATCAATACATTACATTTTCATAACTTTTTAAACAGAGAGTAGTCTTAGCTATTTTAACAAATATAAGTTATTTTTCCACTCAGTGTTAACCTTATGTCAAGTCTGCCGCTTAAATTCACAAAATAATCTTCTCAGACCAACAAAAAAATTTGGCCACATTAAATCTGCTTCTTCAATTCACCTGTTTGGACCATTCGCGATTTACCAACCTTTCCACTCGCCCCTTTACCCTTTCGGAGAACTTGTTTCACATAATGAACAGCAGGCCCTTAGGAAAATACCCTAGATCAGTGAGTACCTGATCACGGAATCTGTCTAAAAATGCTTCTATAAGCAATAGGATATCTGTCTGCGTAAACCAATCCCATATTAGTTAATAGCCTCTATTGTCATTTGAACAAATCACATCACGATATCATCTATGTTAGCAGCGTCTAAAGAGGCAGTCGCCAGTCTGGCCATTACACAGCAGACTAAAATAAATCCTATCATTCTAAAGATATGTTTTTAACAGATCAGCTAACTTCTGACGACGTGAGCTTGTATTCCTTCGTGTAAAAGTGCACCAACTTTAATTCTTTTTAATGACATACTCTGACTATTTTCTTCAGGACATCATTCCAGTTTCAACGCAATAAGCATAACAGTTAAATGGTGGCATTTCATATAAAATTAGGTAAAAAATATGAGCCTGGGGCCGCCTCAGCACACCAACTGAAAGGCAATTTCCGCTCCAGCATCATGACATTCCCATTGAAAGCAATTTCTGCTCCAGCCTCAATGACATTCCATTGTTTAAAAGATAGGCTATTGTCATCTACTTTTTAATATAAACAAAGGTTATGACACCCTTCTCCCACCCTTCTCCCACCCTTCCTCCATCTTTCACTTACTCTCCCCTCACCTTTCTCCCACCCTCCTCCCACCTTTCTGCCACCCTCCCCCACCTTTCTCCCGCCCTTTTACTACCCTTTCTCACCCTTCCCCACCCTCTTTCTCCCTCTTCCTCCCTCTTTCACTCACATGAACAATCTCCCTCACCCTCACTACATGAGCAATCCTTGCCAAACCTCTTGAAAGAACGCAATAGAGTGCTCTATGTATAACATGTTAATTGGTTACACTGTGTAGTTGGTTTTTTGTATTATTGTCAACAAAAATGATCTTGTTTTACTAAATGACTCAAGGGTCTAGTTTGACAACAGATAATTAGATTTGGCAGTGAAAATGAATAACTTTCTCTGGAATGATAAAAATGATGAAATAGTGAAATAAGAAGTTGCAATTGTGATAATGCAGAAAGAGAGAGATGTCAGAAGAACCTAGCTTAAAGGCACTCTGTCCCGTCAGTCAACTACTCAGAGTTAACGATAGGTTTTGCTGTGCATTTACGTGAATTAGCTTCACGTTGGTGATTGGAGACTCAACAATCCATCGATTATGTAGTCCTACCAATTGAAATTTCTAATAGCCAGCAAAATGGGTCGAGAGGGTGTCTTTAAAGCACCAATCATCGTAAAATTTATAAATAAGGTGAAAAACATTATCAGATATGAAAATTTTTGAAAGAAGATCAAAATTTAATTTTTCGCATAACAAAGATATTGGTGCTTACTGAAGTAAATGAAAAGACAAAAACGAAGACAGTGTGATAGTAATGAAGGAGAAATTCAATCATTAGAACCAAACAAGAATAGAACAATATTGGAAACGGTGATAAAATTGAATGAATCTTCATAAAGTGTTGCAGTGTAATCAGTTCTATTCTTGAAGTATCATTGATCACTTCCAGCTGTTAAAATTAGCTATATGACATCACAATCTAATTTTAACAGCTGAAAATTATTTTGCTCAAAGACTTGCGTATCCAATCCTTAAACAAGACAACTTGCGTGATCATTTAATACAAAAAATAATGTAAATTATAAATCAATATTCTGAACAGATGTTTCTTTACCATGATCTTCATAAACTATTTTAATGAAAATCGCTCTTGTCTGATAGATGTAGCGACTTGATAGCCCAGGGGGTACTCTCTACTTTTCTATACGGGTCCATGTCAATATTTGGGGTCTGAGATTTTAGAGAAAAATATGTTTGGGGTCTGTGAATAACAGGTTAAAAAAAATTCGATATCTGGGGTCTGAGAATTACAGCTTGAGAAAAATTCAATACTTGGTGTCTGAGAATTAGAGCTTAAGAAAAATTCAATACTTGGTGACTGAGAAGTTTAAATGAAGTTGTAAAAGAAAAACCAAATATAAGAATGACAACCTTATCGCATAGAGATCTAATAGAGTTCGATGGTTATCTAATAGAGTTTGATGGTTATCTAATAGCGTACCGAAGTGTGACGTCATTAAAAATCTATTTTTAGAATTTCTTAAATTTGGCCACATAATCTGAAAGAACGGCATAAAAAATATCTCTCAATATTCAAAATTAGTCAGATATATTCAAAATTGAGCGAGATATGGCCAATGAAAGATGTCAAATTTGCTAACGGAATACTGCTATTCTGGCCTGGTTCATAAAGTTATGAACCAAGACCAAGTTACAGAGGTTCGATGGGGCAAGAGCCTGTGCTCAAGTGGCCATATTCCAGCCGATTCGTAATGCCTTTCAATGATTTTGCATATTTAGATGATGCTCTTTCAGGTTCTGGGTTCAAAATTCAGAAATTCTAAAAATAGATTTTTATGACGTCATCATTTCGGTACTACTACTAAGTCAGCCATTACTCTTAGGTTCCGAATAAACAGGGGTGACGCTTATTAATTTTCAGATTTAAAATATGTTTGTTTTAAAATAAAGTGGTAGTTCAAAATAATTAACAATATTTAGGATCTCAAAATTTTAAGACTCAATATTTGGGGTTTTTTCAAAACTGCAACTCAACATTTGGGGGTCAACAAAAAGTTGCTGGCATGGAACCCCCGCATAGAAAAGTAGTGAGTAACCCCCTCCCCCCTGAGCTTGACAGTTTTCTATTTCAGGACGGTTTCAATCTATGGCTGAAAATTGATGTTGGAAGCAAATATATATTTTCCCAGGGAGAAATATCAAGATGCAGTTTGTGACGTAGCCTCAAAAACATTCAGAACTAAACTTGCAGTATATTGAGCAAGATGCAGTTTGTGACGTAGCCTCAAAAACATTCAGAACTAAACTTGCAGTATATTGAGCAAGACAACAACATCAGTATTTTCGATAAGATTTCAAATAATTTAACGGTACCGCAAAAAACTAGATTTTCCCAAGAAAACTACTAAAGTTATCATAAATTGAGAGAGTAAACGGTTTCATTGTCAGTTCAAAGTATCAAAATTACTGTTTCACTAAAGACAGAATTAAATCCCAATAGTTCAGGCAAGGACGAGAATCGATGTTTTTATCTATCACTGATTTGCTGGTTAAAGTTGTAGACAACAATGCTATCAAAAAGATATAAAAATTTTAGCAAATCCTATTTTAAATTTATTAATACATTCTATATCGATTATATACACGTAAAGTAGTGTTCTTTAGTCACGATGTCGAATAAATCCTTTTCAGAATATTTCAATTTGAATAAGATAACTTAAAAAGCACAATGAAATACCCCTTGTTTTGCAAAATCAGTCAAATGAAGCAGAAATTGGCTGAGCTATGGCCACGTGAGGCCCCTGTTCATAACTTTTTGAGACATACAAATACATAAGTAATCTGTGAGCGAACTTTTTCCATTTGCCTATCTTAACCGAATTTAGACATATTTGATTGTTCTTTTCGGTTACGTGGTCAGAATTCAAAAATTCTGAAAATAAATTTTAATGACGTCATACTTTTAAGAACTCTATTAATGTGTCAACTAGTGTTGTAAAGCTCACAAAAGACATTGCATATTTTCTATGGCAAGGAAAGATCTTTCTACATAGTGAAATTTTAATAAAGAGTACATTAACTTCAATTTCTGGTACAAAATGAAATAACTATTTGCAGAAATTTATGATACACAAGACTACCTTGATGTTTGTTTATTTTAAAGTAAGCAATAAAAACATTTGTTTGTATTTTCATTTTGCTCTTAAAAACATAAGAAAAGAAAACTGCTTATCGAGTATTCTGGTGTCTGCGACCTTTTTGGTCCTGCCATCTGAAGAAATTCAACGTAGATTTTGTTTCATTTTAAAATGTCATATCAAATGTTCGCGTTCTTGCCTTTGCAGAGCTCAAACTGAATGAATTGAGAATTTCAGCAATTCCAGCAGGCTTTTTGGGCAAAGATAACCAAATATTCAGGCGACGTTTGCAGCGTCTAGGGATTCTTAAGCCCAGACTTTCTACCAAGGTTAATTAATAAAATAGATAGTCGGAAATTGTAGCAAAAAGATCGAGCATAGTAGATAGGAATGTCTGTTGTAGGTAGATTCATTTTGAAAACGATAGGCATTCTCATAGCAGCATATCCAGAGTGACTATTTGTTGAGGAAATCGATCGTATAAAACGATACCTCTGTTCTTGTTATTGTCAAGCTGGTCGATGAAACCAAACCAATATATAACCATTCCTGATCCAAATCTACAAAAAAGGCCGCACAGTTTTAACTGATATCGGCAAAATCCCCCGCATTCGTATTTTCAACTCTCTATAAATTTCTTAAAACTGATTTTACTTTACGCAGGAATGATGTAATGACTTCCAAGAAATATTAATTCTTTTCAAGACGGTAGGGTTCAACACATTATTTGCAGCGTCCATGCTTCCTTTTATTTTCACTTTTCATTATTCTTCTTGTCCAGGGACCTCGGAGCACATTTGGGGTGGGAGGGTCTCTAGACAAATCTCTAGACAAATCGAAAGACTTCTATGGTAATTTTTCCACTACAACCTTTGATGCCACAACATAAATATCACACTTTAGCAAAAATTTGAGGTGCTACAGCCCCCTAGCTTCCCCCCACCCCTCTGGCTACGGCGTGCCTGTCTGCTTCACGACATGGAAAAGCGTATTAGATTAGATGTTTCTAGCAAAGGACTGGGTTTTCGCAAAGTTATCTTGTTTTGTACATCTGGGAACTTTGGGTAATATAACAAAAAGAAATGCTTCACGGCAGAGCTAGCTCAAATTATACCAAAAAACCAAAATAGCCCTGTTTTAAAGACATCTTACTCAAATGTACAGTGCACATATGTGGAATAAGCTTCTAGCTTACACGCGTAGATACTGACTAAGAGGCAGAATATGAAATGGTATCGTAACAAACGCTACCTTAGACACACACAAGACACTGACTATATTTTTTGGCCTCTTCATGTGCATATACGTGACAAAACTATTAGGAAGATTGCCTCAAAGAAAATGTGTTAACCCTAAGTATGCTCAACGAGCAACATAGAAAGTCAACGGGGCATAACGAGATTACTGGCTGAGATTTTCCATTGCCATTTGACCTCATTGTATAAATTAACATAAATTGAATAAATTAAAAAAATATCAAATTTTTTTAGGCAAGTATAGCTTGTTTTGTTTTTCATTTTGTCGGATGCCCTCCAGGTTCTAGGCAGCCGTCATCTGCATTGGAATTGACCCAAATACATTTGCAACGAATTATCGTTGGATACAGAACGAAAACTCCACAAAAATCATAAAGGACCGAATTTTTGTTCTTAGAAGATTGCATTACTTGGAAATTCTTTTATGAGAAACCAGTTGTTTTCAAAAACATCAAGGCTTGACATTGACGAGATTATTGAAAGACCACGATGTCATTGTTCTTGGTAATTTTTGTCACAATTGCAAAATAGCTAAGTATACTTCTTGCTCCAAAGTAAATGGTCTTTGCATAGCAGCATTACTTGATTCTGTATTAGTCGTGAGGCTTTCAACAAATATTTGGAGAAACTATTCAGCATTGATTTGCCTCGCATACAACGCCAGCTTGCCGACACCATTAGGCCCAACCAATGGTCGACCTGGCCTCCTTTGAATTTTGGTCGTACTTGTTGACTTATTGGTCATGTAAATATCATATGGCGTAGACTTGCTGCGACCAAATTTTCTTGCTACACTTTAGCAAACGAATGATCGGCTAGACCGAAAATTTTTATTGCTTCTCATTCTCTTTCTGATAAACTTCGTATTTTCAATATTGCAACAAAAATATTAATACTGTACATTCCCCTCTGACATTTTTCATATTTCTACAATAGAAAGGTAGCAAACAAATTAAAATTTGCTAGAATTTGCATTTTTGTTGACGCCATTGCTAGAATTCTGCCACAACAGAAAGTTTTGCTCAAACAATGTCAGAATTTTAGTTTTGAAGCCGCCATTTTCTTATCCATCGTCCTAATACTTTTTCACGTAAGTGTATATTGAAGGTCAATCCGGTCGATGTGTTATATTACCCAGTGTGATAAAATTCCATTGAATTCTGTATCATGTAACGAGGCTTAGCACAACACTCCTTTCACTGGGGTTTTATTCTTGATAACATGCTAGTAAGTATATTAAATATCGAAAATGTAACTTTTAGCTGATAAAAATTCCATATTCGCTGCTTAGAAACTGAGCTGTAAATCTTGAGTAAAACATTCCAAAAAGTCTCAAAAACGAAGTCAATGGCGTATATCGATAATATACTGACTTAACATATATTAGCCTTCTATAAGACTATTTGAAAAGCTTTCCTTTCCTCGAATTCTGCACCCACAAACTTCATACAAAATTCTAGACATTCTAAGTCTATAAGAACACTGGCCTCGTAACAAAAAAAAGGCTCACTCGTCTCTTTTATGATCGTATGAGAACTTTCTATGGTTACGCTTTCGTCACTTGAATAATCAATTATTTTCTCAAAAAATTATCAATCGCATAAAACCGTTTTCGGCAAAGTCATTGCAAAAAGTTCCAGTTTGTGATATTTTAAAGCAAAGCACGTCAGATTTCAAGGAAGAATCCAACTTTTGAGAATAAACAGGCTGATAACGTCGGCTTTCGAAATAAAACTGATATCGCTGAAATGCTATCAACATTTTTGTTGCAGCTTTCAGCAGCTATACCGTTCCTTAGCAATTTTCAAAGACCGAGGCAAAACACAATATTTAAAACAAGCGATGCTGACGCTAAAATGAGATTATGGCATCTTCTAGAAATATGATTGCTTATTTGTAACTAACCGATTTGTGTAGCTCCAAAATTGATCTTTGAGATAATTAGTATGACTTTCCTCGTCTCCAAATGATGCCTTGCTTTCGATCCAGTTTACGACGTAGCCATCCACAGCTAAAAATCCAAAAAGGCATATCAACGAAGATCTGTCCTTAAGACAATGAGAAAAGAATCTGAAGACAAAACATTGTGGTAAAGTACCACATTTTCCGAGAGCAAGCGCTGATCAACCTTGCTATTTCCGAAGACTGTTAAAACGACATTCATATAGCGCTTAAGACATTAGGAGTTGCCGTAAAATTGTAAAAGCAGAAAGCAAAAATGTAAAGGGGGTATTTCTTGTACTTCGGTATAGAAAATATATTTCTATATGGTGAAACTTCAAATAAATATACGGTAACTTTAGTTGTTGCTATAAATTGAAGTCTATTCTTGGCGGACACTAATACTGAAAAGACTTCATTACAGCCAGCACGTTTTGAACCTAAAATAATATTATCGTTAGTATAATTTGCTAATATGGCTTAAAATAATACAATGCCATCATTAAATAATACTCTCCAAGCCTCTAAACTTCGAGTGCGGAAATGGAAAACCAAACAGAGTAGCGGAGGAGCTTCGAAATCTTCTTAGATAGACGCTCCTCCGCTTCTGGGCTCCTATCTTTTATTTCTGCGAGCGGATTGATGTGGCTCTGGTACCGAAGGATGAGTTCAAAAAAGGGAGTTGGACGTAAAGTTTCAAGCTACTCCTAATCGTGATTTTGAATAGACTCGGAACTCCCTGATTTTACATTCACTTGAAAAAGACATAACTGAGTTAAGAAGATTCGATTTTATTGAGAATTGTTTCTTTTTCTAGTTTATATAACTTCAAGCATCATTGTCTAGTCAAAGACACTAATATTTTCATAGTTCTGCAAAATTCAATGACAAATAATTGTGTTTGACATATTTTTCCTTTTCAAATTTATATCTTTCATGTAAAGATCGCAAGCCCATAACATCATAGCTTTTGTTTACAATTAGATATACATTATTAACTGACCTATAAATTATCATTTATTTCAGGATTTCATAATACTGATTAAAGTGTCCAAATAACGAATTTGTACATAGACCAAACATTAGCATTAAGGTGTTGGCAAAATGTTTTGACATCAAAAGATGAATATACAATTTCTGCTTGTAAATTATTTGAAATTATCCATCGATGGAACAGGGGCTAGGAGACAATAATAATCAACTAATACAAATATTTCACGGTGCAAGTCTGACATGCTCTTCCAGAATACGACTAAATGAAGCAAAGGTATCTATGGGGACTCTTCTAGAAAATAACATGTTATATAAATGCCAGGCCTTGTTCGTTTCCTGAGGTGGATGGTTGAATATCATATAACCCTTGAAGTAATATTAGCTCAAAAGAAAAAATAAAGGAAGGCAAAAAAGGGGAAATAACTGTTCTAAAAAGAAGTTACTGTTTCGAGATTTTCAAAAAATGCTGATCATATGCCGAATTGCATATACCGAAAAATGAGCATTTCAGAGGAAACAGGTGTGCTTTTTTTAATTTAGAGAATAGTCCATTCTCACAACACGTGTTAACATTATACATCCTTTAAAAACCCGAGACTAGATTTTAAAGCCCTGTTTATCCTTCTAAGAATCTACCTAGATTAAGTCCAGGCTATTTAGTCAGGGGTAAACCAATTTACGATTGCACTACACCAAATCAAACGAGGAGAGTAGACAAGAAAGAAGGTTGATCATGGGTTGCTTTAAGAGAAGGATTCAGTGTTCCTAATTACACATGCATACATTGCAACCAGGAAAGGATTGAGTATTCTTACGCATGCGTGAAAGAGTTTTCCTATGCTCAAGCCTGTACGGAAATTGCACTACAATATCACCTAGCACCCAATTCTCTCGTTCTGAATGGGTTAAATCTTCAGATCTAACTTTTAGAACATGGGCTTTATCAGGTACCATGGCTCAACCTACCTCTCGCGGCGGTTATCTCAACCTGGGTAAAACCTGGATAGGTTGCTACAAAAAGTTTCTACTTGGACTCATTTAACCTGTGCTGAACTTTGAATCGACAATCGATGCCTTTTATTCACGGTTGAAAGCAATGCAAATCTGTGATCAAGAATGACAGAAAACCTAGTAATCAAATCCATTATGCATGGATAAGACTCAAATCAGAACTTAAATGAGTCTTTGGTGAAATTTGAATATTATCAGAGCTTTAATAGACCAGCTTACCAATAGGTACTTCAAGCCTGCAATCTGGTGTTTTATCGAAGCCTAATTGTCGTTGTCTTGCTTCATCTAGAAACAAAGAAGTAGATAACGTCGCGAAAACAACAAGTTTTACTATCTAGAACCAAAAAGTAGTCATGAAAACATTGAAATTATCACTAAAAACAAACTACAGCTTGGCCTTTGCATTAAAGACCCGCACATAAGTTCAAAGTTTCTATAATTTTTCCTATGTAGAAATGAAGGATCTATTCTATGTAGAAGTATGATTCAAATTTGAAAACGCAAAACATTTTGGCTTTTGGCTTTGCATGCAAAGGCGGCTTGTGGCTGGTTGTTTATGCAATATAAAATCATAAATACAATATTTGTTCTAAGAAAGAGATTTTACTAAAACATTTTCTAAAATTGATTGCCTGTCAGGATTTGCAAAGAAGTTAATGACCAAGACTGTCAATGTTAGCTTTCCAGATAAAGAGTGGCTCTTAACTACACATGGAAGGTGATTTTTTGACATGATTTAGAAATACTGTGAAAGATGGTACAGAAGACATAGAACACCTTTCATTTCTTGGAAGTACATAAATAAGATCTTAATGTTAGAATCAATGAATTGTAGACCTTCTCAAGGAACATTTGATGCAACCTCTGTTGTGTGGTGATAAATGGTTCCCAAGCCAATTCCGGAAATTGCATAAAGGGGAATGGGCAACCAGTAGCCTTTGCGGGCGTAAGATGGGAAGGCGGCCATTTTCGTGGTCCATGAAAATGGTGGAAAGCTGATAGCACAAGCTGCGCGCAAAATGAAACCAAATAGGCCGTCCAAAGCGATCTGAAGCGCTACATTAATACCAAAGATTTCCCATCGAATTCTACTCGCCATTTTTGTTTTGCATAGAAGAACACAGTTAGAAAAACAAAACAAATGCGAGCGCGCAAAGGCTGCTGGTTGCACAGGCCCCTTTAACTCTATCCACGCTTCTATTTAGTTTATTCGGGTGTTAGCTGACCCTTCAAAAACTCATAAAGGCAAAAATAACACCAAATTCTTCCCACTAATTCTCTTACTGTCTTTGCTGTGTTGCCAAAATGAAATCGAAATATACAGCAAAACGAATAAAAACTGACCAAGAAATGGAATATTTTTTTCTGCTAGTATTTCTTTCAGGTGGGTTTCATAATCTTCGCCAATTTTCCTGTTTTTTTAGTTAAGAAATTTCTGAAGAAAACCAGAGCATCTCAAATCTGGAAGTCAATTAGAATTTCATTTTTAAAGAATCGTTATGATTTATGATCTTACTAAAATATGTGTAAAACTTGTAAAATTTGAACATAAATAATCATGTTAGAAAATATATATTGTTTCTAAAGAGTTTGCATTATAATGGCACATTTTCTTAACAGAAGTTAATCTTAGATAGAAATTTAGATGGAAAAAAGCGTAATGATATAAAAGCTTTTTACATGCTTCGAATTTTTCAAAAGGGAATTCTTTTAGCAAACTTTTCAAAGAGCAAATTGTGATTCAGTTCATTACACAAAATAAATTGCCATCATTTCTCGAAATATGGTTCATTTTTGAAGCAGTATTAATCCAACATCTTCATCATAATGAACTTCAATTCATTGCTCAAAAGAATTCATCATTTCTTTGACTATCGTTTTTGGAATGAAATAAACAGATTGTTACACTCTTGAAAAGGATACCTCTTCATGGCATCATTATCAGGACCACAATCTTCGTCAGACTCTAGACACTGAAAAAAACCAACAAAATCTACGTTGATACACGTACTCTGCTATATCATATTTACAATGCCTGCCAAAAGTTTTGAAACACTGACGTTGGATTGCAATATCAAAATCAATCGTCCCCCTCTCCCCCACGTACTGTTGTACATCGTATGTGTGAAGCAATCGATAGCATTATATCATATTTACAATGCCTGCCAAAAGTTTTGGAACACTGACGTCAGATTGCAAGGTCAAAATCAATCGTCCCCCTCTCCCCCTCTCCCCCACGGAAAAATGTTGGTTTACTATCAAACGGGTTAGGACTTTTGGAAGCACCTTTTTCGCGCTTCTTTTATGATATTTCTCTAAATTATCAACACTGTTTTAGGGGAAAGGGGGCGGAAGTAGTATTTTTTTTAAAAGGAATCAAAAATATAAAATGCAATGCAAATTGCTAGGTGTTCCAAGTACTTCTGGAAAAGCATTGTAAGCTCAAATGCTAAAAGTACATGTATGAATCTCTTACCAATACAACTTCTTTAGCCAGGTTTTCATGCTCAATAAGATTTGGATCTTTCAACAATAGAGTTATGTGGCCCTTAGGAACTAAAAGTAGAATAGGACATGTTAGCATTCAACAGTACATGCATAGAAAGCACAAATATTTTGGAGAACTGAAATCTACCTGCTGGAAAATTGTTATCTACCTAGAGAATGTAGCCATGACTACAAAAAGCTTGGTGATTCACAGAAAGTGGTGCACCAAAATAAACTTTCTGAAGTACCTGCTGTTGCTGTTACATGTAATCATACGAGAGTCCACAATCAGAGCAAAGACTTTATGTGCAGTGTTCAATAAATAAAACACAATTATCTTGTTTGATTCAGGTTCTATATAGCATAAAATATACATGGATAACGGCATCTTTGTAAAACTAGTCTTTGAGTCTTTGATTTGTAAAACTCGTCAAGTTCTTACCTGTTCCAGCCTCTTTGAACTTGGTTCTTCTTAAATACTCGCCAAGGATTATTCTTGCTATCATTACTGGAGGAAAATCAACCTAAGAAATGACACAAAAAGTCAAATGTTGAAGAGATTCTCCCCAAAGGCCTTATTTCAAGAAAAATGACAAAACCAAATAGCCACAAACAGTTAATAGGCACAACCAAATAGCCACTACAAAAAGGAATCGTCTACATCATCGAAGCTGTCGTAAAATTTGCCCTACTTCCCGTAACACTGTATATTTTGTAGCCTAAAAGGCTATAAGATTTTATTCCTGAGCATGAAGAGAAAAAGTTCGGAGGGTTTTGGGAAATTATTCTCAGATTGGCAAATTGGCAAAGAAATTGGCAGAAATGACTGATATAAGAGTAGAAAAGTACTTAAATACAAAAAACAAAGTACAAAGAGGTTTAGAACCCTATGGTAGAACTGAGAATACACGTCTTACAGCCTTGATCTAAAAAACGAGAGCCTTACAAAGCACATCTGTGAAACAACTTAATGAGAAACCCAAAGGTCATGATTTGCTTCTTTGTCGATAAATCCTTGACCAAAATTATTTTCTCTGACAGAAACTCATCAATCAAGTACTATAAAGAGTAAGAGAATATTAGAGGGAAAAGAGCTTAGTGTGTACTTCTAGTGAAAGGTTCTTGTCCCCCTTGTTTTATGTCATATACAAGGTGATAAAAAGATGCAGGAAATGATCCTGCAGGGAATTGTGTAAGAGGCAAACAGGCTGCAACAGGCATCATATCAAGCCTTGTCCTGACAGCTAACATTCGTTTATACCATTTGATTATTAGATAACCCATACAACCCTTACTGACAATTATTTACATATCGTGTCTATATAACCTGAGAAGATATTAAACCAACTAAGCTACAAATTAAACAGAAATCTGGAAAAGATACATATGATGTACAAAACAGTACTGTAAACTACCAAAGCAAAATTGGGGGTTTTTATGTACAAGGAAAGATAGCTTAGCCTATTGCGAGGATTGTTAAAATAACCATCCAGTCTTAACATAGAGTATAGGACAAGTGACAGAAAATAAGGTTTTCTTACAATTTAGAAACAATTATATTCCAAATTAATCTAATGTGGAAATACATTTATGAAGTTCTTCATTAGTCCAGTGATCTGTCAAGAGTTATTCGACAAGTTTTAGTAAATTTTCGTTATATGATTATGTGTTAAATTTTCAAAGGTTTGAAATGATAAACATTAACCCGATCTTTAAATGAGGTTACCTGACAACCCCTCTTAAACCGGAATATTCTATACTGTAAAACAAACTAGGGCGCAGAAAGTTCAAGCTGTTACCTCATTGGCTATTTGAACTATGATGCCAGGTTTACCATTAGAATCGCAATGCCTCATGCACCTGGAATAAAATACGCATTTTATTTGCAGACATTCGTACTTACAGACTATCCTTATTTCTTTGCATTTCTTTTGCAGTCATTATTGCACAAAAGCAGCAATTAGAGCTAAGAGTGTTTATCTAACTATCATAAAACAGTAAGTCATACTACATAAAGATTAACCATTATATTTTCGAATTTTTATATCAGAGGATCAAAATTCATTTAATAAAAGAGATTCAAAATGTCATCAAACAAATACCAGCTCATTTGCTGATAATTCACTGACAATATAACCGAATACCTAAAACTTAACACAAAATTATAACCTGACATGAATAACTAACAATTTGAAATTCGCTTTTTTTGTAGAAACCATCTCTAAAGAATGAAATATTTTACAAGAAAAAAGCAATTCTGTAAAAATTCAATTTGCTTAAAACCTAAATACTATAAATTGCTTCAGTTACCTTATAAGTGGAAATCAATAGGTATAATCCCTTTTACCTTTCGTAATAGGACTGCGCGACATCAGGGCGGCGATGCTTCTTCATGTTAAGTTTTATCTTTCGCTAAAACGAACAAAATTAATCAGAGAAATAAAACACTGACTTGTGATTTTGTGAAAAACGTAGATCCAATAGGTTGGCAGTCAAAAGCTGGACTTATACTGAACAATTGGTATTATAGTTTCAAGATATAATTGAAATTGGTTATCTGGCTTGCACAACCTGAATACACACTGGCATGTTGCTTACAGGCCCAATTTACCAGGAGCCACAATTAAAAAGAAGGAAGCAAATTTGTGGAGAATATAAAACATCATTCTTAATAGAATAGCTTTAAAAGGCATATTTCTGATGAGTAAAATCGTTCCCATACACTAACTCGCTTTTTGCAGCTCTGTTTCTCACCTTGTGTGTACCAAAACCCAGGCTTTCATTAAAATACATCTTAGCAAACAAGTCGTAAGTCTTAAGTCATAATGTTACTGGATTAAACAGTGCAGCTACAGAGAATATGCATCGGTAAGCCTTTATTAGTACTTGGAAGCATTACGAAACTGAAATTAATAGCGTTAGCTAGTCAATAAAAGACAAGAGATCGTAGCGTACATGCGACAGACATTTTTTGACATATAACTGTTTCCCTCGTGACGAGAAGGTTCTTTAATCATCCTTCTTTTAAAAAATATCATAATGGTGATGAAAAGCAAATAAATCCTTGATTCCTTGATGCTATTGGTTCTAAAATTTATTTTGTTCATACATAAAAGAATGCAGAATGGGAGAAAGTGCTGTTAAATCAATTGGCACAAGTAAACTCGATGTTTTGGTCCTTCAAAAATCAGTTCTCGGCGTTACCCCGACAAGCTTTCAATCTTCTTCTGTGATGATTTTAAGCTGAGACAAATCAAATTTTCTAAACGTGACAAATCTTTAGGTAACATTCAATTTTCAGCACAGCTAGCACATATCAGAGTTAATCACATTATTCAACACAACTTTTCATTTTACAGGAGTACGGTGAAAAAAGCAATCCAGGATCCATTTTTAAATATTCAAAAGAATAATTTAGAAGTCAAACTGCAAACGAATCATAAAAAATAATTACCACGTGATGAATAGTTCAAAAATTACACCGCATTAATTCTTGCATAATAGAGGATTTGAGAAAATCAATTACACATTGCCTTACCAAAATAGCTGCCAGCATCCTAACAGCACAAACTGTCTCTCTGTTACTTTCAAAACCTCGTGTTCCTCTTTCGAAGTGCTTTATTCCATGTTACACGAGGTATCGTGACCTTTTCGGTGCAACTGCCTACATCTGAGTACTTATTTGACTGACATTTTAGATACTCCCTACACTTATATTAAAAAGCCCTAACAAGACTGCACCCAATTAAAGTCTCATAGATCAGAGCTTTCATGTCAAAGTTATAACTCTTGTCTTTTTATCCTCTCGTGACAACATAAGGCCAATAAGAGCCTTATTCCGAGCGCATTGTGAATGGCCTTTGCCTACTTCTAGAATCCACTTAAATATTCTCTCTAGCTCTTGTCAGCTGTTTCTTTGAGCGACGCCTTCATAGTTCGAGCCACTTTTACGTCACTAGACCCAGACTCTTACCACACAATTAAGATTTTGAAGACTCTACCATCAAATAAAAGTGATGTTGTATGCAATCTTAGAGATCTAACTATGCACTTCTGGGAGGGGGAAACCTTCAACATACACTGGTACGGGAAGTGCCATTTTTCAGGGTATCTTGCTTCAAATAGAAAATAAATTTTGGGGTTTCAATGATTGAGTTCTTGGAACTTCCAAGGGTATGCCCTCCTGCCCCCCCCCCCTCCGCTGGGTTTATAAGTAAAAAAACCGTTCATTTCCAGGAATACAAAAATGACAGATTTTGTTTAGAAAAGGGCATAAAATATTATTTTGGCAGTTTGCGGTGAGGTTTATGCAGACATTTCACAAGTAACTTTATGAATTTCACAAGTATACATACCTGAGTTTCTTGAGAATAGATGCTGTGAAAAGTACCTTCAGAAAACCTTAAAACAAAAATTGGCTATGTGAGAAATTTTGTATTAATAGGTAGGAAGCAATTTTTCTCATTACCAAAAATTCCCTTCTCAAGGAAAAGTACTGAAATTACTTTCGGGTATTTGATTGATAAGACATAACAATACAGAGAAAACATATATATTGACAATACAGAGAAAAATTAATATAAAGAAAATGATTTGAAGCAGGATTTGAGCCTGGTTCCTATAAAACTGTAACTGTTACCCATGTTACGGCGATGGTTATCTGTTTTTTCAAATGAATATTCCCACGTAAAACATAAATAGGTAAATAGTGTCACTGCTTGCCATGAATGAATAACTAGTGTCACCTGGTTTAGAATTCAGCAGCTTGCAGACAAGTGCTCCCATTAAATTAACTATCTACGGCGTAGGGGAAGCACAGCAACTGTTAGGAAAGTAGGACATGGTTCTACTAACTCAAAGCAATTCCAATTTCGACATTGCCGATGGTGTTCCCTTACATCGAGCATCATGGAACGAAAGTGTTTCCGTTTAAAGGCCCCCCCCCCTTTAAAAATTTTGCCTCGGCGATTGTACGCAGGCAAGCATGATTCCATGCATATCCTTAACGATCTACATAAATCATTTGTCTTTTTCAATACATAAAACTTTTGATGCAGATGGTAATGCCGTTTTCCCCATTAAAAAAGCATCTTTGACCTTCGAAATGACCTAACGATAGATCTTTTCAAGCTTCACGATTATTACAACAAAACGTTATCTGAACCTCATGGAATATATAGCCACTTATCATGGTTTAAGGTGCAAACATCAGGAAAATAAAAAATCAGCCAGAGGCTCGAACTTGAGGCTGTCTGGAAGATAAATGGTTACTATTCATTACAAAAAAACATTAAAGTGTTTAGACAGCCAACCTAGCTGGGACAAACATACCGTTACTATCAAAATATCTGCCATCGGACGTACTTAAAGAAATGCATAGAGGATCCCTATTTGAGTCACTGTACTGTGCACCGTACTGTGTAGTTTTTGGTTACGTTAAGAATCCAAAAACTAAGTGCTGCAAATAGCTTGTTTATTATAACAAAAATTCACTTAATAATGTTTAATGTGTGCAAGAGCAAATTTAACAACCCTAAGTGACATGGATAAATGCACAAGTTATGATCAGTGCGCAAGGACCGCGCTACCTGTCAGTGCGTGTATTAAAGCAAGCGCAAAGTACGTTTGAATGCAATATGGATCCACAACAAAATTGGCACTTCGCAATATGTTGCAGTGCATTTACTTCTTCAGTTTTTTGTTTGGTACATTTGTAGAAGGCAAGGAAAATTGTTCCTAATATCAGTTACAATGAACCCTCTAAAAGACATATCTTTGTAGCAGATTACTCAGAACAGAACAACAGAGAAACCATTCCGCTCCAAACTTTGATTTTTGCGGTCTCGGTAGAAAAAACGACAAAATAACGGACACGTTTCTCGTCTTATTGATAATCAATACTTTTTCCTCCATTCAAATAATTTTAATGAGGTTTATTTTCCTTTGTTTTGTGCAAAAATGAATAAACCAAAGGTATAAACCCGAACAAAATTTAGGTCTACGATATGCACTGGCAAAAATTCCAGTGCCAACAACGAAAACAACTATACATGGCAAGGACTTGTTTCTTCCTTTTCAAAAGTAAACTGAAGGGCTTGATGAAGGCTAAAGGCGTTAAATAACATACTCAGCAACTTTTTCATTCATTAAAAGAAAGCCTTAAATCTTCGGATCTGCTTTTCAAAGTATGACGGGCAACTCGAAAAAAGGATCAAAAGCGTTTAGACCATTGAATGAACAAATTCGACAATCAAGAGAGCTTCAATTTTGCTACAAACAGAGTTAAAGTTGTTCAGGATCATCGATTGAATTGCCAATTAACTGTTTTGTCTAAACTGCTATTCAGACAAGAATCTTTTCATAAGAACCAGAATCTTAGGGTCCAGCCTAGACATTCTTAAGCCCGAAATGTTCTTAATTGGTTTTTAAATACTTATGATTCAAGTTGAAAAAATTTTGGCATATGACAAATATTTGCTAGAGCGCAAAACTGGATTTGATGTAAGTAATGCAGCTTTTCGCAGAACATATTCAAAAGAAAAATCGAATTTAAAAGGTGCAAGAATTACTGTTTCTAGTGATGTATTGAATATCTTCAGCTCAAATTAATTGATGGCTGAAGTCAAGTACTTTAGATTCTACGTTCTCTGTCAAGATTTATCGCATTGGTTTCTTACAAAAATCGTGTTTTTCAGTCTCAACTTTTTCTTAATTTTTTATCTTTTTCGAGGCTTGTGTTTTTTAACGATTTTTCTTCTAAAAAAATTGTAATTTGAGTTTTTTAATAATGACGTTTGAATTTCAGGCTGTTAAAAATCCATTTTGATATTGAAGAATGATTGGCATAGAATTTTTTACAGGATTATCAGCCACAAGAAATTTTTGAATGGAAGATGAGAAAAAATTAAGAGTTAAAAGCTGACATTAAGGAAAGGCATGTCATTGTTGCTAGAAAAATACTTTCTGAAGATCATTAGCGAATGAAGATCATTTAGCATTGCAGCAGTTGCTCTCTCTAGAAACAGACACTAATGTGGAGATGGCTTTGAAAAAGTTAAATGGTGTGTTGTCTTTTGGTCAGTTAAAGGAGACTAGGCTGCTCCAATGAAGAATGAGTGAGAAAAACCATGGCAAGTTTGACAAGATTAGAAAAATCGATAAATTTGCACGTCAAACAAAAACAATAACAAGCGGTGAGTAATTAAAAACAAGTCTGATAATGTTAAAGCAATGTTGATTATTTTAGAAAGTTATAAACAATCTGAAGATTTTTCGGGGGTACACAGATGCTCCAGGGTTACAGTGGCACCGATTTCTCTTGAGAAATCGCTCATTGCGATGAGTTGTTTACGAACAAAACAGCTGCAAATGATAAGATAATCATCACCACCCCAAGCAAAAGATTATTTCACAGACAGAGAAGCTGAAGACCTTGATGTGAACAATTGTAAGAATTTTAAAAAAATATGGTATTGAAGAAAAATGTAAAATAAGAGGAGCATACATCGAACGTTAAGTTGAGAAGCACAATTGATGAACTCATGAATTAAATAACTGAGTAGACAGTGCAAATGAGTGAATAAATAAAAAAGATAAGTGAATGAATGAATGAATGAATGAATGAATGAATGAATGAATGAATGAATGAATGAATGAATGAAGGAATGAATGAATGAATTAATGAAAGAATGAAAGAATGAATGGATGAATGAATGAATGAATGCAAGAATGAACGGATGAATAAATGAATGAATTAATGATTGATTGAATGAATGAATGAATGAATAAATGAATTAATGAATTAATGAATGAATGAATAAATAAATAAATTAATAAATAAACGAATAAAAAATAATTAAATAAATATTAGGATGAATTACTGTAGTAAATAAATAAATGAATTAATGAAAACAAGAAACGATCAAGTGGGTAGCAAAGAAATGAATTACAAGCGGAAGGGTAAATTAAAAAACAAATAAATGAGCAAAATGATGAATAAATAAAGAATGAATGAAAAAAATAAACGATTGAATGATGATATCAAAGAATGACAAAAAATAATGGCCTTTGCGACCAACTGTAAAATCTCTGGGAGCATGGTCGATTCCAAACTAAAAGAAATTGAAGTTGTTTCTAAAGGTAGTCGAAATCACGGAACGCTACAGATTCAACAGCACATAGCTTTATAGCCCTTTTGCAATCGTTTCAAAGGAAAATTTATGGTTCCTGAAGTTCCTGAATCCAATCAGAGAAGACTCGAAAATTAGAATGTTCGAAATGTGCAACTAAATTGACCTCAAATCACTGTGTTAATACCCTCTATGTTTATGCTTTATCTTCTCAGCCCCTCCCAGCCCCGATGTCTCCTATGCATATTAGCATGATCAACTAAACATAGTCTGTTGAAAAAGGTTTTTGTCATAGGAAATATAGGGAATTTGTCATCTTGTCATAGGGAATGGTTCATAAGACTGAAGAAATTTTGTACAATTTAAAAACACTTCTGAAATTCTTTAAGACAACATTCATAATGTTGTTGTTTTCTTGTTCTTTTTTCAACAAATCAAGATTGGTGTTGTCTGACATTTCCTTCAGAGTATAATCTATTAATTATAATCTAAAGCCAGGGTCAGATTATGGTGGGGTGCTATTGGTACTGCAGCATTAGGCCTTCTGCTGAAATAGGCACAGATGAAAACAGACAAGAATTTACCTTAAGCTGCAGCATTTTCGTGCTGCAGAATCACGCTGGATTATAGCTTAATTTGGCACTGCCTAACTCCGCAATACAACTGAAAAATATAATGTAATATTTATCTGTACAAGCTTTCATCTGTGGACATAAATTTATAAGAAACAAAGCATGTACAAATCATTATTGTGCACTACTTTTTGTTGCCAGTCATGAATCTGGAAAGCAGGTGATTCCCTCAAGCATCATAATTTAGCATCAATACTTTTTGACTACTTTTGTAGTTTTCATTGAAAAAAACTAATGAAAACTTATCAAAACTTAAAACTATATTTATTTTCTATATGTACAAAAATCAAAATATTAATAAAGTTGCTTTGCAAACAATATGTAAAATCTTGAATGTATCAAGCTTGATACCACCAAGAGAAGAATCTTGTTATTGGACCAACTTTTCTCAAAAAACTATATGCAACCTGATAGCAATTAAAGAAACGATTTATAACTCTTTAGCTATGACACTTAAATAAACAAAATGTTCCACTAAAGCAATTACACTAAGTAAGAAAAAATTTCTGTCATAAGGGAGACATTTGAAAGTAGCATTTACTATAAAAGGAAACAACAGGAAACTAAAATAAACAAAGAGTAACAATAAGGAAACAACATGAGGCGATTTGTGTCTTAGCAAAAACAACTAGATCTTCAAAACAAGGCAAGTTAATCCATTCATATATTAAAGGCCATCTTTGTCACAGTAGCCTACCTTTTCGGTCCTCAAGGATCACTGTTGTCTCAGACCAGATTACCTAAACACAGTGATGATGTTTATTCATGTTTCTACCACTCTTTTGATTAGCAAAAACAACAGAAACCAAAAGAGCAAGCTCAAGATACAAGAAAACAAGCTGTATAGGTTGAAAATTTACGTCTTGAATAATGCTTGGGATGGGGGTTATGGTTCTGATTGTTTCTGCTTGTTTCCTGCTTGTCTCCTACTTGTCTCATACTTGTCTCCTACTTCTTTCCTATTTCTTTCCAATTGTTTCCTACTTGTTTTTTACTCATTTCTTGTTATAGTAACCATAATTGGAAAGAAAGGGAGGTAAGATCAAGCTTTTTAATTTCAGTTTTGAAAAAGGACAGGTCATAAGAGTTTGAGAGTATCTGACATTATGTACATGTCTCAGAGGACCTTGGATCATATTAATGATCTCCTGGGAGCAATGTCCTTGGTAGCATCTATAAATTGTGAGATTGGTGACACAGCCAGCAAATTGGCCTAGTTGCTCAAAACATATCTTGTACGGTTAGGCTTCTAGTCAGAAATCATGATTTTGCCTCACTGATCAAAATGTTTTTTAAAAGCTCTTTCCATATTTTGGTTATTCAATCTGTATATGCTCACAGCTATGCTGGATTTTTGATGCTGGCACATGACCCTAAAACCCATCAAATCAAATAAATTATACTATTGTCATCTATATATAAGAATCCTATATACAAGAACTGGTAGTTCAAATGCCTTCACTTTCATGTCACAACTGTTATTGTGTTATTGTAATTGACATAGTAATTTGCATCTGCATATGATTTAACATGCTTCCCGGCTTCTCATTATCATCAATTACTCTGTGTTGAGTCATATTTGCATATTTGCCATAAGGAGTGTCACCATAACTGCAACAACCGATCCTAGCTGCAAACCCATCTGGGTTTCACTACATTTTTTTATTTGATCTTGTGAATGCACAAGCAATTAGCCAGTGTTTTTTGGAACATTTTGCTACAGTTTATAACTAAGGGTGGCTTATAAATGAGGGCAGCTTACATTATTTTATGCAGATGCTGCCAAACTTTCCTGCCACCTTGAAGCTGATGGTGATAATGTAGAAGATAAGGAAGAAATACTTTGGGTGTTATTGATGCTTTCCTACAACTACCTACTATAAATACTACGCTTTCCTACAACTACCAGCAGTGACTGCTATTCAAATTCATTTAGGTTTAACAAGAAAAGGCATAATTTTAGAAATGATTTTCCAAAAAGTTAAAATCTTAGTTGATGATATCAGTCTTGGTCACTAAGATGGGTCCAGGAGCTACATTTGCCCAGGATCTTACACCTCAAAAAGGCTATATAATAATGGTATGAAAATTGATCTCATGAGGGTTACCCAATTAAGAATGACATACATTTTTCAATCTTTTTTGCAAATAAATTTGGAAAGTCATTTTGAGACCTTTAAAAAATCTGTGAATTTAAGCCAGACACAAAATACACCCAAGACATGGTTATCACTTGGATGTGCAAGGGTGTACTTGCAATTTTACAAAAAATCATCACGAGTGTAGCTACCATCTCGGCTTCCAAAGCTCAGAGTACCAATAATAGCTATAAATTAAAGATGATGCAAGGTAAATTTGTAGAGATGACTCACTTGGAACATTCTCCCTTTTAATGCAAATCGGGTCTTGAAAAATTAAAAAAGCTAAAGGCTATATTTATAAGTGTGCACTTAAAACTAGGCCTATCGACCAAAGGTCAATTGATTGGTATTCTGTTACCTGTTTCCCTACTCGCTTAGCTGAAGCCAAAAGAAAATATTCGGTTACAAACAAATAGTTTGAATAGTATGATTATTCGGTTACAAACGAATAGTGCGAATAACCCCACTGTTGGAGGTAACAATGGGTGTCAGAATAACCGCGACTGATCGAATAGCAATGACTATTCTAATAACCGTAACTGATCGAATAGCAATGATGATCAAAAGGCAATTGTCAACCGAATAATGTGTGGGGGTCATGGGGCTTTTCCTCAGGAAATTTTTGAAAATGCTGGAAAACGACCCTTTTTGAATATTAATTGCCATAAAATTTTGATGTTGGTTTCTCATTTATTTGATACAAACCTTAGCACCTATACAGACCTGACACACCCATTTTACTACACCCATATTCGCAGAATAATTGAATATTAAATTTTAAACCGAATATCCCAGATAGGAATATCCAAAGGTTTGGTCAGCTCTACTTAAAACGTCTCCAAAAGAGGTGCCTGATAAGCAGCCAGTCTGCAGAGCGTGGCAGTTGTTGACAAGATCTTGTGAGTGCAAGAGCAAATATAAATGTGTGCATGTGTGCAAGAGTGCTGACAAAGTATGCAATGTGTGCACACTGTTCAGTTTTGATCCAACGCGTGCAGCAAGCTTCTTATGGGCAAAGTATATGTCAATTTGTTTCACAGTGTGTGCATAGCCATTATTTCCTGCAAAAGTCCTTCAAGCATTCCACAAAATTTTGACTTTCGATTATAATTCAGCATGGGGTCAATCATACATTTTGTATGATTAAATTTCAATTATTTCGACCCCCTCCTTTATACTTAGCCAAACTTCTAGGTGGGGTTGTGGGGTTGAAATGTAACCCCCTAAAAGTTCACTCAGTTAGTTGATTTGAACATAATCCAGTCCACAGAATGATCTCTACAGAGTAAATTCCTGACCCTATAACCTATAACCGTATTGAGCACAAGTCAGATACTGTAGTTTCCCAAATAATCTTGATTCAGACCTTTTTATGCACCTTGTTAGTTACCTCACAAAGCTTTGAGATTTCATTGAGCAACCCTGAAAGGCGCCCCATATTTCATTCAATGCATTTGGATGCCAGAGCTTTTCAAATGAGGAGGAGAGTATCATCTGGAGAGAAAACTCAATCAGCTCACAAAATACACATAGCAAAAGTGGTACATGTTCTCTAATTTGGTCATAGACGGCAACTTTTTAAATTTGTGACAATCAGATGGTTCTGATGCTAACCAACACAAGTCAAAGTTGATTTAAGTCAAGTCACGAGTCAAAGAATACTAAAATCCCAATTCATCAGCATTTCAAAATTTCAAAGAAAACATTGTTTAGCAACATTTCAAAAAGGGTGATCCTTAAAAATTTTCCAGTACTCAGAAAAATCTGTGTGCAGCCCTATGTTTTTATGTGCATTAGACAAGCCTCTTTAAAAATATTATGTGCACATACCACACTCTGCAGACTGGAAAAGCAGTAGTTCCGAGCAATTTCTGGCCTAGCAAAGCTACTAGTCATCCCCATGTAGCCTTTCCTTACTTTCCTTTCCGCTTGAGATGTGGCATATTGCACTTTGCTGTATTTAGAACAGGGTAGTTCTAAGATGATAGTCCAATGTAAAAGAGTCCAATAAAGCTTTTTATTTTGCAGAACTACATGCCGTGAATGATGGATAGAAAATACTTGTCGTGACAGTAAATACTCACTCCGGGTAAATTTCTTGCAACTTCTTTAAGCACTCTGTTTTTGTTCTATATGATCCTGCCTGAATCAAATCAACAATTTTCTGGTAAACGTCCAACTTCATTTTATCTTTCTGCTTCTTTTTTACCCTCCCAAAGAAAAATTGTTCACCATTTTCTATCAGCCTCGATCCAGAAATTGGCGGGAAAAGTTCTCCAAAGCAAGTAAGCAAATATGTGAGAAAAAATAATAAGATGCACGCAAAGGACGGCAATGTTAATGTCCAATTATCACTATGCAAACAACAAGAATCAGGCTATCGACACTATTTTTGTGTTAATATAATCCTCATGTATTGGCCAAAGTACCAAACAGATAGCTTCTGCGGGCCCTAACTGTCCGAGCCTGCGTGCAGCCTCTACTTTTTCTCCTCCGTAGATTCTGCGCGTGGGCCAAAGTGTAGCACCTTAGCTAGCCTGATAACCAACCCATTATTCTAAAGGAACTTCAAATTCTAATCAATTCTTTTCACTAATTAATTTCTTTTCTAATTAATTACTTCAAATTCTTTACCTTCTTTCACCCTAAATATCTTTATGAGGTCCATTACATAGTAAAGAAATGTTGCCAATCATGTTAGTGAATCACAACTGTAAAATATTTGAGGTCCATTGGCAACAAATAAACCAACTATATCATCAACTAGCTGAAGTAAAATATCTTCCTCAAATACTCTGCTTGCGTGTTCTTTAGCAGTTTTTATAATTCCATCTGTATTTACTGCATCAACAACTTTGTCTACAAATGCAATTTTTTATCTTTAACATTAAGACGTTTTGCCATGAAGTTTCTTTCGAAAAGAACAAGTTTATGGCATGTTGAAATACTCGTATTGTTGATGCCATGGTGTCAACCGCTTTGCCTTTCACTCAATTCATCACAAAATTCTAAATCCTACAAATGTTTTGCTGTTTCTCTTCAAAGTATGAGCCAACCAACATGAGCTGCAATGCTTCAATTGCCTGTTCCCTTTCACTAAAGCATCAGGCATGATTACCATGTCTTTTTGGCATTCTTTTTGTAGCTTCTTCAGTTAGAAACGTTAGCATAACTTGCTGACTGCAACATTCACAAGCTTTTAAAAACTCTTTACAGCCCCTTTCTCTCTTCTTCTACCATTTACAGAAAAATTAATCTAATGCTTCCTCGCAAATAAAATGTTTGGCAACACCAGAGGCAAAACTTCAAGGTGTTCTGGAAACCGTATGCTATGGAAAGTGTTCACTGGACAAGAAGGGACAAGAAGGACCACGTCTCGCGGCAAACTGCGAATAAAAACATGCAAAACGAAGAAGCTTTATTTGAAAATGATTTTTTGGAACGCCGAAACGAAGAAATGAAAGGCGGAACGCTGAAAGAAACATTCTGTTCACGTACTTTCTTAATATGATAACGAAAGCAACTCTTTCGCTCTTTGTCACCACTTGCTACATAATTCGAAGAGAACCGATTACAATTTCAGTTTTGCTATTGATTTTCATTTTATATTTGTTCATTTGTTCTCTTGTCGCCAACTTTTCGAATAGGTGCAGTATATAGGGATTTTTAATGTACATTTGGTGACATAACATATAACAGAAAATTCTATTGCAGAACCCTTGGCAATCCTTGGTACAAAAAATTGTCACTGTAGTAGCTCTAACCTTGCTACAAGCTCGGTGCTTCTTGAAACAAGTGGCTTAAAATGAATGACACTGGAATGAAAAATTGGAAATTATTTTTATTTCCAATAAATAATGTGCACATTATTTCAAAATTAGAAAAACATATTGTCTTAATTCCGCAACGTTAACGCTTGTAACAGCATATTGATAAACCAACAGCTATAAAGCCAACATCTATTTACAAAAATTATAATCATGATATTTAGTTCCGACAAAATTTAGAAGCTTGAAAGCTTAAAGTCAAAATTTTTGAATAAAGATTAAAGAAGAATAGGGGGGGGGGGGAGGAAATCGGGCATTTTTCTTGACTGCTCTATCGCGTTAACAGGCAATGTATGTATTAATAGAGCGCTCAGAATTGACATGTTTTTCGATCTTCTATTATTAAGGACATGCTTAATAAAGAACACAAACATTTCCAGTAAAGGTGCTTGAATTAAGTTTAACTATATAATACATAATCATCTTTGATATCAAAATCTGAATCAAGTCAAAAAAACAAAATTTCTTGGCCGGACGTATATATTGCCGTGCTAATTCTAACTATATGCTTGTTTGCAGATTGTGATCTCAAATAAAATTAATATGGCTAATTTTAGACAAGTTTTTGTAAAAAAACCTCTATCACAAAAACAAATTGTTTATATAAATAAATTACAAATGAAAATTGAAATCTCTTTAAAATGGTTAACACACGTGCTATTTAGTTCTGTACTACGCATTTCATTAATCATTTTGTGATGAAGCTCCAAAAAGGACTTGAAGTTGAATGATCAAATTCAACGATGACAAAATACTTTGCCACAAAGTCACTCTCTCGCTTCGACTTTTCCTCGAACAAATCTGGCTCTCCGGTCTATTTTAATTGAAGTTTGCGAGAGAACTGTTCAATGATCTCAGTAGGCAACATCGCTCCTTGTTTTGATTTTTGATTTTTGATTCGAATTAATTTGGTTTTTGTCTTCCTAGACTATGAAGGCGCCTTGCCTACCTCCAGTCCTCCATTTACTCCATTTTCAAAAGCTTACGTGGACAAGCCTTTGGCAAGCCTTCTACCTCCATTTGATGCTCTAAAAACAAGCGAACAACATTCTGCTCAGAACATACACGTGAGGGAAAGAGAAATGAATATAATTGGAAACTAAATCGACAATACATGTTTCTGTGTACATCTAAATCAATAAATTCCAAAAGGTACAAAGCCAAAAATGAGTAAAAAAGGTAAATAACTATGAAATATTTCTGAAAAAAAAACAGTTCGCATAAACCAAAATAAACAAAAGCGAATTCCATTGCTTAAATGATATGGCTTTTTTAGTTTTAAGCAATAACATCATAGCATTTCATAGAGATTTTTTGACATTTTTACCACTGTCGAAAAGTATTCGGTAATCTTTCTTTTTTATATTTTATATAAACAAATAGCGAGATGTGGTTATAACTTAAGTTTAATACAAAGAATAAAAAATGGCTCAATTCTCGGCTTCGAGTAAGAGTTGTAAAATTTTTATCCTCACATTTGCCAAAAATGGATCATAATATTGGAATCTTCATGTTGAAACTAGTCTGCGTAGGAAATTTCATTTTGTCTGCACAATCAAGCTGCGAATTACGCTATTTTCAACATTTTGCTTTTCCTACATATTTCACTTGAACTTTCTACTGCAGTCGAAACATCTAACTGCAACAGGGAATTACGGTCAACTACTCAGAAATTAAGCAAACAATCTTTTTGTGGTACAAAAATAAAAACGGCTTTGAAAAAAGCACACATTGTTAGTCATACAGAAGCTTTCGTCCGACACTCTTCAGAGTATAAAATGTCAGAACATAGACCTATCTAGACTAAAACTCTACGCTAGGACATACAGTATATAAATCCAGTTGTGGATAGAAATATCTAAATATTGAAAACGTAATCTCTCGCAACCGAACAGTCCAAAGAAGATGAATTTTTCAGTACAGACTAATTTTAGCATGATTATTCAAAAATAAAATCTTTGGTCCATTTTTGACAAAGGACTGTTGATAGCAAGATGCAAAATCGATGATGTTAACAAAAAATCAAAAATGTGAGAAAGTTTTACGTACGCCATCATTTAGAAGATTGTAGATTCTTCGTCGATATTTTTCGTCAAATTTCACATTTTCAGCATATTGTTCTAACTTCTGTTTATCTTTCATAACAATGATTGTCTAAATACCAAGAAAAGACAAAAAATCAGGACAAATGCCTACGTAAACACAATAACTTCAAAAATGTATCATATAGCATTATATTGTACTAGATACCCTCTAATGAATAAGTAGTCTCAAATAAATGCAACTCTAAAAACATTGTATAAATTCCTAAAAATGCAGTAATCACCATTGGCAAAATTAAAATTTTTATCAATAAGTAATTTTTTAGTGGAAACAAACAAAAGTCTAAATTATTAAATCGCTAAATTCTACCACTTAAAAATTGATATTTTTGCTTAAAAATCCATCCAAAAATATTCAAAATAAATAACTTATAAAGAAGAGGTTTCAAAGAGATATTTTTAATCTGAAAATGTGTGCAAGGAACTACAATCGTTTGTGGTTAAAAAGTTAGCCACAATTATTACAGGAATTTGAAGGATGAATATTAAAGGACATCCTTTACATTGTACATTGGTAATTTTTCTTTCCTGAAGTATTCAAATAGGCCTCTTACAAATAAGAGTACTTTTAATATTGACAAGATTTATCTTGCATAAATATTTCTCTTATTATATACATTTCACTATTAGAATGAAAATGGTTGCGCATAAACGAAAACTCACATCTATTGCTACATCGTGACATTTGCAGGCCGACGCCATTTTAAGCCTTGATTCCGGGTTATCTATCAACCGAACGTATTTTTCGATAATCTAAAAAAACAATTTTGGATTTATATAAAATGGATTTATAAAATTTTCATGCAAGAGGTGTATTTATGAAAAAGCAAAAAAACGTATATAATTTTTGCATTATCTATTGCAGTAAATTTCTAATGAAAATTACTGTTTACCGGTCTGTCATCAAAATGCTCGATGCTGTTTAGGCAGAACCATACCAGCTTTCTGATGATCGCATTAAGCGTGAAATTTGGAGCAGCAACTTAGAACCTCTCTATACACTAGAAGCAATCATTTCTAGATAAGCAAAGTGAGGTACTTATTTTTCAAATAAACTATTCTATTCACAGGATTGAATTTTCTAAAAGGTTTCTCGACATTATTCGACAGCTACTTCTTACAATTTAAACATTTATTGAAGCTATTATTTCAACTAAAATACTAAAGGGTTACTGAAGATCTCTTGTCAATTATGACAACGGTTAGATGAGCTCTTGTGATAAGATCTGTATCTTCGACTTCAGAAAAAGGAAAAAGTCTTTATGGTTAAAGAACAATGTTAAAGAGTACATACTTCACCAGGTGCTGCATTTTTGCGTAAAATTTCTGTTACTTTGTCAAAACCAATCACACTTTTCTCGCTCCTTTTACGCAGCCAACCCTTAAAGGAAAAATAGAAAAAAAGTTTTTTCACTTAAACAAAAGACAGAAAAGCCGGTTTCTGTGAATTTTTAAAGAGAAAATTTGACAAGAAAGCAAAATATTCATAACAATCAGCTGTCAATCAATCAGCCAAACCCTAGAATGAAAAACATGCAGCCTGTGGCGTTTCGGTTCTATTCAAAAGTGCCTAATTCTTACCGTTGTCGTCAGAATTTCGGATACATCAGTCCATTTATGAAACTTTGCTCGCGCAGGCAAAACTGACCATTCATACTGCTTGTCTGTCAGCTGTAATGCAAAGATTTCTGTTATGACAAGAAGCAAGTTGCTATGATTGTAACCAAACAACGAACTAAAAAGCCAAATAGCTCGAAAATTGTTAACAAAACCACAGATCAATAAGGAGACAAATATTTATGAATAAAATCTAATTATCCAGTTAACGAAGCCATTAAGACCATTTCAAAAGCTAATAGAGGTAGCAGACTACTAAAAGATGCTCAAACAATCTTTGGTAGTACAAAAATTTAAAATTTCTTTGAAAAGAGCGAACATATTGAAACATTATTATCATCTTAGAGATAAACCATGTAGTCTCATTTTCTTCAACTCTATGATATATCACGCTCTACGTGCTAACGTATTGAGCACTGTGCCACGGAAGTATCTAAAGACAAATTTCTATATATATAGATATGTACGCAGAGCTTGAAAGGGAAAGTGACGTACCTTGAAATTCTTCTTTACCGCCGTCGGGTGAAACTCGTCTGTTGGCTGGCGAAAAGACAATAGAAATAAAGCTGATAAGAGTGAGGCAAACAACACGTTTTTATTCTGTGAAGATCGCGGTTAAGGCATTGGAAACCAAAGCAACACTGCCTGCCAAAAGTACTCGAAACACCCAGTAATTTGCGTAGCATTTTATATCTTTATTCCTTTTTCGAAAAAAATTACTACTTCCGCCCCCTTCCCCATAAAACAATGTTGATAATTTAGAGAAATATCATAAAAGAAGTGCAAATGAAAGTGCTTCCTAAAATCCTAACCCGTTTGATAGTAAACCAACATTGTTCTGTAAGGGAGAGGGGGATGATTGATTTTGACCTTGGAATCTGACGTCAGTGTTCCAAAACTTTTGGCAGGGATTGTATATAGCAATAACAATTGATTTTAAAGATTTTAGCTGGACCTCTTCGTAAAGGAAAAATAAAGGCAATTGGCACGGGAAATCAATCGATAATAATAGGGAATCAAAGGGAATAGCTTTTGAAGTATGGCTATTCAGTACGATTTCAAAAGAAATACGATACATAAAATTCAAGTACTAAATAATTGCCAACCCTACTTTAGAAAGAATCTCATATTAGCTGTTTTGATTTTAAAAGAGACAAAAGCAATAGGGGAGAAATTATGCGCATAATTGAAGAAAATGAAAAAAATTGAAAAAATAAAAAAAATTAAAAAAAAAAGAAAAAGAGGAGAAAATGAAAAAGTTAGAAAATTATTGGAACCAAATGAAAAAATATTAAAAAAAGAGAGAAAGAAATTAAATGGAAAAAATGAAAAAAGCGAATAAAATTTCAAAAAAATGAAGCCGTATGTTATTATACAAAAAATATGACAATGCAAGTAACTTATCTATCGCATCACACAAAAAAGAAAATTTTAACAGACAGTACTGCATTCAAAAATGGAAACACAGGACTACATTACCTTTTCGAAATGGTACATGGCACAGTAATACAATGTTGTCGATAATGGCTGCAACAAAACTGTTGCTGCACGTGGGTGATAACGCAGCATAACATTCTTCCCTGATTTCTCAGCATCTTGGTCTTCCTTCTAAAGAATAGATGGCAATTTTATGAAACATTCACATTTACGCTCGATACAATCATTTGGCAACAATTACTTTATGATCACAGTAAACATTGCAACTTACAACCATCTTCTTCTTTGCAACAAAGGGTAATACAATCTCAAACACTAAATATCTGGCCAGTAAAATAATAGTCATCATTGATTCCCTTATCATGTAATTTGGATCTGAAAACTTACCGAATTCTTTAAAATCAAAGATCTTGATGTCAAAAAAGCTATTTAATCGATAATAAAAATATGCATTTGATACAGTCCTAGATTTTTCTAACACATCCAATCTACATGGCTCAGTATAAGACCCATTTAAAATTACCTCTATTTTCATTTGCAGTTCGATAACTTTTCTTTCCTCCTCCACACAAGCTTGAATTTCAGCTAACCCTTGTATGTTTCTGTTATCCCTATGAAATATGAAACAACAACCGTATGTAATAATTTAAAGGCACAAAATTATAAAAGTCAATGTTTTGTTATTAGGCACAAGTAGCATAAGCACAAATAGCAAACACTAAAACTCGATTTGAATAAAATTACGGCAACAAATTTCCTAGTACATACGTCAGAAAATCATTAATTTCATTTCATTTTCATTTTTAATTATTTACACAGGGTAAAGCTATCAACTATATACATACAGAAAATTCTTTCCAAGCTGCCCTGTAAGAAAATCATCAAACCATATTTTAAAAGCAAAATATTGGAATCCTTTCCATCCATTATGCAAAAATAGGGAGAAAAAAGGATCAAATATAAACATCTCTTATAGTTCTACCTTTGCCACTTTTCAATTTCCTGCAGCTTGGCTCCTGGATCCTCTAATTTCGTAATATAATGATAATAAAGCATCTGCAATAGAATTTACTATATTATATGTAGAAACAATATTATATGTCTATAAAATGCATTACAGATAGAAAAACGTCTAAAAGCAATGCAACTTGCGACAATCAATATCCTTTTTTGGCTTAGGCCCATGGACAACCCAAACCATACTTACAGATGCTTGCTGTACTTAGAAAGAAATTATGCGTTTTTTTAACGCCAGGAATACTCATAATTGGCAATTTCATGTGACTCGTGATTTTAAGTACTCTTTATCTGTGTTTGCTATATGTTTCATACTTTTTTTATATTTGCTGTAGGGTGATCGCCTATGTTTGCTGAGCAAGGCTTAATTGTCAAAATATGTGTTTCCTCTATGTCTTCGTTTCTATATCTTTGTCTACCAGGTCACCATTCTGCGACAAAATAGTGTTACGATCACTTCCGGCCTTTATTTCTTATCGTGATTTCAAAACGGCATCACAAAACATTTACAAATTCTAAAGATTTTCTAAAGTATGAGTTTTTAAAGTATGTAAAACTAAAGCAGGCAATGATGAAAACTTTTAAAATTGCTTGAAAATTCGCGGCTGATTCAAATCATAACCAAAGAAGATACTATATTAAAGAATAAGTACTTCAGGTAAGATGTACTTACTGCTGCATCTTCATTCTTATACAGCTGCCTGAAAATAAATACACATATTGAAGATCACTTTTGCTTGGGAGGCAGTTCAGTGATTACAAGCTACAGCTTCAAGGAATTAAGAGATAAATAAACCCTTAATATTGAAATAGAAATATATCTTGATTGCTTAGAATATTCCAAACACTAGGAGAACAATTCCAATAATTAATATTTACTTGTACAAATCCATGAGAGTTCTCCATTCACCAGTTGCTTCAAGATAACGGATGAAGTGATTTAAGGCTTCGGGCTTTCGTTTGAGCTGCTTCGCAAAGAGATCTAAAAGATATTTCAATATATTACATCTAGAATATACCATATGACAATATATTTGGTTTATAAAGAAAAATTGAAGTTTGATCAAACACAAAATGATCAAAGTGGAAAGATTGGTTGAGCAATGGTAAAATAACACTTAAAGACCATTATGCAAACTAAAATAGTGTTTAGATGAAACTAAAATATTATCAAGGATAAATCAATAAAGGCAAGCTCTTGATCATAAATACGTGTCTTAAATATGAAATCGAAAATGAAAACTTCAGGTTTGAAACACAAAATGAAGCATTGCTAGATGATGCGAAGCATACCTGGTCTTAGCGTTCTCTTCAAAAACAGGACTATCTGTAAGAAACGCTTAAGGTCAGTAAAAGGCTATTTAAAAGAAGCAAGAGAAATATTCTGTCTAAAATGAAAGTTGCTATTGATATCAATCTATCTACGAAAAAAGGTGTAAGAATCAATTTATGACATGTTTTGCTAAAGCGTTACGTCAAACAAAAACTTTAAATATGTTTTAAAATATTTGCTATATTCAAGGCTTATTTAAATTATTTATCACCAAAATTTTATTGAAATATTTTCATTTATTAGCATTTGCAAGTCCCAAAATAAAAGAAAGGCAAAACAAAAACCCCTAAATCTGCTAAAACTGTGTTCAAAATTTTAAAAGTCGATTGTAGCTAATTGATTTTTTGTCCAACTCGGCTTGTGTCAAGCTCTGCACATCCTTTCTAACAGCGTTTTGAGCGGCTATCGCAATCAATTGCAGTGACTAGAAATCGTGAAAGCGACCAGTTTCCAAATGAATTTAACACTAGAAATATATTTAAGTCTAATTCATCGATCGCCCGTTTGTTAAAGTGAAATGAGTCTTAGGCTGATGAGATTCTCCCTTTTAATTTGACACTTTCACTGCATTTCCATATCATTTGATTTAAGAAATACAATACCGACTTTAGCCTAAAACCAGGTTGATCACTTGCAACCAGCGTTTTTCTGAACATATTTTCCCACTAAGTCAAGTTTAATGACAATGTCGATTTCAATATATTCGGGGCATTCAATCGCATTTACGCTGCATTTTCAAGAAATACATACCGCAGTTATTGCGTTTCCGTCGTGATACTTTAAAGCATAGTCAAGCAATTCCACTTTTTCTGGTAATGACTTGTAAAACTCCAATGAATATGGCTGAAAATAAAAATTTCAATGCATTTCAGGCGATAACTTCTAGAGGACCGTACGGAGGGCCAACCTGATACACTAAACGCAAAAGATGACTTATAAATCTGTCGGTAAGGCCGTGTTCGACTCGTAAGGTAACAGAAACGAATAAAAGGAAGGAGATCATGATACGAGCATTGGAGTAATAGTTCGATGTAACACTCCAGAAAGTTCTGAAGCTTTTTGTATAAATCAATTTCTAGGACAAAGTGCCACGCAGCCAAAAACGCCTTAAAGTTTCTTCCAAGAAAAACTCGAGTATAACGGTTCTTGCAGCTTTGTTAGCGGGCAGAAACACTTCAATACCTGACCTTCAAACAACATACTTTACAGACAGCTTGAAATGCGAAAGCATTCATACATGACATCTTTTTGGATTAAAGGTAGTCAGCCACTTGCCAGTCGAAAGGCGTTATACCAATCAAGCACATATAACAGTTGATTGAAAGATGGTTTTAAATTGCTTCTAAGGTCAAAAAATAACTTTAGTTTAAAAGTTACATTTTACCAATCTAGATTCAATTCTTCTTTAAGAATGGCTATATCGCGTCTTATTTCATTGCTATTACCGTTGAAAGTTTGGCCTAAGCTGTGAACAAAGCAAGAATCTGTGACGTATTTGGGGGCCCAGTGTCACATGGTTCGATCCACACAAACGGTCATAGAGGTGAAGTTGACAACAATTTTAAAGAACTGAGTTCTTGTTTGCTAACAGTATCAAGTAAATAGTGAAGCTAGATTAAATAAATACAGATGTGGGTAAGTAAGAAGGTCCAGTTCACCTTTCGCCTTCTGCGAACTTTAAGTGTTATCGTAATCGATGCTGGGTGGCTAGGCCAAATCAATTACCAGCAGCTTTCTAACTCTGCTGTTTCAAAACATGTTGAGATAAATACTGTTATTACCTTGTTTGATAAAGTGGAGTACCCTGTTAGCTTTGGTGACTTACCTTGCTTAGTATCAACCTTTTCACTGTCTCCTGAGGTGAAACTGACTTCCATCTGTCACTTTTCATTGACTAAAATATCCAAAAAAAATCGCTTACTGTTTAGCAGACTTCTATTCAATACATACAGCAAATAAATGCATTACTTAAAATAATCTCTATTGATACAGGGCTTATAATAAGCTTATAAGCTACCTAGATGAACGGAATTGGAACAGAATTGGGAAAAAGTAGAAGGGGGCTTATCCATAAACAGTCGTCATTAAAACGGCTGAAAAATGTGTAAATTAACGCAAGGCCAGTAAAGATCATCTGGGTACTCTAACACTTGAATCTGATCTTGTGAATGATTTTTATAAATTCACTATGTTGCGTTTAACAGAAACTATTAAAAAAGCTTTTTATAAAAGTTTGGTAAGTCTCGAGAATAGTTTGGTTTCAAAGCTTCGAGACTATCCACTCAAAAGTTTACAATCTGACTTTTTTAAAAGAACCTTCTTAAATTGAAAGGGTGGCTTGTGTTTTGTAGTCATGTTTGATTGATTTTTAACTGTCTCATGCCTAACGCTTTGACGGAAGTGGCCCAAATTCGATGACCACGTTATTCACTACGCTTTCGCCATTACTTTTTTGTCAAGCCGGTACAATGCTTTTGCTCACCTAGTGTATGTAATAACAAAGTCATCGTACCTCAATCATGCTCTTGCATTGTCGTAGCTCTTGCTTCACTTTATCGTATTCCTTTGCAGATATCTGAGGCTCATTCGAGATAACTGAATTTTAAAAATAAGATATTTGTGACTGATCTAATGAAGTTGCTACCTTAAAATGTAGATGTTTCAAGCAGATATTCATTAAACAAGACTGGTGAATATGAAGCTATGAATTTAGGGATGGATAAACGTGCATTGGATCTGGCACAAGATTTCATCAATCGCAAAGAGACCCAGAGTTGATTAAAAAGCTTTAAAATGTAACAATCATAAGTCTTACCATCATTTAAATCTTTTACTTGTTCTGAAGACCAACTCCCAGCAGAAATTTTGCTTTTGTCAACTGCAGCTGTAGCACCTCTCACATCTAAAATTTAAATTACCATTAGTTACAATTCCTTTACTCAATTATAATTCAGAAAGCTGGCTTAAAATCAGGTTCATTTGTCGACATCGAAATTTTCTAAGAACTTTTTAACGTCCAAAAAATAATTGGAAAGCAGCTGAAAAAATTAATGTGATATACACTATGCTTTCTAGCAGTCTTTTGCGTGGTTAACATTTGAATAATCAGATGAAAAAATATCACCTTTAGTTATGCTGGGTCTTGTGCTACTAGCCTTGCTAGAAAATGACCCAGAGTTTGTTGCTCCAGAAGAACCTGACCTTACTCTTGCTGATGAAGCAACCGATGCCATTTGCTTTGGTTGTGCTTTATCAATTTGCAAAGCTTTTCCTGGGTCAAAGCAATGAATACAACAATCATTTTGAGAATGAAACATGTTTTTCGTGATAAATTCTATCTTTGAAGCTGCCCTATAACAAGGGCACAGCAAAATAAAATGTTGTCACGTCTAGCATGTTTAGATAGCTACAATCTTGGTTTTCAAAAATCTGCTAGCAAATGCTTTTGAATATTATGTATCAAAAAACTAAGCAAAAATATGTGAGATACATAGGTGAGTTATAAATTATGTACAATACATTGTAGAGAGATTTCTCATCTGCAATCAAAAAAATTAAAAAACAAAAGATGTAGCTGTGAAAAAGATAAATTTAAACAAACCTTGCACTGAAAAAAGTTTGAAAAACTAAAAAATATGCAAGAAGTACACCATAATCAAATTTCATATCAATTTACATTCAACCTTTAATTGTAGCAAAAGCATTAAGGTTACCCATTCAAATATACCTTTTAAACTATATTTTTCACCTCCCCATGCCTCACCCACAATCTCATCAGAAGCTTTTCCATCTGATGGGTCAAATTTTGACTTTTTAAGAAACTCTCTGGCATCACAGAGGTCAGTTGGGTCAATTTCAAAAAGTTTGTTGGAAAGTGACTTCATATTATGGCTTTCTCTTTCTTCATCATCCTGGTTCCAATCAAAAAGATTTGGCTTTGCCTCTCTATGGAAAAAGAAACACTGTATGTCGGGAGACAACATTAGGAGAATAAAACAACACATATATTAACATTTACTCAATCAATTGTTTGTAATTACTATTTCATGTAGCATTATTTTATCATGCATATGCTAAATAATTTAGAAAGGAATCTAGTATAGAATCGGAGCAAAATTACATATTGACAAAAAATTTATGAATAGAAATATGTTACCTTTGACTTCAAGAAAGGCTGGGGATACCTTGCAAGGTCATGATGAAAATGTGGAGTTTTAAGGGAACAAGGATAGTTAGACACAAAATATACTGTTAGTTGTGTTAACTCAGAATAGCTACAATGATACTGACAGCAGTGGCAGACACTTAACAAGCAAAACCTAGTCATTTTCATTCTGATCCCTTGCATTTTAATACCATTTCATTTTATATCTTTAACAGCACATTATAAATTGCATCCATTTCATATCAGAGTATACCAGCTACTTGATGATAGAAATAAGCTTGAATTTCAGAATTGTAGCTAAGGACAATTTGTTCTAAACAATCAAGTGTATACAGCTCATCCTCCATGCAATCAAACATTATATGACAGATCAAACAAAAGTAACTTTTTTATCATAGTAACATGAACAGAAAGCAGAAATGATTTCTGGATTATCTTAAAAGAGAGTAATTGAATAGGGCTCTCATTTTTAGCCTACAAATGTGTAAAAATTTGCTTTACATCTGGCAAAATAAATAAAATAATGATTTTTTTCATGTAAACGAAAACAAAATAATCCAAGCAATGACCATGTCTAGTCACTTACTTGATACACTTCAAATGCAAGCTTAAGTACTGTACCATGTTAGCTTAAATTTTGAAAATTTTATTTGCTTGGTTTGATATGCTGATTCTCTTTCACTTTTAAAATTTGAGGGTTTCCTTAATAGTTTTGCCCTTCCTTCAAGTAGAATGGCTTTATTATTGTTATTGTATCAACATAGGAACAGAGTGTTTAACTTTTAGAGGTCCATATTACCATTTTTTGATTACTTGAATATTTATTTTGCTCCATATTTGCACTTTATAGTGTTTTTATCTGCCATTCTTGAGGAGAGTTGTCATCTCCTCAACTTCCCCCTAACCCAAAGGCTCACCACTGACTTATAAAACAGGTCTTGTCAATTTCTCAATTTTTCAAATAAAAAGAAATACAACTTTACTACTTGAAGTCTTAATCAAGAGGAGACATGTACTCTTATTCTCAACATGAATCTTTAAAGAAAGGAAACAACTACCAAGAGAAGACTCTTGTTTCTATAAATTTGGTATCCTGATATGATCAATCACATAACATGTACATAATAGAAAGATTCATCCAGCTTCAATGGAATAAAAGAATCATTAAAAGCCTTAAATTGAAAACAAGATGCCTCCATCTAGAAAAATAATTCATATACTAGGTAAAACATCTCACCTTTTGCTGCTCTGGGTTCTGGAGAACTCAGCCTAGAAAAAAATTAAAATTTTTAAAATTTAAGAAGATTTATAAGGTTAATTGAGACAAATATGTTAAATATACAAGATAATAATTCGTATGACAAATAATTGCAGAATTGTAAATGCAGATTCTTTTAATACATTCAAAGTATCAAATTTTGGATGAAAGACTTAAATAGTACACAATCCTTGTCAAAATTCCTTAGAAGAGACAGAAGTGAAAGCTTATTCTAGGAAAACTGATAGCTTCTATTCGTAAACTACAGAAATAGTACTCCTTCAGCCCCAAAACAATGTTTTAGGAAAATACATAATTTAAAAATTTTGACAGAATAGGATAAGCTAAAATTTTAGAGCTGGAGAACCCACTGAGAATTTTGGTGCAGTATAACCTAAGTATTTGCAGGCATTACAATATACAGCATTGGTTGCTGAAGCCTGAAACAATGAACCAATAAAAAAGATGTTCTTGCAGTATTTCTGATCTGCCCCTGGATATAATTTCTGCTAAACTCTTACTCATTGTCTGATGATTAACACTGTTGCATGAAAATATTTGTGATTTGTATTTGTGTTTGCTTCTACCTAGCATTCGAAGGTAGTTTTTAGGATACTGAGAAGCTTATGCTCAAAGTAGTTCATTGTGCTATTTTTTTCACTTTTCAAATCGCAGAAGTTTACATAGATATGGATTCAAGCCAGTTTGGCCAGTAGATTTTTTGCTGTCAGCATCAAAATATTGAGCTCAATATTCATGAGGTTTGCCTTATTTTATAAAAGTTTCAAGCCTTTTGAGGCATTTATAGTTCGCTTGTGGCCTCAAAATGTATTCGCTGTTGATTGAACCTCCGTAGCAGAGTAGGTTCTAAAACCGTGGTCCCTGCAAATAATATTTGCTACGAATGAGATGTATATCTAAGAAAATAAAAAATAATTGCAATAAGTAGAAAGTTGAATACTAACGTCTTCTTGTAACGCCATCTCTAGAAGATCTTCCTCGCTGAGGTCGCCATCAGCGTCCATCAAACCAGAGAATGTCACCCTTCCACCCGCCATCTTTCTTCTTCCGCAACCAAATACAGTGTTGTTGTTGTTGTTGCAACGATTAACTAATCTTTCTGATTTCTTCTTAGTTTCAGTTTCAGTTTCGTCTCGTCTGTTTTTCAGTTTCAGTTTTATTCAATTTATTTCAAATTCCACTGCATACAGTTTATACATAATATACTGTACTAAAAAATAACTAAACTGCAAGAAGATAAGACAATATTAAAGAAAATTAATACATTGATACGGAAAAATAAATACAATATAGGTACCAATTGAGAAAAACAGAATAAATTGTATGGAAGGAATTACTTGAAGGAGAAGCTCTCTCAATAGGTAAACTAATTAAAAAGAGAGCCCCTCCTTCCAATTCTACGATGATCAGAAATGATATTGGTCGGATTTAAAGGTGAACTGACACTCAAAACTATTTTTTGATGTAGAAAACGATGCATGGAATCTTAATTTCAAGTTTTCGGTTAATTATTATTGTCCGTTTTGACGCAATTCCGCTCTAAATGTCATGAAATTATCGTCGAGTGTTCGACCATTGTCGGCATTTCATGTGACTCAGTGCGTGTGACGTCACAAACACCATGTTTTTATTCTTGAATGGAAATCACGCATGGACTGGACAGCTCAGTTCATCTTGTTCAGTTACTATTCGAGGAGATCTACGTAGCCTTTGATCCAAGATTCATGAAAATTCGAGGCTAATGAAATGTACGAAGGATATGTGCTGGCTGGTACTGCGTTATATTAGGAGGGAATTTATCTTTGGAAGGAATAGGCACTTTTAGCTGCTCGAAGAAATTCTCAATTCTGAAGTCAATCATGCGGACGAATGTAAGAATCTTTTCATTTTATCATGAATCTAGCTTCTTTTTCGAATAAATTCAATATATTATCACTTCGATAGATTATTTCTACACCCATATAAATCATGAACGTTATTTTATTTTGGGTTTGCAAACTCATAGGTTCACCCGAGTTATAGGAGAGCAGCGGCCTGGGAGTTGAAAATTTTACTAAGTTGTTTTCCTGCAAATAGCGACTCGATCGTATCAGGTTCTTAACCCCTGAAAATGTTTCATGTGATTGAATAAAACATATGGGTGCTGATAAATTAGTCTAACAGCAGCCTTTTTTTAACAAAATAAAAGTATTTTACTTAGGTTTCCAGAAAATAAAAATCCTGTCAATATATTTATCGCTACCTTTATTGATATGTTGGCCCGCCACACACTGGGTCCTGCAAGACGGAGGAAGGGCCCCAAACGCGTTGAATAATACGATATTCTTGCAAATCTTATTTATGAAAGGGTTGTAAAGGAGTCATAATCTGTTTTCTAATTAGGTTGCCGAAATGGAGCCAAAACCTACTCAATTAATGTATCGATGCTCATCTGCAAAGTCATAAAAGTACGGCCTTTCAGACTGTCGTGTTGCTCAAGTGATGTGAACATGGTGTTTATGACGTCACGATTATGCGGAAGGCTCGGGCAAACTCGTCCGTGCTCGGAAAATGTTCGGTGGCTAACTTTGACGCTTAATAACTCGAAAACTGTGTTGAATATTAAAAAAATAATAATGTATCAGGTATTTATGCTCGATATGCTTTCATTTGAGGTCAAGTTAATTTTGCGTGTCAGTTCACCTTTAAACGATTTCAAATAATTTATGCAATTGATTTTTCATGCAATTAAATAGAAAATTTTGCAAATACAAAAAATGGCTATTAGAGTTATTGATTGACAGTGTTCAATAAGTAAGTCTTCAGTTGTTTTTTGAAGGATGTAAGTGAAGGAGCATTTCTGAGTTCCACCGGTAATTCATTCAAAAGTTTAGTACAAGATAAGTATAGATCACCTTGACTGACTTAGCACCAATCAGTTTCTTGGAATAGCCTTAGACCATCCAGTTGACAAGGTCTAGGGGGCCTCATAAAAAATTAATTCCATTCTAAGAATGGAATCAATGAAACGTTGTAAAAAGTATGCCTAAAAATGGTAAAACGTTCTAAAGGATTGCCAGAAATGACTGCAAGAAATATTCTGAAATGCATTTTAAGATCATCTAAAGGGCGTGTTCACAAAAATTTTCTGAATAAATGAGGGTATCTCCTTGCTGGAAACTTGACTTCTAGAGTAAAATCAAAAAAGGTACTCTACGGTACTCAGGCAAAGAAAATTACAACGCAAAAATCGAAGCAATTATTGATTGATGAGAACATATAAAATAAACTTCGTCAAAATACCACACCAAAATATTGATATATCCTAGGCCATGCCCTACATTGTCGGCGAACTGGTGACTGGCACCCCCCTTAATGAAAGTGTTTGCTCCTGGAACATCTGCTATTTTGTCATCTTTTATAATGAAAATGGCTTCCAAGTTCTCTTTTTCTCAACTACATGACAGAAATCAAAGCCCAGCGTTGCACTGAGCGTGATAACAAAAAAGGGGGCTCATTCCATTTTCTTGTTTCATTTCATCACAAATTTAAACTATTTAATAATAAACAGAATATCTACGGCAGCTTAGGACGCCTAGAAAGAACTCAGAAGCTTTCGGACTAGGTGCTCGCCGTCTCTTGTAGCTAACATTAAGCAGTATTAGATGAGTACGAATTTATTTGTTTTTTGTTTAAGCACGAAGACTAAGTAAAATTCTTAGAAAAAGAAATGGGGAAAACAAGAAAGAAAAAAACCATTCTGTTACAAAAGCATGGTTATTCTAGTTTAGTTTATTTCAGGTATTTCATATGGAATATTTATTGGAAAAATCAATTGCTTGTCTCGTTAGAATTTTGTGTCTGGAGTTGAACAATAGCAAGAGTTTTTGGAAATGTTCTTCTACAATTCCTGGTGATACGTCATTCATGAAATTAGTTCATTTTGATCATAATGCCAAGACTCGCGACAACTTTCATATTAATTTATTCCCTGCTAGACAATGTGAATTAACGTTTTGATATCATGCTATTTATTTTCCATGAATGTGCACTTTCTATTAGCCTTTTCTTTTAGAGTCGGGGAATAGGTTGAATGATCTCATATACACAACAGAGGATCTTCAACACAAATGCAAGTATACAGGTTGTGGACATGGGTGTGTTCTTTGGTGTGGCTTCTAGAAGTTCCCTACATCACAGCCTCTTTCTTAACTTTTAGGACGGCATCCCTGTGGATAGGTTGCCTTTAAATTTTTCTTGATAATGAAGAATTAGCAACGTTATGCTAAAAGTGCAAAGCTTTATGCTCCCGTTGTATGGTCTTGTAGTTTAATTTTGATCAATCACTGTTAAAAAGAATTAATAAAAGCAAATATGTAGAAAAATCTTTGACCAAATTTAACTGCAGGTAATCATATGTTGCTAGCATATGAAAACACTAACTATTAGAGATCAGGTAACGATATTTATCCTAGCTATAGGAACTAGCTTTTTTAATAATTTTTTAAAGTCGTAGACGACAGAGCTTAGAGATTGGGCTTGTCTCTAAAGAAAAGGGCGTGGTAAAAAGCTTCAATTCCACGATCTCCTCCTCAATGACTGTTGACTAATGGAACAGGTCAGCATAGCTTTTGCTGTCTAAATGTCTAGACTATTTCCGTCGACTGGAGAATATTTGTTCCAAATACATCTTTTCATAAGTAAAGTATATATCACAAGTCTTTCTTTCACAAAAATACATAGCTATATAATGAAGTTCTTATGATTTCAATAGCAGAAAGATTGTATGCTTCCAAAAATTTATTCATTGACAAAAGGTTTCTTAGTAGAGAATAGTTGCAACCTCCTTTACGACTATCTGGAACCATGGGCAGGAATAAGCCAACAAGCAGCCAAATCTAGATCTACGGGTCATTATCATAAGTTTTCTTCCAGGGCCTGTATCCGTTTCAAACTACCAGTGGATATCGTTGAAGGGCCTGCAAGCGCATGGCACCAGCAAAAATCAGGAAAGCGCTGATCTTTAACCTTGTGTCTAAGGAATCCACTGTTCATTGAGATTAATTAGGCAACCTCAATCAATCAAAAACAATACAATAGACTATGAAAAATGGCGAAAATGCTTCTGTCTGATTGGAAGGATTTTGAGTCACGTGTACACATACACAGTCACGTGTTTGCCTCTTTATCGCTAAAGCAAACGATTTTCGGAGAGTTTATGCTTATGTTCGTTACACATTTGGTGGAATAATGCAGTCAATGACCCATGGAATCATACAGTGTTAGAATGAAATTAACTATTTTACTCAGCGTCACTTGATACTGGGTTGTGTACTACAAAAACCCTACATAAAAAGAAAATTCAAGGTGTTGGCGATGGGGAAGCTGTTTGTTTTCTTGTTCACGATTGCCCTACTTTGTATTAATTCTTCGGAGGGCTTCCGTACAGGCGTCCTCTCTAATACCACAGACTTGGAAAGGATAGTCAGAGAAACAAATGAGGGTATGTAATAAAGAGAATCATGAAATGGTCGTCAATCTTATGCAAATGATGAAACAATGATTTTAATTGTTTTAATTATGACTCTGCGAATTATGTTAGAAATATGTCTAGGTTGCTCTAAGTTTGAAATCTTTTGAATTCATACATTTATTTCAAACCAATATATTTGAATCGTTTCGACAACAACACAGCAAATAACATGAAAAAGGCAAATATTTTTGTTAGAACGGAATCTTCAAGTTCCAAGGAATTTTACACCGACATTCCCACTCACCTTCTTTCAGAGAGTTTTTCTCTTCTTTTCTTACAAGATCTTCTTTTCAGAGAGATCTTGTAACATCCTCTTGATTTTCCACAATGATAATATGGCTTACTTTAAAAAGTACAATGATAGCTGACCGACAAAAGTAGTATGTACTCTTAATATTGCTACAGTTAAGCATTATTCACCTAAAGAATCAATGCATCAAGTTTCCTGATATCTTCGTCAATAGCTTAAGCTACTTTAACACATCCCTTTAGCCTTCTCTCCACGACTGAGTCCTTCAGATCTACCACTGCGGCAAGTAGTATCGACTGGCAAAGAAAAGGAAGATGATGGCGAGCAAGAGCTAATGAGATCTCGTAGGGGATTCCGCTCCTACTTTTACAACTACCTTGATGAAATAGCCATGGCAATTTGTGCCTCGATTCCGAGCGAAGGGCCTGGTCTTCTTTATGCTGTACGAAGGACGTGTGGCGAGAAAGCAACTTGTAAAGATATTTGTACCGATGCAAAGTTAAGGAAACAAGGTACAGTTAAACGCTTTATAGATGATTACAAAGTTTGCACCGTGTGGATGATTTCTACATCAAAAGCCCATACTCTACCTATATATTTACTTCTAAAGGAGCTCTTAAATTGTAAAAAAATAGATATCAGAACATAGTTTGGTTCTTTTGGCAAAATGTCTTTGATAAGTTATTCATCCAGCATATACTTTTTTTCCTGAAAACTTAAGTTAAAAGATTTTTTTGTCATGGTATGTTTAATGGAAACACTGCTGAGCAAAAATGTCTAATAGACAGATAATCGGGTAGTCATTTTGTTAAAAGTTTCACCTGGATCTTCTAACCGCTCTGAATAAAAACTCTACTCCGACACATAAGACAAAAAAGTAGATCTGAAAGTAGTTTGTCACACCAAAAAGTTCTTTTTGAACCGAGCGCGTGTAAAGTGCAGAAAAAACGCAGAGGCTGTAGCAAAAGTGCAGAACTGATTATCTTCATGACGCTGAACGATCATTTTCATTTAGAGCGTATCAGCAACTTAAACAATTTGCTTTTTAGGTATAATTCATAGATAGCCTGTAAAAAGTATCATTAACCCAACATCATCTTTGATTGTTTCTTCTTGTACAATCTATCAGTATCAATGCTTTCTTACATTTCTCGGCGTAACATTTTTTCCACATATCATGCAATCATTTCGAAACAAATAGCTTTTATTAAATCTTTTAGGGATGAATTAGAAATTGTTTCTGCCATCCCAAAAGTAGTTTGCTTCTCTGAATTTTAAGAAACGAACAAATTCTTATTTGCAAATGTGTAAACGAGAGACTACACAAAGCAGATAAATTTTTTGTCAGTATAAATATGACAGAATGTTGTCAAGATGCCCGAACTTATCTTCACCAAAGTTTTTTGTCTGAGATTACAAAGAAACCTATAAAAGAAACCTCAAGAGCCTCAATAATATATAAAAACACCCTTATCATGCATTTGATAAATATTGAATACTTTGATCGTCATTAAACAAAGAAGGGTATAGTTTACATACAGAATAGCTTTAAGATTTGCAGTTTAACTAACAGCGCCACTCTTACCATTTCCATTTTAACAGTCAATGTCCTTATTCAGCTAGAATTCAGCGATGTGGAACGTTGTTTCGATTGGCACGTTGAATATTTTTCTGCAGCCACAGCTGGGTCTATAACTAAAGTCTTGATTTGACTGTCTTCATAGGTCCAAAGGAGGTACAAAATCTGCAATGGGCCTGCACGGAGTCACTGCATGTTTACAAAAGGCAGCCGGCCTTGGCAGACAACTACGAAGACTACACAGATTCACATAAACTAGGACTTGCAATCTATAGGCATTATTCATGCACAATCGGCGGCTGTGGGCCTAACTACTGCTGTTGCAGAGCAGCGTAAATGCATTTTAACCAATCTAACTGAAACCAGTTAGAATAACAATAGCTTGCTTAACGCAGGTTAGAATGTCTTGGACTTTGTCTGTTTTTGATCTGTAAATTTGGATGCTGCATAAAAAATTAAGGATATCTATTATAGCTAAGTAATTCTGTACATTATGCTATGGTCATGCGATAATGATTTTTTTGCCTTTTATTTGCAATGCGCTATTAGTAGCAACTAGTCCAATCCACAAATCGAGCAATAATTTGATGATACACCAGATTGCTAATTATACCATCTAGATTTTTTTAGCCTAGACCTTCATAAGGAGATAGTCAATGGTTTGCCTTGTTTTAACACGCGTTAGGATAGGCTAGGTTGTTACTTCTATAGCATAGATTTTCGGACACAGTGCACCATTTTTGCTACAATAGTATATCATTGAAGTGAATGATAAGAACAATACCAGGCAGAGATAGGCCCATGGCCGTCTTTCTACGTGCGAATGGATTGGAAACGAGATGGCTGCTGTACTCAAAGCTCTGTAGAACATATTGAATATAATGTATTCGGTACAAGCTTGTTAAGAACTTCTTATTCTCTGAATCAGGATGTTTTCATAGAATTAATGCAATCGTGATAATGTTAATTTTTCTGCTCTGAATGAAAATTGAATTACAGAATGAACACAAATTCATTTTGAGCTTTTTAAATTTATGATTGTTGATCTTCTGTTGACATACTTTCTTCAGACATAAAAGCTGACAGAGCCATTGATCTACCTCTTGAATCGCTCTTAATGAGTCAACAAAAATTTTTTCCATCCTGGTTATGTACAGATATATATCCGCCATTATGGAACCCAGTCTCCCCTTTGCAGTAAGCATTGAAACAATTTATTTGCTTGCGTTATGAAATATTTTCGCTATTAATTTCTTTAAATTAATAAAGAAAAACATTTTAAAACTATAAAAAAGGCTTGTTGAATACTCTGAACGTAGTATTTTTTAACTGTAGCCGAATAGAAGAAAAAAAATACAATTGTTTTATAATCCAAATAATTAACCTGATTATAAGATTGGATGTGCCACATAAACAAGAGTAATTATATGTCATATTTTGCAATTATTTTGAACAACAAGATAGCACTATAAAAAAGTGTGGTGAGATGGGTCATTTTACAAAAGCCAAAACTCGTTTACATTGAGAATCACTGCAAAGGCAAAACTATGCAATTGTAAAAAATTCAAAAATGGTTGATAGTACAAAGTCTTTCTTTAGATCAAAATTAGATAAATTTTCAGAATTTCTAAGTATTTGATCTTCAAAAGGGCAAAAACCCCTAACACAACAAAATTAAAAACCGGCTGAGCAAAGCCAAATAACTTTCGAGAGAAATTGAAATAAATTCTTTGCAACCATCAAAATTGGGTCCAGTAGGCCGTGTAGTTTCAAATAAGCTTATCAGCTGTCATGAAATTTTCATTACTTGCCACACATGTATATCACTGTTCTCAGCTATAGTGTTTGATTAAAAATGACTAACAAAATTTTCACGATTCATTTTTTTCTTTGGTCTTTGACAACTCGAAGCGGTATTTCAGTGTATTGTGTTCGGATGCTTTAGTGGGAAGCAAATGTCAATCGCTGTCATTTCAACTCACTTGCCCCACTCTAACCAAAAAAGGCTTAAGTTTTCGCAAGAACCTTGATAACAAAAACCTTTTGAAATTCTTGGGAATATTCCCAACACAATCTGCAGTTGCTGAAGAATTATTAATAATAAAGAGGACTAAGCTGGGAGTTGGCAAAAAACGGCTAAAACTAATCGCTAGAAAAAGTAGAGATTTATCAAGAAGAATATCTTCCAAGTTTCAAACGGCATTTGGCGTTGAAGCACAAATATCGTTGGGGTAATTTATGTTAGGTACACCTTGCAGCTACCAAACTCGTACCCTGGTTGCTTGAAAGTACCATATTTTGGTATATTTCAACGCAAACAGAATTGACGAAGAATTGTTTGTGAAAATATTGCGAAACAAAGTTCTGCTTCTACTTTATCATCGCATTACTCTTTGACACAGAAAAAAGCGTAGATACGTTAAGCAGTCGATTAACTAGAAAAAGGCAAAATATTGTATTTACAGTAGTTATTCAATAAAGTATGTGTCATTTTCTTACTTACAGTCAGTCAGATTTAGAGAAAGTCTCTAAGTCTATGATCATTTCGCAGCTTTTCATCAAGCTGCATGTACTTCTGTGGCGCCATTTCTTTGTGCCTGTCATCAAACAGAATTTAAAATGAAAAAAATGATTTATTCTAACCAAATCAATCTCCGAAGTAGAGCATGACCGGTGAATTGTCAGTCGAAATAAGATTCCTTATCTTGGTTACATTGAAAATATCACAGATTTCTAAGCAACGTTACACAACACACTGATAACGCCTTGGTGATCGGTTCGTGAGTATATTTTTCTGCCCTAAAGAAGGAGATTAACAGCACAAGCATTTGTCATAGAATTACTTTTGCTGTCAAACTATAAAGCGTGACCTGGAGTGAGTGATTAGCTGAGAGCTTCAAGAAAAACAAATTTTTCTCAGGTCATATGCTTGTACGTGCCAGTTCTAGAGTACTTGAAGAATGTTTAAGCATAAATAGAAGACCATCAGTAGCAAATTCTAGTCACTTCAAACTTCAGGTATTAGAATATATCACACTTTTATATTCACCAATGACCGCAAAACTTCTGAATCTGAGTCTCTTGACCAAAACGTGTCTTTATACTTCTTTATTTAGGCTATTGTACGAATTGCTTAGAAAATAAACCTTTGCTTTAAAATTTCAAACAATAAAAAACGCTGATAAGGTGGTGAGTTTACCTGCTCAGTCTTAGTTCCAGGATGTGGATACGAAACATTGCTTCGCTGCAAAAGTTCAGATAATCTTCTTCGTCTTCTTTTGTCATGTTCATTTGATTCTGTTGATACCATGTTTGCTTCTTCTGCAGATCTTGGGTTTCCTGAGATAAGGAAGAAAAGCAATGAGCTGGTGTTTTTCTATGCAAAAAATGAAACAAGGACAACATACAAGTTCATTCAACCGTTGATGAGAGCACAGAACAAGGAAAAAAAGATGTCTTTCAAAAATGGCTATTTCTAAGATATATGGAATACAATCTTTCGACACACCATAGAAAACATTTTAGTAAATTTAAAAATATGGGCGAAAAAATTTACCAGTAAAAGATACAAATTAAATAATTTCATTTCAAAATCGTTCTGCAACGTTTGGTAGATGTACTCGATGGTTTTTATGCAAACAAAGCAAGATAAGTGCATTGATCTGGTGAAAATGATGCTAGGTTGTTGTTGCTTACTCTACCATTCTTGAAAAGCAAACGGCTACCAGGTATTTTAAGGCTAAGAAAGTCGACAGCAACATTTAATTGTGATTTTTAAAGCCAATTTTCCATTCACTTGTCCTTATTAAGTTTACAAAAGATAAATCATCATTGCAAAGTCGATTTCTGTAAAATACCTTTTCAAATCTCGCCTGTATGAGGTTGGCCTTTTCTATTAGCCTCTGTTTCAAATCTTGCAAGCATTCTTCCCTTATTTTGACAGCATCAGGCTTTGATAGCGTTTTCGGATCACCAATGCGAGACAAAAATGGCGCCAAGTAATCAAGCTCCATGTCTCGCTTGCGCATTTCCTCTTCCCGTTGTTTCCGTTCCTAGAAAAAGAGCACATTAGCAATAAGTACCAAATGATGATGAATCTTATTAAATGATTAATAAACTTAATATCTTGATTGAGATTTTCAAGCATACGTCACTCACCATCTCTGTTCTTCTTTGTTTCGCCTTTTCATTCCTTTCTGTATCATAAACTGAAACAGTCAACTTCGAAACACTCTCCTCCGTCATTCTTGCATCAAGAATTTCTCTCACCTAGATGAAAAAAAAATTCTCTAAACATGAATTCATGCGGTATTTGCCCTAGTCTTTGTTAATGTTTATGAAATATTACGGTAAGTTGAACTAGAAAGAATACAAATTGTAGCCTTGATGAGAAACTTTCCATTTTCGCGTATCTATAGAACATTTATACAAGCATTTGGAAAGCTGGTTTATTACAAAATTTTGAAAGGCAAACTACCTCATACCTAAAATCTTTAGAGGAAGGGCGTGACACAACTTAGGAAAAGAAACATCTGGTCGACAATCATGATCCATTTAAGTTACAAGTGTTTTGAAAAGGAAGGAATCATATATTTATTCTAAAATTTGCACAAAAAATTAATAGCTTTACTGAAAATTAGGTAACCAGACAAAAAGTGATACATAATTTGTTGTTTACTCCATCTAGCAACATATAAAATTTGTATCTTTCGTGTAGTATCAAAACCTTTTTGGTCATATGAGGCTTAAAGTAACAAAAGGATTTCAAAAGATGTATGTAAAACTGCTTCAGAGAGTTGCATTTTGCTGAATTTTCACTAAGAGCATGATAGAAATGACTGGTGTATTCTCAGGAGACTTAACTTCTCTAAACGTCAAGATGCTCCGAAGAAAAATTTGACAGTAGGGGACTGGAAAAAGCCATTAACGATTCTTACAAAAATTTCAGAGCAACATCAATAATGAAAATGCACATTTGCAATGCAATACACATCGTACATTGAAGCTTATAATTGCATGATCTTAAAACATTTCGTAGGCAAAGAGCTGTAAAGGATTATGTCACTGCTGATGTCTCTAACTCCAGGATCATATCAATTAAATTCCAAAGCTACGATTCAAAAGTCTGGATTTCCCAAGGAAAAGATCATCGTCCAAAAATAATCATTGCTGACAAGTTGCTTTCATAAACCTTATATCAAATGCTTTGAAGACCCTTCTTGCTGGGGAGACGAGCAAGTAAAAGTTTCTCGATAAATGAGGCAACCTTTTGTCGATTGAAAAATTTTGAAAAATTTTGGAATGGTTACTCTAAAGAAGCTATAAAGGAACGGTTAATTCAGAGTTCAATTTAAGCCATAAAATGTTCATCTGTTCCTGAAGAATGCTTCGAGTCCTTTGACTCAAAGGTTATCATGGGTTAAAAAACAGGAAAGGAAAAAATCAAAAAATAAATCTCCTTTCATGTCAAAACCGTGAAACCTTGCAAATCGAATTTCAGGGATTGGAAGTAATACTGAAGAAATAAGCAAAGCCTTTTGATTCTCTCAGACAGACAAACACAGCTTAAAAGATAAGAATATGACCTCATTTATCACTTAAAGTATTGAAATAAAACAAATCTTTTTGCTTACCTCCTCTTCTGATTCACGAATTTTATCGTTACATAATTTTTCAGCCTCAAGAAGATTTACCATCATGTTGTAGATGTCCAACTCTTTTGGATCAGTAGCATACGGATCAACCTACGGATCAATCATGTTGAGTAAATTGTTTAAAATTAAAAAGACATAAACTTCTGGTCGATATGTGCCTCAGAAATATAAAAATAAACTTTAACAATATAAGAAAGGTATAGCTATTGCTACTACAATAAGAAAGGGTCCGAAGTCTACAGCACCGCTGTTATAAGAAAGTTCTCCTTAAAGACGAGAGAAACAATACAATAAAAACTACTGCCATTTTATCAATTTTTGCGTGAGTTTTATTACCTACTGCAAATACCATGAAAACAATCTTATTGTAGTCTTACCACATAGAAAAAGCGATTCATTAAGACAAAAAAACTTTATTTGGAAGACTAGAACAACGTTTCTAACAGTTCGTTTTAATTGGATAAAAGGAGGATTTTAAGTTAAGGCGTCGACAAAGTAGGATTAGAGAAGAGAATTGTTAGAATAATTTCATCTTTATAAGAAATACACAATTCTTACAATGCATAGGCTGAGTAAGAATATTATACATGCAGACCATGCAAAATCATTGGATAATCTTTTAATGGTAAATTTTGGTTGCCAAAAAGCCACTCAGATCTTTACTATGTCTCATTGCGTAATCAACTAACACCAAAATTGGTTACAAATATTTTTTTAAAAATGGCTTTTCGAAAATGGAAAATTATAGGCCCACCTGGAATGCTGTTGTGGCATCAGGAGTCAACTGCAGCGGTGTCCCTTTTTCCGAAGAGTAATTTGGTGGCTTTATAAACTCTCTCGTTGAGGACGTAATGCGCTTGTTCTCTAAATGGTACAGCAAGGCAATCCTATCTTCAGACACAGCAAATGTTCTCTCTCTCACGTTTTCGTTGGCCGGCATAGATGGGTCACGTTCAAATCTCTCAGTCATTTTCTATGATGAAAGACACTGTCTCGTTAAAGCAAGCTCGTGCTACAGGATAATAAGCCCATGACCACGGAACATTTTACGCTTTCCACGGTCGCTGACATAATCTTACCTACGCACGAAAATACATTATGATTGAGGAGCTATAATTCTTATTGACCTACAATCTATGGACAAATACTCCGTATCATTTTCTTGTTTTGGACAAAAGTTCTTTCAAAAAGTTCATGTACTGAAATATTTGTTTTGAAGCACGCTTAACTACGGGAATAAGACAAAAATATCTCAACATTTTATACGTCAAAATACAGATATAAGAAGTCTGAAAGTTCTAATAAGACTGGTTTTCTAAATTGAAAATATTGATGATAACTTTGTGGTAGAAAGATTACAAATAAAACAAACAATAAATGGGAACTCACAGCAATAGGCCTGTTGTTGGCAGCTTGAGGACCAAATTTTTTAACTCTCTTTCCAAATAAAGCGTGTCTATAGCTGAGAAAGTCTTCTCTATTTTCAAAATATTCTGAGAGTGAAACGGGTGTCTCTTCTCTTTTAACAAGTCCATCAACCCTTGCACTGAAGTGAAAAAAAAACATTACAATATCTTTCATACCAGAGAAGAGAAATTTTAATCGTGAAATTCAGAGGAAGATTATCACATTTCAGCGAGACAGTTGAGTCTGGTGTCAAGCGAGCTCACATTGCCTAATGAATTTTAAAAAAATATGTTGAATTAAAGTTCTTGAAAACTATTATTATATCGATCATATAAAACTTTTCAGCTAGACCAAACAACCAATCAAGCTGTCTTGGGTACTTAACAAAAAAAGTATTCACTAGAGCTTCAGGGGATGGAAATTCTTTGCCACACAAGGTTCTTCCAACTAATTTCACTTTCATACTTTTGACTCCTTCTGCAAAACAACATTATTGAACTAATTTTCTCTTCAATTTTGCCTTAGTTCATATGCTAAAATCTTTTAGAATGTTATGATCAAAGTAAAGAAAAAAGTTGCCTTCTAAACATAAATTTGCAGCCTGAAGGGACATCAGAAATGCCAGATTGTCAAACATTCAACTTGAATGATTTTAAGTTGTTTGAAGAACTTATACGTTACAAAACGTGTAATTACAAAAAGACTGAATAGTCCAACCCAGAACTCAAGCTGATCACAGGCCTAATAATCTAGATCTCCTTTAGTCAAATGACATAAATTATGTTTGTAATTGCTTCTTACTTTGAGTAAAAATGCATGATCCTGTCCGACTCTGGGCCAGGTGAACTGGCTTTGTACACATGCTCTAAAGATAGGCAAAATAAATAAATGAAAGAAAAAGCAACGCTATATTTAGAATTAATAAATATTTCTAGGAGCATCGAAATACATTAATTTACAAAAAAAATCAACCTTTAAGTGAACGTTACTAGTACGAAGTTACTAGTTAGAATAATAGCAATGTGAGCAGGCCAGAAAAAAGATTCAGCTAGGTCTATAATTGTGGAAAAAGCATGTTTTCTGCATACCTTTTAAGGATAATTGTCTTCCTGGCAAAAAACTTTCCAGAATTTGACCAGTTGCAATGATGTGTGTTCTGGATTCTAGCTTATCTTCTCGATTTTTATAATATTCTTTTACTTCTTGCAATTCCTTCACTGGAATAAAACAAAAGATAACATGATAGAAATATGAACATAACATAACATAACATAACATAACACAACACAACATAACATAACATAACATAACATAACATAACATAACATAACATAACATAACATAACATAACATAACATAACATAACATAACATAACATAACATAACATAACATAACATTACATAACATAATGCAATGTAATGTAATGTAATATAACTTAATACAAGACAATATGATATAAGATAATATCATGTAATGCAGTAAGTACACTCATTGTCGTTGTATATTGACAGCCGGATGACCAGCCCATCGCGATTCAGATACTCTGCAAATTTTTCTAACTTTGCTTTCTTGTAAATTACTGTTTTCTTTCCGTTGGGACATCTCGTATGAAACTCTGTGGAAAAATTTTTACATAAAAATAATGATAAATTTTGTTTTTTTATATATTTATAAATAATAACAACAGTTATGAAACGACTCATAAGATGAAGTATTTGCTGATGTGTTACAAAATAATATATTTGGTTTTCTAAGAATTGTTGTTATCGACGAAAGGGCAGAATCGACTGGCATAAATGCCCATAACAAAGCTGCATAATTTTCTCTTATTTATAACAAATCATTAGGTAACAGAGTTTGTAGCTCCAAACTACGATCTGATTCTTTTCAATCAAGTGAGGCGTGATTACGGCTCTTGAAATTTCAAGCGTTTGAATCAGGAAATGATGCGACATCGTTAGCACAAAGCATAATATATATTTTCGGATGATAGGTTAGAACAAATAATAAGAGCATAACAAAAAGGAAAATAAAAGTTTGATTAACCTTTTGATGTGATTTCGATTTTATCAACCCAGGAAGGAGGCAAATCAACTTGAGCTTCACCTTCCTCTTCCTACAATTTACAACAAAACATAGAAACAGGGTGCCAATTATTATTAGAAATCAAAAGTCACGATGATGAAAAATAGCTCTGATCAAAATGAAAATTAACATTGTTGGAAATAGCAGCATCTCTATTATGACACATGAAAGATATCTTTTTTTGTAGGAGATGTCGCTATGATATGTCAAGAAGAAATATATTGGAGCAATGACCGACTCCGATTGAAGTAGCGACTTGGAACCATTTTGTTCTATACACTAAATAGCGTGTACAGCTCTGCCTATACGACATCGAGCACTTTATGACAGAACGGTAAACAGAAAGTTTCATTATTTGAGCAATAAAAGAGATCGGAGCAATAAGTTCTATCATGAATTACGGCTGAAGTAGAATGACATCATCTACAAATTTCTGAAGGTTAAAGAAGATATGGTTTTCTTTGCATTAAACGTTACTTAATCCTTTAATATTGATTACCAGCCATTAAATGCAGTAAATATAGAACAATTGTCTATTCTCACTTTATTGATAATCATGGCTCAGGTTTAAATGAATGGATGTCTTGGAATGATGAATGTTAGGGAACCTAAGAGTGACGAATCCTCAATGCTACCAGGAATTAAAAATTGATTAAATGACGTTTCGGGCATAGCCCGTTTGACTTGATAATTCCCTCTCAAGGTTTTTATACCTTTCAAGACCAACTCAGTAATAAAACCTTAGTGATCTAACAGTATTTTTATCTAGTAATTCAGAGTGGTCTCCAAGGTTTTAGAATTTTCTTTGAATATTCTTCCGAAATTAAATCTAAAAGGGTTTTCTTCAGGCTGATTAATAACAGGTTAGATCATTTCTCTCAGAGATACTTGGGAATAATTATTAAATTCTTGTTCACTCCCTTTTGAATTGTCAATCGTGACCCGGTGGAAAGACAGTAATATTATATAATTATTAATACTCCTTCCACTTCATGTATGTTATAGTTATAAATATTACATGCAATATGCTTGACTAAATTTTATCATACTTTTCTTATATCTCTCAAAGATAATTAGAATAAAAGATTTTCAGATTTCCAATCGCATTGCCAAGGACGAGAAGAAATGTTCTAGAGGTGCTTCCTTTTAGGAAGGAGATAGACTTTCCCAAAGTCTATTTTATGTTAAGTCCGTAAGGCATTCGTACTACTGCGAGGGCATATCTAAACTGCGGAGGAGACGATAGAAGGCGGAGAATATACCATAGCAAGCGTTTCAAACGTGTCATATAAGATAGCAAGCGTGTCAAACAGCAAACCTTGGGCATGACCTTGGGCGAAGAATATACCATCGCCTTCTAACATCTCCTCCGCAGTTTAGATATGCCCTCGCAGTAGTACGAATGCCTTACGGACTTAACATAAAATTGACCTTGGAAAAGACTAGGAAGGAGATATCAAGCGTATCAAATAGCAAGCCTTGGGCATGACGTGATGGAAATGCGAAGAGGTATCCCAAATGACAATTGTACGTTTTTGCATTAAGTGGTAACGTAAAAAGGCTGGGACAATAATGACAAGTCATTAAACATTTCTGAAAGTTGATATTCCTAATTACCGTTACAGAAAAAAATAATATTTTTTGTGAATAATTCAACAGATTGTGAATACAACAGCCTCTGTTTGATTTGCGCCGTCCTGTCAGATTTCAAAAGAGTATTTCTTCTCATCAATCATTAATTCTCGTGTTGGTTTAAAAGATGAAAAGCCTCAGCAGCTTAGGTTATCGTCGGTCTTAGAGAGAACGAAAAGAGATTTAAACTGCTCTTGGCAGAGTTATTCAAAACTGGGAGGAAAAATATAGGGATTCATTGATGGGATTTCACACGAGAAAAAGTGACATCTGGTTGATAAATTCTCCAGAATATCATATAAATAAGAGGATCAGGAATCACTAGTGAAAAAGAAGAGTTGCAAAATATAGCTGTGGTTTGGTGAAAGTGGAGAACGACACGCCACAAAAGAGACTAAATACACAGGTAAACATATCAATTTGATTTTTTATAGACCTCTTTTCAAATACAAAAGCTATCTAAAAGATGAAAAACTGCTCTGTAACAAGGCTACATGGTAATTTAAGATCTCGGTTTGCGTTTGTATTTCGCGCAGATTTATCAAGGCCAGCTTAGAAACCCCAATGTCTCTTTTCTATCTTTTAGATGGGAGTTAAAGCAATAGACGATTTCCTACGGTATTACAGAAGCATTGCTTGTGTAGTGGTAGATTTACGTCTTGTGTAAGATCTTAATATGGATTTGGTCAAGACGTATTTCGTGTGTATGTACATATACACTGGGTTTGGTATGACGGGGTTTCTTGCTAACATTGCGCAAATCTCCTACATGTTAGCAAAGGGAAGAAGAAAGACTAAGTTTGATATAACCCTGCTAAGTCTTAGCGTTGCCGATGCATTCTCAGCGTTGTTCGTTTCGTGCTACGGCCTGTTTCTGGTGGCATTTCACAAGCTCTTTGCAGTTGTTAATGTGAGATTTCTGGACATAGGTCTGAACATTTGTATCACAGCTTCAATGACTCACATGATGCTAATTGCAACACAGCGATTAATTGGAGCTGTTTTTCCTCTCAAAGCTCAAAGAATCATAACAACAAGTCGTCTATACATCAGCCTTTTAATCGTTTGGGGCTTGCCTTGTCTCTATGGAATCCTGTCGTACTTCTTTATGACCCAGTTTCAAACGATCCGTGCCAATGCCATCTTAGCCATCATCAGCTGCCTGTTCCTTATAATACAATACAGCATCATATGCTTTCGTGTGACAAGATACAACGTAGTTCTACAAAGAAGACCTCAAAATCGTTCAATTCTGGTGCATTCGTTTCTGGTTACAATGGCTTTCTTCATTAGCTTTGCGATGTTCGCCATAACAGAAATGGTAAGCCAGACAACGACTTTAACTCTTCATATCATTATTGGAGACTTATTGGTGGCGACCAACCCACTCCTCGATACTCTAGTCTACTTCACGATTCATCTTTGTAGAAAAAACAGGGTCCATCACACCAGAAGATAAAGGACTTTAAAAAAGACGATTATCTTTGCTTCATTAAATAAAATAATCTGCTCATGTATTTGGCAGCTATACTCATGCCAAAAAGAGCTTTAAATATTGGAGTAAAGAAATAGGGAATCAAAGAGGCCAATTTACGGCAGCGTCTTTTTAGAAAATAGTAGGGTCTTTCACTTGGGCCGTTATGTGACAAATGCAACTTTTACTTGTCATATTAACTTTGAGTTTATAGAAATGTTTTATTAATGCTATAGGTTGAAAGTAATTAGCAAAGAGTAGAAATAAAGTACATAATACCAAATAACAAGTACTCAATTACTTTTCTTTCCTATTTCTGAAAAATTGATCGAAATGAGGGAATGTCTCCACTGTTTGCTTGTTTGATGCCAGTTCGAGATATTGGCCTGACATCAGTTTCTATATATTGTGTTTTTAGAAAAAGATTTAGAAATTCTTCCTGGAAATAAATAGGCGACACGAATCAACCATCTATCCGTTTTACACTACCAATGCTGTTTCGTGAAAAGAGAACTAGATAGTTCATGTCAGTGTACTGCATTCCGACAGACGTCCAATGGTTTTATATGGTATATCTCTATATCTATCGCTAGGAAGGGGGGAGTCTCTACCCCTTTTCTATCTCAGGCTCCCCCCCTTCCTAGCGATAGTCACAGGAGTGCGAATTTTATTTGCACAGGAGTGCAAGTAATTTTTTATTACGTGACCTGTGCGAGGGTATATATATCAAATCGAGGTTGATACACCTCTCGTTTTTCCGAGGGTAATATTTCCAACTCTTGTTGCGGCTATTGGGTGCGCGCGTAGCGGGTTTCGTAGGGGAGCTAGTTTCCCGTTCATTGAAATGTGCATACAGATTCAGTGTATTACGATTGCAATGTCGAGGCAAGAATGAAACTTGCTTAAATACATTTTGCGAGCCCCGGTCTATTCGCGGTTCTCGCTTACGTATTTTCACGGGTTACCCCATCAAGCTCTCCTGTTTTATCTGATTTCAATGTCTAAGTTTTTGATCACTACAATTCTTTTAGCCCTTGAGGACTGGGGCTCGTTTAATATTTTGCAGGCTTATCTAAAAGCTCTGTTTGTTATTTTTCAAATCTACTTTGAAGCTTGATGGCAACATTTTTCTGTAAGCCCCCACCATTTCGTTGTCCTCGTTGACACATTTTCATGTTTTACTCTCAGAAGTTCTTTTATACTGTTATCAGAACTTTTAGAAAAGTAAACCCAAACTTTATTACTTGCTGGCTTGTGGGGCTCGTTTAATATTTTGCAGGCTTATCTAAAAGCTCTGTTTGTTATTTTTCAAATCTACTTTGAAGCTTGATGGCAACATTTTTCTGTAAGCCCCCACCATTTCGTTGTCCTCGTTGACACATTTTCATGTTTTACTCTCAGAAGTTCTTTTATACTGTTATCAGAACTTTTAGAAAAGTAAACCCAAACTTTATTACTTGCTGGCTTGTGGGGCTCGTTTAATATTTTGCAGGCTTATCTAAAAGCTCTGTTTGTTATTTTTCAAATCTACTTTGAAGCTTGATGGCAACATTTTTCTGTAAGCCCCCACCATTTCGTTGTCCTCGTTGACACATTTTCATGTTTTACTCTCAGAAGTTCTTTTATACTGTTATCAGAACTTTTAGAAAAGTAAACCCAAACTTTATTACTTGCTGGCTTGTGGGGCTCGTTTAATATTTTGCAGGCTTATCTAAAAGCTCTGTTTGTTATTTTTCAAATCTACTTTGAAGCTTGATGGCAACATTTTTCTGTAAGCCCCCACCATTTCGTTGTCCTCGTTGACACATTTTCATGTTTTACTCTCAGAAGTTCTTTTATACTGTTATCAGAACTTTTAGAAAAGTAAACCCAAACTTTATTACTTGCTGGCTTGTGGGGCTCGTTTAATATTTTGCAGGCTTATCTAAAAGCTCTGTTTGTTATTTTTCAAATCTACTTTGAAGCTTGATGGCAACATTTTTCTGTAAGCCCCCACCATTTCGTTGTCCTCGTTGACACATTTTCATGTTTTACTCTCAGAAGTTCTTTTATACTGTTATCAGAACTTTTAGAAAAGTAAACCCAAACTTTATTACTTGCTGGCTTCCGATACTTGAGAAATTCCTTATAAAATCAATCCAATTAGCAGTTCCTTGATTATTACGATTATCATTAGCAATATCATAGCTTTCTTTTATATTCGACTTTATTTGCTGTAAAGTACATGTAATTCTGTCACTTAAACAAACAAGTATTCTTGCCCAGATTCAGAATTATCTTGAAAGCGTAAAAAGGTCATGTTTCATTTAAAGGAGAAAGAAAGAGCTATATGTTTACAAAACTGACAGTCAACATAGAAAATGCAGACTAAAAATAGCAATAATGTTGATGGTCTCGAGCTCTGTTGAAAATTTTCAAAAGAATTTTCTGAGGCTCTCCAATCACTTTCAAGATTTCTAGAAGAGAGTATAAAATAAATCACCTCGTCTTCATCATCAAGTGGGTCTTCACCAAGGCCAGGCAGTGACAACACTGGCTTGTCTGTGTTCACAAACATATATTCCCACTTCGCAGCATCTCCCAAATCAAAAGAAAGGCTCTAGAAATCGATGAAATGCATGCATCACTTATCTGCAATAGCAAAATAGATTAAGGTTGCAAACTTTCCAAGAATCTAATTTTCTTAAATGATTTTCTTGCATTTAAAGAAATACGCTTACCCTAAGTTGAAATATTGCTACAAGAGAGAAACATCCAATTTTTGACTTCTCGCGTTCACAATAGACATTAAAAATCCAGTAGCGCATTTGTTGGTTTTTGTTTCTTTGTCTAACAATGAAGATATCTTCCGAGTAATAGTTACATCTTTTCAGGGGAGAAGCAGTGACCACGTGTTCTTGAATTTCGCAACCACTCGTTATGAAGTCAAATACTTTCACATTCTCCATCCTATCTATATCAGTCTTTGTTAACCACAATTTTTATTTTATTACGGGAGTTGTATTACACTTGTAAAGGCATTTGCGAAATGACAACAGGCTATCAAGATATCAATGGTATCAAGCAAATCAATGCCTGATTCGCCCATCTGCTCGATAATTTGGCTACAGTGCTAATACCTTTGATCTTATAGAAATATTGAATTATAACCATTCTAAAAACACAGAAGATTTGTTCACACCAAGTAAAAACATAAAAATCTGGTTTCAATTTGATTATTTGCTTCATTCTTTAACACGATTACCAGCTGCAATCTAAAGACATTAAACGTATTGGAGAAGACGCATATTGGCGCCATTAAGATCATTTGATCATAGTGAATTAATAACGTCATATGTATTGCTGCAATCTTTTTTAGCGTATGGCGTTGATTTGTAATCTATAATTTAATTATAAAGAAGAGAATACGTTTTGGTGAAGGCAAAATATGGATCTGAAGCAGATCAAAGTTTGATAGGAAAAAGCACCGACGTTGGCAAGATAAGATTGCTATCAATGACATTTTATGCGCTTAACATAAATAAAAAAGGGCAGTCTGGAAATTCAAGATAAATTTAACAAAAAAGAATTTCCCGATCACTTACTGGCATTGTCCATCTTACATGCAATCAAACTTTATGAATTATTTTTCATGTTGATGAATTGTATGAAATTTATTCGTAAACCAAAGTTTCCTACTTTGACAAGACAATTGGACATTCTTAGGTTTTCAGGGTACACAACAGGTATCATAAAAATGCAAATACAGCAAAGGAACATATGCCAGCAAGCTAAAATTGCGTGCAGGAGATTCAATTCGTTTACGGTGCAGTCCATATGTTTCACGGGGAGAATTGCATTACAAATGCAATTACCTGCGCATAAATATTTCCTCTCAATGGGCTCAGTTGATGTCTAAACACCTGAGTCATACCCATTAAATATAATAAATTGACAATGACGATTTAAAGAGTTTTTTGATAGTATCAAAAAATTCAATAGAATCTATGTATAGGGTAATTATGAATAAAGAAATAAACAATAAAAGGAAGAAAACGGTTTTAAAATAGTAAATATGTTACCATGGGTACCAGAGCCTCAAGACTCGTGAATGCAGTACTGTAGATCGATGCGATGTATAGATATGTATATAAACTGTGTGATGCGATATAAACTCTATAATGATGACATGTTTGAGATAATTGGCAGAGCCCGGTCGTCTTGTAGTGACAATAATTTTATTTTTATGCTATGCCCATTATATTCATTCATTTAGTTACTCTTTCTTTGCGTGCTTCTTTCACAGCTCTGTAACTATCAAGGTACGTCACTTACTACAACACGCTAATCCCATCTTTCTTCTCAGCTATTCATCGCATCATCATTAACTGCCTAGTCTACGACTGTTGTCATTGCTATAGTTATTAATTTTGTATAAATGCATGTAAATTTTAGTTTGTCATTTAGTCAAGGATAGTCGCGAATAATCACGGTATAACATACGCCTGACGTGATAGTCTTTTCTATGGCTCCGTAAAATAAAACTCAACGCAAATTGGAAATAACACTCTAGCTGTTAGGTGCATTAATTAATGAACGAATAGCACACTACAATGCCCAACTCTAGTTTCACTGAAGTCTTTCTTCGAGTCTTTCTATCAATCAGTTTTTGAATCGATCTACACACAAACGAAAAAGCCGCCATTGTGTCGACAGAAGGAGTTTCTTTTCTCTCTTGGACCCCAGTGGTAATTTTTTCAAAGCCATTTTCAAGTTCTTTACCGCCAAAAAACTTTTCATATAAATATGTTTAATATAGCCCAAGAATTTTATCAAAATATTAAAAAATTATAAACATAAACACGTACTTTGGTTCCTTGTGAGCAGTCCTGCATATTAATCCAAAGATTAGTGTGGTTCCAAACGCTTTCGATTCCGAGGTAAGAGCTATCGTCAAGTGCTTTCGGACATCCGGTCAACGATTCGATGAAGAAACTCTCCGGTACTTCTCTTTTTCCAGACAAAACCAAGACCCAGGAGTGAACTCTAAGGCCATGCAACTTGTCAACCGGCGGTTTCTCTCGCTCCTTAAAGAAATAATAAGTTCAACTATAATTACTCAGGGATACAAATTTCTTGTTTTAGGCCCAAGCGGTTTTTATCAGACACGATTTTCAATGACCGACCATCGTTCTAAATACAACCAACTAATAAAACCTTGCGCACTTTTCGATTCATCGGAGAAAGGTTAACTGAATCAAAGATTGATTCTTGGTAAAAAACTAAGAAGAATTAAGGTTGATCAGCAACAAAGAAGAAAAAGAGCTACTTTTGTGTTATTCCTTCATCATTTAAATAGAATATGTGTCAACTGTGAACTCAGTTATAAATGCCTTGCCTTGGACAGAATACAACCAATAGCAATCTAGATCAAAGGTACTCAGATGCTATAGAGGTGCTAATATTCATATTATAGTGTTGATGATAATAATTAGAACTGTGGTTATAGTGTTACGTGTTAAACTCGAAGTTGCGAGTCAGGACCGTCCTTCTAACAAAAGAGAGCAACGGCAGCTCTGCTTATAAGGCATTGAAAACCAAAGGGACCTTTAATGGTTTTGGGGTTATGAACTGGCCCAAAAAAATTTCTTTCAAGAATTTCCATATTGTAAACAGCCTATCATTCGAGACCTTCTTTGAAATGTAAGCTCGCCTGCTTCATACACACTTACGTTATGACAACGTAGCTCAAGAAAAGACGTTTTTGCATCTAAAGACGGATCTTGTCGTGTTGCAATTGTAGCTAACAATTACCTTCGTTACAATAAAAGAGTATTCTTTCCTTGATTATCAAGTCATTTGTAGCAAACAATTTGATTGGGTTAATTCAATGGGGACTTCTATGTTGGTGATTCATTTTGCAGCCTATCACGATTTGACGTTTATGTATATAAAAGGCAAAAGTTTTCGTAATAAACAAAAGCAAAACATCGAGATGATATGTATTCAGTATGGAATGAACTGAAATACTTGTTAATAGTATTGGCTTTTCCAAATGTAATGGATGGAATCTCTAAAAACAAGCATCTTGAGAAACCCAGATTAATCATTAGTAATAGAAATGTATGTTTTGGTTAAAAATTATTTTATGATTATTTGATTCGATTTGAAAATTCACTGATTATGTAATCTTTTAAAGTCTAGCATGATTTTGTGAATTAGCGTTTTAGAATCTGGTCAAAAACCCATCAAATAAAGCCAAAGATAATGCATGGATATACCAATTAAAGACCAAAGCTAAACAAACAGTGCAGCCAGAGATCATCGGATATTACTAACAATGGCTGCATTAGAAAATGTTATAAACAGGATAAATTTGTAGGATCTGACAGACCTTCAGATATAAAATTGCTATGCCTAAGCATTAAGCATCTTTTTAGAATTAAGTAAATATTTACAGACAGACGACTTTTAACATCTTATACCAAAAATAAGAAGCAGAAAATATGGATTAGGTTTTAAGGGCCCGTTCGCACTACAGCATCAAAACCTTACAAAGTTAATCCCTATTGTTTCATCTTCAAAGGCTGCATTAGATTTTCTGGAAACTATATAATAGCTACATTGCGAACGGTAAAATATGTTTTTCACCAGACAACCCGATTTTCATAAATCCCTCAAAGGTTCCGTCGTAGAGCCACGAAGCCCCGAAGCAGGCACGTAAATAATAAGGGGGCGTGGGGGGCGTAACGCCCCCCAAAGTTTGGAAAATCCAATTACAATTGGAAAACTTAACGGTTGACTTGGAATTTTATTCTTAAGTCCAAACTTATGAATTTATATTTTAAGAAGTTTTTTTATTTCAAATGTAAAAATTCTAAACATCAAAATTCACAGGCTGAATCTGACTCATCCATTAATCGTTTTCTATTGTGAATCCCGTCTCCACTGGATCCAAATTGCACAATTGCCCCGTTTGCTTTCTTTCTGATGGGAGTTGAATCAAATTACGAACAGGCAAGGTGAATTTCCGGATAAGAAACTTGAAACTTTACAGTTTGGAATAATAATACCCGCATTGATCAGAAAATATTAGAGTGGGAGTTTTTTAAGAAACTACGAGTAGTTAATTCGATAAAAGATTAAGAAACTTTCAGTACTAAAAATTCTTAACGCTTCTTATAAAAAAGGAGTTTATGCTAAACTCCCCCTGTTATTTGTTAACGTCCTTGACTCATTATCATAAATTCCTATGACAAAACTGCTGTGAAGCAAGAACACATTGCAAAATTGCAGTAGAAGTATTTGATCAAAGAAGAGTGTTTCATCTTTCGAATCAGGCATATGCACAAGTTTGCTCTCAAATCATCATTTCAATTGTAAAGAACGAAAAGGCATTTGGTCCTCTGAAAAGTGTTAGTAGTTTTCTTCGATCAAGAACAAAAATAAAAGGCTCGAATTCTGGGTGCTTCTATATCGTGAAAAAAATGTATTTTAGATACATAGACCTGCATCAATTGATCAATTGATCAATTTAGATAAAATTGATCAATTGATCTGAAAGAATACTACTAATCATTAAGTATATCTAATACTGGTTTTGCTTGAATGTTGCTTTACTTCTTACAGCAAGTTTAAATTTTTGTTTCATGGTAATCAAAATTTAGAGATTTAGGCTTTTATGCTTTAGGCTATTTGTTGAGTAAGGTTTTGGTAATTATAAAGAAAATAGAACTATGGTGTTCGGGCTATTTACAAATATCAATTTGGTGGGTACAGTAGTTTTACTGGTCGCATCAAAAATTTCTCACTTAAAGTTGGAATTTTCATCCTTCCACGCCCCTCCAAAATTAGCAACTTATTTTCGTCCCTGCCCCGAAGCAGCACTTTTTTTATGAAAATCAAGGATTACCCAGCATGAAACGGGAAATAGATGCCATCATGTCTGTCGGACTCACTGACCTCTACAAAAGACTGGATCGAGCCTCTTATTGTTTGACCCACATGAGAACCGAGGCTCGCTAAATTTGATTAGGCTTCAGAACCGTGAGACCAACCGTTCACCGCGAAACACCGAAAGGAACCGACATGGGAGCTAAACGGGGTACACAATGTCAAAAACTTCTTTTTACAAACTACCTATCTCCATCACAGAATAGAAATGACATTTTTATTTTATGCTTCTATCTCCAATTGACCAATTTTTCAGTAAAGCTGAATATACAGCGCATCGGACACAGCGTACAGCCTGTTTTTCAACCTAATTTTACATCCAATAACTAAACTTGGAAAATTGAACTTCTGCCGTTATTGGTAATCTTATGTAGGCCCACACTGTACGATGGGTCCCACGCGGACAAGCAACATTGACCTCAGTCTGAAATGGCAGAAGCTCGGTCCAGTCTTTTATAGAGATCAATGGTCGGACATGCGATTCTGTGCTTGTGTACTCAACATTCAAGAAAAGATGAAACAAAACAATCGCCTGTTCTTCTAGAATAAAACTGATAATTTTGGCACAATGTTTGGAATGGTCCAAAATGTGTTCCGTTCAATCCTCAGCTTTTAGACAGGGAAATTATTACAACAATCTAACCAAGTGCCTAACCTTAAATCTCTCAAGTAATTTAGCATATAAAGGGTACTTTTAGACTTTGAAACATTTTTGTAACTTCACAGGGGGCTAGTTAATGATGACGTCATCAGTGTGGTTGTTTAACGATATTTTTAGGTGAAAAATCAATCACAAAACCAAACAGCCTAAAACTTTAGCTATTTAGAACATACGAAGTACATTGAGCTTTTCAATTTTTTTTACCAGTGTAGGGGGGTCGTAAATAATGTCATTAGTATTTTAGTCTTTCGATATTTTCAGGCAAACATTCATCACAAACAAAAATGTGGCGTTTATTTTCGTCATATATGTTGACTGAATTTTATTAACTTCATTAATGTGTATTTTTGCTGGAAAAAACGAGGTTTTGATGATTGACGACGTCATTTCCAGGGGGTAATAATGCAATTTTCTGAATTCTAATCGTCCATCTACTTACATATTTCGCATAGAACTGTGATGTTCTCGCGTAATGAGCATGTTTTGAAGATTAAAAGGGTCAAGTTAAGAAGATAACACTTGTTCAAATGCCTTATCTTTCAACGGTACGATAAGGCATAGATTCGTCAGACGAGCCATCCGATGACGTAAAATCAGAAACCTCCCAACCACTCTAGTTATCGTTAGCGTCGGAGTCATCAGGTGAAAGACATCATTTTTCAAGACATCATCGATTTCGTTCAGACCATTCTTATTGTCAGCATTGTACCCAGTCTCATCTTCAAGTCTTTCCATTCCTCGATTTCTAGCAGATTCCTTTATTACGAAACTCTTTCCTTGTCCCTAGTCAAGGTCACTCATGTCGGCATCTTAACTGTCATTTACAAAATTGGTTGCTCTTCGTTATCTTCTACTTATGCTAAAGGTAACTGTGATCCGGTGGCCCAAATTGGTAAAAATTTATACTCTTGCTCATACTTCCAATCATGTTCTTCAAGTTGTTCTTCCAACCATGTAAGTCTAAAAGTACACTTTATGTGCTAAATAATCAAAATTACTTGAGAGATTTAAGGTTAGGCACTTGGTGAAATTTGTGTAATAATTTCCCTGTCTAACTCTTGAACTCTAAAACAGATATTCGTTCATCGTATAAAATGTGCTCTAAAAAAGGGATGCTTCGGTTTAAGGGAAGCTCTAAAAGACTTCGGATCTGCTTGGTTTTGTAGTTTTGCGTCTTCGATAAGCTAGTGTGTTTTGTAACTGCTTGTACGATGTTTAAGCAAAAATAAGATTGCTTTGTTGCTGATTTATACATGAAACTGCATTTGAGACAGAAGCAAGTGGAGCAAGTGGAGCAAGTGCAAGCCTAAATGTAAAGAGTTTGAATTTTCATTCATTCCATCCCAACATTAATGAGCAATCAGAGTCACAACAGAATAGAAATGTAAAAGCTCGTAGACCCTAAATTACATCTGAAGTGACGGCCAGTTCAAACGATATTTTTTCCCGCCAACTAAGGAAATATCAACAAACAACTTATCAGAATAAATTACCATTTATCAAATCATTTTATTTTTTGTGTCAATGTTAAGAATGCTTCACAAAATCGGATTTTTTACAGTAAATAACTTTCAAAGAGTTTTTATAGCTAAAATGATATGTTCCTAACTCATAAAGATTCTCATCACATTCGGTGTCCCGGTACACTTAATAGTTCTTTGTAGATTTTTAATTTAATGTAGGCTAAACTCGTCGTGGTGCACCATACCAGCAGCACCTTTGTAAATGCAATACATCGCTTTTTGCTAAAAATTTAGTTTCACGAGAAAAATTCGTGGCTTGCCTATCATTTAACATGCTAAAATGGTCCTCTGCTTCCAAAACAATTTTACACTGGTAAACCCATAAACAAACAGCTGCAGTTTTCTTAACACTACATCTAGTTGCCCTTGTCACCTACTGCATGAGTTTATTTAATAAATGGGTTAACTTCATGGCCACAGGTTACATATTCTGTTGCCACATAGTCAATTTGAATATATTTAACGATATTCAAGCATAACAACTGAGGATTATTCCAGTTATTCAGCATTTCAAACTTTAATCACTTATGGATCGAAACGATTCGGCAGGAGCAGCATAAATCACCTAGTTGTAATTGCTTTTAACTAAATTTGTGTAGGTTAAGAATTTAAGATGCTCAAATTTCAAATAAATTTAGACAAAATTTTATCCCAGTTTTCTGTGGCCGATATACATCGACTTTACCTTCCACAAGGGTTTATCAGCATTTATATCAAATGATCAATCACTCTGATAAATCTCGAAATTTCGGACCAAAGAGTTACAATTATGACGAATGATGAAAAATCCTCCATGCCAAAATGAAAAAAATGAATAAAAATGAAAAACTCTAAAATTCAATAGCTACGACGCAACGCCTATAAAATTATTGCTGCTATTTAAATTTTTACTCGTGGAAACAATGCACTAATTCAAATCAAAGTAAGGCCTCGTTTTAAAAATCCTTCAAATTCTTTTGCACAAAATTTTTGACCTCAGATTCGGATTTAGATCAAGGATTATAGTGTACTTGGAAGTTTTCATTATGGTGTTGCTCACGATATTGATTTCATGACAATATTAAGAAAAAAAGGGGGTAAAGTTTTCACCAGAATGATTTTTGCGGTCAAATCCCTTACACGTTTTCAAACTTCATTTCTCCGTAAAATCCAAAATACAATCACAAAAAATATGAAAAATTATGTCCAGTCTAAAATCATGGTGATAAAACCAAATTTAAGCTTAAAACAGTCGTATGATGAAGTTTGGAGAAATTCCAAAAATGAAGCCGTAAGATGAATTGGTGTATGGAGCTCTAACCGAAAAATAGCAATTAAATTATATTCAAAATCTAACCTCAATTTTAGCTCTTTCTTCCTGTAATCTTTGTTTTTCATTTGCTTCTTCTGCTGCTTTCTCTTTGGCAATCATCTTTAACTCGAATTTACTCTGCAAATCCTTCGGTGGTTTAACAGTGTACTTCCGAAGTTCCTTTTGAGATTCTGTTTCCAGTTTCTAGCAATGAAAGAACATCATTTATGGCTTAACTATTACTGCCTAAATATTACTGCTAATCATAAAATATTACTGGACTTTCTAGACACAGTAATATGAAACATTAAATACAAGTAAAACTATTAATAAGCTTTACAAGGGTAATTTAAAGAACAAATTTTTGAAGCCTCTGCTTGGCTTTCTTCCACGCCTTTCACAAGGGTATGTAGGTTTGACAAAATAAGAACAAATAGTATATATATGATTACTATAATCTGGTTTTTTCATACAATTTCTTATAAATTCAAGTATCTTTGTCAATGGTCATCTTCTGTTCAAACGTCATCCTCTATTTCATTACTGTTAAAGATTACAACGGCAGTTAACATCCTTCGATTTGGTCAGTTACAGATGAATTCCTGAAGCATATGGCGGCAGCAAGGGCCACTCAGGCCCATTTTAGTAACTTTTGAAAAAAAGAGCTCACTTTTCTGTGGCCTTTGGTGAATCAATGTGTGTACCCACTAGCACACTATTGTCTTGAAAGAAAATTGTTCTAGGCAGGCAATTGCAAAGAATTAGCAGCTTAAGGCCAATCTTCATTTCGGCTTCTAGTTCAACTTGAGCGGTATAGTTTAAGCGCACAGAACGCATAGAGAGTAGAATCAAAGCCTACTTCTTACGCAAACCAAATCATTTCTCTGCGACCAACGAGATCTGAAGAACGCATATACGTATGATTGATGGCACAGAGAGTGCGGCAAAAGCGACCAGGTGAATTTCGGCTTCGACCTTCAGCTGTGGATGATCAATTTGATTTTTGGCAGTATATGAAAATCTTTCTAAACAAATACTCAGCTCAAAAAAAGTGAGACATTATAAGTCTAGATTCCAAAACGCCACAAAAACCGGTAAAATTCAAATAAGAATCGTTATAGGGCTCACTTTGTCATGCTTTTCCACCATTGGACAAACTTCTCTTGTCTGGTCCATCAGTGTAGTCTCTCTGTTAGCATAGCCACTGACACAATACGCATCATACCCGTTACCAATCAGCAGTGAACACAGGAGTATGCTGTAATCAAAGCAGTTGCCTTTCTGCCTCTTTAGAACTGTTGTTGGCGAAGGGATAGCAGCAGGCTGTAGATAATCAGAAAAAAAATTAGTTCTAGTTTGCAAATTAAAAAACATGAATAAAAAACGGATTAGGGGGAAGGCAGGGGAAGACTCCAGGACAAAGGGCTAAAGAAAGCATTTTCTGTGCAATGCTCCAACGCAAGGTGCGACGATCCACTTAATTAGGAAAATATGTAATTAATTGACTTTTTTAAACAGGGTTGAATATGCAGTTTTAATGCTGGTTTCATAACCACCATGGAAAGGAGCAACAAACTTGGTATATCTATTCACCCAGATCTAAACGTATTACCCACTGTAAAAGGGGCTATGTAAGTGCGCTGTTACACTAAAACAAGAGGAAAAATAGATTATTGACTCAAAAACACTATGCAGTGATAGAATCGTTTTCAGGAAAAAAAAAATATTTTCCATAACCCCTGCTGCTTTTTATCACTAAAAACGATTTGCAATCTCTGTGATTCAGACTTCTCAAAGTCTTTTTAACTTCTTTTCCGTATGAAGATTCTTACGCACACTGGAGCAATTTAGTGATATTCGTTGGTTGTTTATGTAGAATACAGAGAAGAGATGCCCTAGAGAAGAGTCTTGTGGAACATATCAAGCAACGTCCTAACTATTTTCTAATTTAAAGAGAAAAAAGAGTGTTTATTCCTGATCTTTCATTCCATATGAATAAAGCTGTACAAGAAAAATCTCATTGTCTGCTATGGCAATATGGCTATGGCAATGGGCCTTCCTTCGATCTGCAAAGTTGACGTATCGATCTGTAAAGCTGGAAATGTTTTGATTTCATTCGTACAATTTTATAGGCTAGTTGGAACCAAGTGCAATAATCTAGAGACTGACTCATTCGATTAATATACTCGTTTTTTAAAGGAAACAGTATCTCCAGCCTAAAACAGCTTTCAAACACACGAGAAACAAAAAATACCAGGTTGGTCGACAATTTGACTGATAATTTACTCTTATGTGAATTTGACCAAAAAAATCCGTAATCCTCAAAAATTAATTTCTACAAACTTAATTTCCTTATGCTTTCACGGCATTGTTTTGTTCTTGAATTGTTATCATATATCAACTTGTGTATTCAATAATCTGTTTTATTGTGAATTAATTCTCAAGTATTGTCACTGTATTAAGTACTGTTTAATAAGATTGCTATGTAAAAATAGTTGGTCAGAAAATTTAGTTGAGCATTTTTTTTCTAAACGCCCTCTCCCACATTCACTGGTAGAGGCTCACTGAGAACAATCATTGAAGAGGCTCACTTAATTTACGATATAGGCAAATAAGGATACAAGAAAAAGTCAAATGATGATGCGGTATTTGCAGCAACAAATCAAGGCTTTGAAAAAAACAAGAAAAACTGAAAGTTTCCATCCACAGAAATAAAAAATCGTTTTGAAAACTCTAATGAGCCCTAGAAGTGGGAGTCATAAGGGGAAGCATTCTTGACATGAATTGGTAGCATAGGCGTACGGGACGGGGGGGCTTCAGCCCCCTTCATAGATTCGGGCAACTGTTTAATTTCGGGCAAATTCGGCAGGAACCTTCTCCAAAAACAAAATGTATAAGAAAATATGCATTTTGAACACGTTTAAATATCTCTGAGTTTAAAAAAAACAACTGGTCGTAATCGTGAGCACTTTCGGAAGTAATGGAATATGGTAAAAGTAAGTTGGGAGTAAAAATACAAAAAAGCAACAAGAACAGCAACAGCCCAATCAGTGTTTGAAAAGTTGTCAAAGAAGTAAAGAAAGCGGCTGAAATATCTGACTCTCGTCAGCACGAATAAATGTCAGTCTGTGTCACTTTTGCACTGAATGGTGTCTCAATGACTCTTGCAGCGAATGTTTGGATACTTTGTGTCTTATTTGTCACATTCTTACTGGCAGTGTCATATACAATATAACTATAGCTTACACGTGACATAACGGGGGCGGACACAAGGTTTTTAAGAACTTCTTTAGTCATTGAACCCCTTAATTTCGATATGTGGATGAGTTTGCCGGTACTTGATCTCATCAAGACAGTAACAAGTTTGTTCCAGGTAAGATTTTGGACAAATTTAATTCTTAAGTTCTCAAATTCAGGATGGCTTTTATCGCCTTGGATCAGTATGACTTTGCTTTCAAAAGAGACTTTTACTGGTTGCTGTTTAGGTACCATAGATGATATACTGAATTTTATCAGGAATTGGCTTTTAGAATATTTTTTGTGAGCCAGTCTAAAATTATTTGACATTTTTTCGCTAGTTCTGAAGCAGCAGTATCCGACCATTTCACAGTGTAGCTAGTAAATAGGTAAAGATCATCTACATATCCGTAGATACCGGTCTCCATTGCCACAGGAAATGTATTTTCTGCCAAAACTGCAAGTATTTTATTTGTATACACAACGAATAGCAAAGGAGCAAGTGCGGTTCCTTGACTTACACCACACTGTAGCCTTTAGTTGTCCAATAAGGTGTTATTAATTTTTACATACTGAGAGCAGTTTGTAAGATAGGAGCAAATCCATAACACCGAATGACAGTCAAAGTCGTACTTTAGCATTGTAACGAGTAGCATGATCGTATCAAAAGCCCTACTAAGGTCCATCATTGTTGACAATTCCTTTGCTCATGTTCATTAAAATTTGATCAGAAATACATGTTAACACTGTCTCTGTTTAATGATGCTTTCTGAAACCAGAGTACTGGAAAAAATTTTGAAGTGCGAGCTCACACGGGTCCACAGGCGAAAGGATCAGCTCTCTGAAAGCATAGCGATGAACCTCTTGCAAAAACTAAAAAAAAGAGTTTTCATACGAACTTTGCTGAATGTTGTTCTAAAAGTCATTGTTTTAGCTCTGCAGAAAGCTTCATTGGGGAAAATTTTGTCAAACTACATGAAAATGGTAGCTACTCAAATCTGCCGTTTAAAAACAGTTTCTGGTCATAGTCGGGAATTAAAGGGAACAGGTATCAACAAAAAAGGTTTACTCTCATATAACTCAAGTTTACAGTTAGTTCGATCATTGGATGTTTCTTATAGACTCCCTTGTCGCTTGTCAAATCAATTACAAATGAACTTGGGACTTCATAAACCTCAAGCAAAATGAGTTAGTAGTGTTTGTTTGCCAATCGAAATAGTTATCTGAATTATAAAATTTAAGAATGAAAAATAGCAAGAAAAATAGCCAAGAAAAGGCTGGGCCTAGCTCGCGGCACAATATACAAGTTGCAAACGTTTTTCTTGCGATGCGAAGGGTTCGTAAATCTTCTTATTGAAAAAACACGGTAAAACATGGTAAAGCTGGGAAATTGTGTTTACGGTCATGGCTTGCTCAAATGAGCATCTTAAAGACCAGCTCAATGAATATTTCATAGGCTGTTTTAAGTATGCACTATTTCAAGGGAATTATCTATGAAAACCTGTTCCCTAGTTCCGAACAAATGCTGTGGACACATAACATCGCCAGCTTTCAAACAGATTAACACACCAGCAACACCATTAGTTCTCGAGCAAAACAATCAGATGCCGTTTGTAGAAAAAACTAAGGAATACATTCCTAGATGTGCGTTTTACTTCAAGGAAGTGAACCAATTTTGAGACAATGCAAAATTCCATTACTGGGGGGGGGGGTAAACATGTCCCTTGAAAAAAGATTTGATGACTGTTTCCTAGCTCTGAAAATATGGTTTGTAAACAAAACTCTTTAATAATATCCCTACAAGATTCTTCAATAATATCCCTACAAGACTCTTAGCTCTGAAAATGAAGAAATGACGTTTTTAAACAAAATTGCTTCAAGAATATTCCCAGAAGACCACTGCAGGTGTGACACACGTCCTTATCCAACCAGCATATTGGCCCTTGATTTGAACTTTAATTGCATCAATGAAGGGTGATACAAAGTATCCCTGAGCAGATCAATGAAGGGTGATGAAAAAGCATTGAGCCTAGAACAGTAAAGCTCAAAGGTCTGAAGATCAGTACAGTTTAAAATATAGAATAAATAACTAATACGCAAGGACATAAACAAAGCAATGATGTGCTTACAGACAGGAAAAAAATTTAAGCTTACTAAGAACCCATCTTTGCTCAAACAGTTGATCAACTCAGTGATTCCTAGCTTCACCACTGCCTACTTAAATCTTTAGATGCAGTTAGACATTACCATTTTATGGTACTTATAAGTAAGAGATACATTTTTAAGAAATCAAATCAAAAACAGCAGAGATACATTTAAAATTTATATGAGTGAATGAACAAAAAGGAGAGATTTGATTAAAGTGGGGGTCATCACATTTTACCAAAAAATGGAATTTTAAGAAATATTTTGCCAAGGGTTACGAAAATCTGGCAATTTATTGACAGAACTATGGAATTCTACACACTTGCCAGATGAAAAAATTCTTGAAAATGATACACAGAATAGATGGAATGCTTCAACTGTTGCCTTGTAAAAAGGGACTTGGTTTATCTTAGCTATTCTGGTAAGCAGCATCTATCAACAACTTTGTGACATCTAATATTGGTCAAAAATTACCAAATGTTAAAGCAAATTAGAATACAAAATTTTTAAATAAAACCAAACCATTGGTCAAGCAAGGTCCTAGCAGAATTCATTAATGGCATATTCCTCTCCTTTTGTACTAAGACAATTTTTTTAAATTAAATTTGAAAGTGTTGATATCATTTTTGGATATCAAATCAGATGATAGGCTGCTCTAGGTATGTAAGGCATTTTGTAAACAAGATAGGGTATTTCTTTTAATATAAATTTAGATTTTCCCATTTTTAACTCTTGTCATCAGAATGGAGTATTTTATCATCCAAAGCAGAAGTATTTTCTTGGGAAATTCCAATCATTTTCACATTGGATACATTGTTGAATTATTTTTTTATAAATAGCTTGTCTAAAGCTTTGAATTTGGTTGCTCATTTATTACATCAGCATGCCAGGCTGCATTAACACAACAGATATGATAAATGGAGCTTTGGAAGCAAACAACAAATAATAGTTCAAAGTACTCACCAAATCAATTGGAGGGTCTAGAGGCTCAAAATTAAGATAGTCTGCTACAAATTCAGCACAACCATGGTAGTCATAGATCTCTTTGAAACGTAACTCTGTTGGTCGAATTGTGGTACAAACGAATTTCTAAAAATTGATAAAAAATTAACAATGCAATATCAGATTTAATTTCACAAGATAAAGTAACATGTCATTAGCAACCACTTGCACAAAAAATTGTTTGTCAGTGAGAAAAAAGTGAAAGGTAAGCAGAATCTAATTTAGCTTCACAAAACCTTTCATTTTTTTAAACTATGTTTATTTTTGTTCATAAAACTTGTGAGATCATCCTTTCGCCTGTCTACAAAACTAGTGATATCATAGGGATTTTATAAGGAAACAAGTCTTAACTCTATATGAATTACACAATATTTATTGTAAATGGGTCCATGCAATTGCAAGTGACCCGCTCTTCTACAATAATCAATTTAGAAGTAACAAACAGCTCTAAAGATTAGAAATTTGAAAAATTACTTATCTTATCAATTGAAAGCGTGTTTTCAATTGTCTTCCTAATAAGACATAGTGCATCTATAAAAACTTACCTCCACAGAACATTCATTTGGTCTTGACAGTAGAACAGGTCTTCTATCTCTATATAAATGCACAAACTGCCTATGAAAGTTCTGACAGTATGAAAGAATTGTCTCTTCTTTGGTTGTATTGCTTGAATATGACTTTTTTGCTTCAATTTTTACATCTGATCTAAAGAAATAAGCAAATAGAAATAATTAAACATGGTTTTTGTTTGACCCAATCAATGTACAATCACTGCCAAAATCACTTGGAACACCTAACACTTTGCGCTGTGCTTTTCTATTTTTCATTTGTTTCCTTTCCCCCCAAAACAATGTAAGTGTTCCAAGACTTTTGGCAGTGATTGTTTAATACTTCATTGTTTAATACTTCAACGATTGCTTAATAACTTTTACCGGTAAGAAATCAAGCAAAAAATGTACTATCAAATATTTTTTTTAAGAACAAAATTATACTATTAAAATGTGCTCTAAAAAATGCAATTTCCAGCAAACTTCAAGCATTAAGATTATAAAAAAATTTGCCCTTTGGCAGCAGCCTCAGGTAGTAACTCTTTTTTACATTTGTCCTAATCTACCGACCTTAAAGTGAATTTTAAAAATCTAAGGCAAAAGATTATGTGTATTTCTCTCCTCTCCCCCCTTACACATACATTAAATGCTACTATTTGATTAAAATTAATCCGATAAATCTGTGTTTTGGGTTTTTTTCATAATTCGATTGTTTCTTAAGTTTTTCCTTCCAGTACTCAAGTTTTATTTTTATCTAGATTTCAGATTGTCCAGTAGTCGCTTCTTCTAACGAGTTTCTTAAAAGAAAATATTTAAATGAGTATATGATGACTGTGGTTAAACGTTACACATACATACATACAAGAGACCTATCAAAACGAGTCAGGCTTAAAAAGTTAGGAAAATGGGAAGGAAAACACTTACCTGAAATTAACAGCAGGTGCGTTAACGGTAATTTTTTCCAGCTCACTTTTCAAAGACTCCATTGCAAAGCCTTAACGTTCTTCAAAATGCTTTCCCTCTGTCCGCAGCTAAAACTTTTATATTTTCAAAATGGCCTCTGTTGCGATGGAAACGCTTCTACTGGCAATCTCTTTTTGAGGATGAGGCTTTCTCTTAAATAAGGAGTCAGAGAGCTCCAAACCAGAAAAGATTAGTAGCTGAGATCGCCCCCGCCTCCTCCGCCCCGAGAGCCTTATTAAATACATTGAGCTAAAAAGTATCAATCGACTTTATAACTTCCTCTTCTATAACTTTAGAACGTTGAATCCGATGCTACGTAAACCAATGACCCAGCAAAATTGTCATCAATGTTCAGTGAAATATTCAAGAAGTGTCGAGCCTACATTATTTCAAAGAGTGAAGCAGAGGCAGATCCAGAGTGAGTTCCTTGGTGCACAGAACCCAGTCAGTTTTCCAACATATAGCTAAAAATAGTGTTGCCTGAAATAAGTAATAGTTAAACTACAAAATTGAAACCTAGAAATTATAAGTTTTATCGCAGTCTCTTCAACATCTTAAAATTGCCAGTTTGATGTAATTCTTTCGCCCTTTTCCTTCCTTCTTCTCTGTCGTAATTTTGAAACGATTTCCAGCCTTTTTGGAGGACAACAGCAGTCAATCCTAGAAGTAGAACTCGGAAACAAACGTTTTGTGCCTCGGAAGTGAATGAATTGAAACAATGACATTTTTGTTTGGAACACGGATGGAACTCAGTCAAAACAGCATCTTGAACTCGGAAATGATACCATGTATTCGTAAGAGAGCTGTACAATAGCCAGTAGTTGATTGGCTATCTATTGATTCGGATCTGTTGTGGAACCGCATAACTTTGAATTCGAAATGGCGACTGCAGATGTCTTATTTTCACGATCCTCACATCATTCTAGCCGATTATTAAGTGTTTGAGATAAAACCAGGAAGTATCGTAAATTTTCCAGGAGCATTAACTACCTTTATTTTAAATTGCAGTCGTTGATGGCAAGAGAGACCTATAGTCAAAAGACACCATATTTTGAAAAATAGGCTGGTGTCTACGGGGGCAAAACAACAAATTGCGAGCAAAACAAAAAGGAAAACTACGCTGTGGCATCCAAGACAAACAAGGGGGTATTTAGAAAGGGCGGGGGTTGCAGAAATTTTCACAGAGGCACTGTTTTCTATCGGGAAAAAAATATAATCTAGATTTAGTGAGTGGATAGTACCTACCTCCCTCCCTGGTACCAAAATCATAAATATGAATAATAATGTTGTCTTGGGCACAATTATCAATGCATTATCTGAAAGACTCTTGCCTTGGCCTGGAACTTAATCAGATTTTTTGCTGGATCCGCCCCCTGGTTGAGGTATAGAAAAATAAAAACTCTGTTCCCATTTGTGTTGTGTTTAGTACACTGTTATAACACTGTTATTTACTCCTTGTGTGATTATTCCAGCTTGAAACAACCAACCATTTTTTTAATTTACAAACTCGGTGGGATTTCCCCTCCAGGTCAAGAGACCTTCCATTGTTTGAAACAATTGGCTATTGTCCTTAAGCTGATTTCCCTTCGAAATAGCTAGGTGAAACACCAAAACAAGACAATGGGATTGCAAAATTCAATTATTTTGAATTCTAACTATTGCAATTTGGGAACCAATTGGAAGAATTGAAATACAATGAAAAATTTTCCAAAACAGGTTCCTTATGACTGTAGAAAGTTCTAATAAGTTGATTTGCTTAGCATCATTAATATTTTAAAACCTATTAATGCCGATAAGAATAAAACTACACTTACGTTAAAAAAGGTATTGGGGCATTGATGTCGTAGGTTTTTCAAAGTTTTTTGCGGAAAACCTTTTTTACATAAAAGCTGAACGACTTGATACATGGACAATTGCTGCAATTTCTTGATAAATTTGTCCTTACTTTTGGAAAAAGAATTTTTGAAAGCGTCTTCCTGACAAGAACTATTTCAATTTTTGAAAACCTACAAAACTACTAGGTAGATTTTTCGAATATATTTTCGTGCCTGACAGTCTTCGAAGCATAAGCAATATTTGTTAACGTTTTCCTATTTTTCCCTTTTTTATTAAAAGACTCTAAAGTTTATCCAGCCTCAAAATTCTAAAGAAATTTTCGCTTGGGCCAGAATATATTCTTAAAGTATCCATATTTTCTCAAATCTGTTTTGGTTTAGGGGAACATCGCCCTTGAAGTAGACACCACCCTATTTGATAAAATGGGATATGTCAGTTCTGCGATTCCTGGTTAAGAACTTAGCAAAACAGGCAACTGCTGGAAAACGAAGCACAGTTATGTGAGCTGAAGCTAATCAATAGTCTTGAAATATTTGTAAAAATTGGTTGATTCTGAACCTGAATATCCTTTTTTAACACTATTCTTATAAACAATTGTATTGAATTGATAAGGGCTTATCAACCTACTTAAAAAAGGGACCCAAATACCATAATAAGTTGTGTTGTATCTATATCAATATGAGACGGGTTTTTTAACGTGTATTTGTACACAAAATGTGCAGTTCTAAAAAGGTTCTGGTGCACTTGTAAACAAAAATCTGTGCAGTTCTAAAATTCTTACTTTGATGTAAAAAAAAGTCAAGAAAAATGCTGCAAAAAGATACACGGCAGAAGTAAACAAACAAACAAAAGTTTAATTAATGAAACAAACAAAAGTTAACAAAGATGGTGCTCAAATTAAACAAATACTTTTTGGAAAAATTAAAGTTGTAGAAAGACATTCAGTGAATTATAAGGAGATCAAGTGTTTACGAAACTTCGCGAAAGTTTTCGTTTTTGAGTCATGCATTCACAAAGCTCGAGAGTAATAATAACAAGACAAGAACCTGTTTAACCTCTTGAATCAAAGAATATTAAAAATCTATAGTCAAAGATAAATCATATCAGAAGTTTCGAATTTAAAATTTTACAGCTGTATTTTCAAACGACACAGACAGTCAACTAAATTCTCAAGTTGTTAAGCAATTTCTACTTATGCATACGTTTGGGAAGAAACAGCTTCCTGCTTTATCATCAAAAATTCATTCGTTTGATGAGCATAACTCGAATAGATAAAGACGATATTTAAGTTTTGCAAACAAGGTTTTTCTATGAATACAATTTTGTTTCTTAAGATTCTCCACAACTGAGTTTGGCTTCTTGAGATTCTTTATAACCATAAACTCACCATTGTTCTTGTACGTTCAAAAAATCATTTTTCGTACTTCTTTGGGCTTAATTTAGAAAATTTCTGGTATGAAAGTTTATTTTTGCAATTTAATGTTAAGATTTATTTTTGACGATGAAAATCGTCTTATTTAGGCCATTGAAGATAGCCTAAATCTTGGTGGATTGAATATTGGTGCATTAAATAATTGTGAAGTAGACTGAAGTAATTATGAAATGAATTCGTCTGATGCACATAACTGTGTCAGTAGACTTGAGATTTGAGCATTTTATCCTTGATTCCCTGAACCACGCATTTTGAACATATAGGAAACCTTACTCTGATTTTGTTAGCTTTTGATGCAATGGGCATTTCAAAAAATAATAGATATGCTAACAAAACAGGTCAATAAACATGCAGTCAAACGTCATATATTAAGTTCAATATTGTTCTGTTTGCATTCGCAATCATGCTTTAAGTGGAAAACATCAGTGAAAAATTTGCTTTCAACATTGCACACACCATGCTGCTATTGTCTGAAAGATAATGACGTTGTTGTTTTGTTCTCTCGAAACCAAGGCCAATGAGTGACGTGCGAAACAGCTGTCGGTTGCACAGATAATGAATTTTGTACGCTATTTCGTTTTACAGGTTATCCTAGGAGACCATTCGTTAGGTAGAAATAAAATGAGCACATGAAGAACTAAACATGATTTACAAATAAAATACAATCAACTTGAGAACTGCATTCTAACTGGAAGCGAGCAAGGGATACGGAATAATTGGTAAGGCCCAAGATGCATCGACTATGTTTCAAATTTTTCATAATCGCATTTTAAAGCAACTCACGCTCTTCATACGCAAAATTTTAGGCAATGGGATTTTATTGGCTTACGATAATAAGATTTTCATCGAAACTTATCTATAGGACTATCTTTTGCTTCATTGCCACACTCGTAGTCTTAACATGTTCCCCTAAACATGCTGCCTCAAAAATCTAAACAACTTTTGCGAATCCCCAGGTCAGCGACACAAGCAAAACAATCAATTATCAAACTGAGCGATTGTTGTGGAAGGATCATTTATGAATCTACATAGTGCTTGGCCCGTTTCTGCATCCTGTGAGAAGACACGTACTTCTGGCAAATTTATTCGCATTGAAAATCTGAGTGTATTTGGAGAATAACCTCTTTGCAAAGTGAGCAAAGAAAGAAGTAACCCTCTTCCTTACAACCTTCGGGGCGTAAACATCATGGACTTCACAGTATCTGGACAAGGGAGGGAAAGAAACCACCTTGTAGAAGAGATGCGCCACGTCCAGGAACTTCGTCTTGAGGCAAATTTGAGACGGATGAAGCTGTCAGATGCAGCAACCGAACTGATGAAATACTGCGAGGCACACAAATCTGAGGATTTTCTTCTTCCAACCGGAAGATCAAGGAAGAACCCTTATGAAGAGAAGAAGAAGTGTAACATTATATAGAATTCTTAAATGCTGAACGTTCTTCTGTTTTTACCTAGGGGATAATGGGCTTTGATAACTTTAGTATGATCTGCATTTCAAAACATCTTTAAGGGAATGTTATTGTTATTCGCATTGATATATCTTTAAAACCAATTCAAGATTGAGTTAGATTTTTACGTTACTGTTCGTAATGTAGTACTTTGCTTCCATAGAAAATCTTAGAAAAATTTCATGCTGGCCATGATCAAGACAAAAGGAGGAGAAGAAACGCTGTAACAATCTCAATGCTGTTTCTATACAACTGTCCTATCAAGTTTTCGTGATGTTGTGATTTCGGTCGCTTGGCATATCAATAGGCTTTTACAGCGTAAGAGGATTTCGCCACCTTTCCGTAAAGAATGTTGTGGCAGCAGGAATACATCGTACCGGGGGTTATGAGCTGTAAAATTACTGAAGATAAGCTTAAATTTTTTTAATTTGTCGCATGGGCAATGTAAATAAATAAAACTACAGTGTGGATAGCTGCTGAATTTTTCATTTACACCGACTAAAGAAAATATCTTTACATATCAAATAATTAATCAATGGATATATCGAAGAGCAAAAATTCTTCTAATTAAACTTGAGAAATTATCGTACGCATTTTGTACCTTTTGGATGAGTCTAGGCCCTGCTTATGCCTTTAATACCTGAGTTGTGTACATGTTTTTCTCATATCTTGGTGGAAAATGAAGAAATCGGAACTTGTTTTCTTCATTATGCATTAGAAGCACACGATGCCAGAGAAGACTCAATTATAAAGTCTACATTCCGTGCCCGTTTATGGAACTATGCTATAATTAGTTGATCGAACCGTTCATTTGGAAGAAACCAAAACAAATGAAGAGTTTTCGTCTCGTAACAAAAGAAGTCTGTTACCAGCTATTGATCAGTTATATTAATTTATCACGCTTCTCTAATTTTGAGGGATGCCTTTAATGGATGTACGACAGATCATATGGTTTCTTACCGCGAGAATATCAGATATTTCTAGTTCTTACGTCCAGAAAAAAATTAGGTTGTTTTGATTGAAAATGACTCTAGTACAAGTCGTATAGGCATTAATTTAAAGTTTTCAGGTATAAATCGTGACAAAAACGCTCCTTTGTTCCCCAAAAAGTTTTGATTCACGATAACTGGTACACAGCTGAACATCCTTACAAATACTTAAAAGTACACAGTTTGTTGATTTTAAAGAGAAGAGAATAGTCTTTCAGTGTCTAGCTTATTTCAAAATTTAATAATTGTTCTTCACTATGGCATTTCGCAGCTATGAAGGCGCTGTTAGAGAACAAAAGCATACCAAAAAAGTCTTTAGAATTTTTCTCAATATCAGCTGCACACCCGTATGAAGAACTATATGCAAGTTTCCCACTCTCTCTCCTATTCTACCAAACGGTGAAGCAGGTTGGCATTTTCTTTACGAAAAATAAATATCTTCATCTTAATCAGAGGAGCTCTCGGTGTAATCCACATGATTTGCTTCATCATAGACACAAATTTTGAACTAATGGCTTGTGGAATGGTCTACCATGTGAAATGGAGTCTGCTCAAGACATACACCGTTCCAGAGGCAAGTAAAGTTATGAGGTGAGGTGAAATCAAACTGCAATACGAAGGAAATTATCTATACCATGTGCCTGAACCAATTTGCATTGGAATCCTGTTGCCCTCTAATGTACCCAAAGTTTTCAGTCGGTGTAAATTTCAGTCGAAAGAGCTTTTTGAGACATGATAAAATATGTTTTATGGCCATTTGATTGATAACAATATGGTTATAAACATTTTATGCAGAAACTATATTGAAAATGGCCCAATTGGTCAAATGATAACAAACTTTTGTCTCGAAAGCTTGGCCTAACAGAAGGTGTTGCTAAAACATATTTTGTCTGTTTATTAGAATATTAAAGGAAACGCCCTGTAGTTAGGTGTTGCTTTAACGACTATGTTTTGATAGTGTTTTGGTACTAATTATGCTCATGGCATTGCTTAAAATGTTTATTCTCTTGGTTTCTTTGAAGAAACAACTGAGAAGTAAGCTTTCCTCAAGGCAGGACAGACCTGATTTTCCCATACGGGTTATTCACAAGTGGCCTTAAAGTTAAAGATGCAGGTGAATTTTCAATAACGATATCAACAAAGATTCGTAGAAGTTTCTAGGGTTAACTCGCTTCAGTTCTACTTAAACGCGCATTTATCTTTGTAATAGTGGCTCGTTTATGATTGATAAACCATCATATTCAAAACCTTAGAGATTTAGAAAGATAAATAATTTTAAGGATCATTAGAAGAGATGACAGCTGCCCGTGTGACATTTTTTCTTTTACTTGAAATTAAACGATGTGGCGGCATTGTTAACTTTATTTTCTACTTCAGTTAATCTAGATAATATTTTATTATTTGTTTACAATTTTTGATACCTTAAATTCCACCGCTTTCACTGGTCCTATAAATTTTCATGATCTTTCCTTCAGATTTACCTGGATGTGGTTAGACTGTTTATACTGCACCAGGTAGAGATAGTATTTATGCCAACTTGCAGTGCACACTTTCTCTTATAAGTTACCTACACATTACTCTTGGCGACATCTCTTTGCCTTTTGGAAAGTCATTTACAAGAATTGCGAATAGCTTACGTCCTAATAGTGAGCCTTGTGATACCACAATTTCACAGCTTTTGTCGGAGACAATTTTTATTTTTCGACCCTTAGAAATAAGTTTTCTTAATGACCTGATTACGATTATTTTCATTTCGTTCTGTGTCTTCTTTACTGAAACGTAATTCTGATCACCTAAGATAAATATATACAGCCCCTGCAAGAAAACTTGGCACACTAAGCAAAAAGTAAAAATGCAAATAGCAGTTCCACATCCCCTTCTCCCCTTTGAGGAAGTTTGGTGTGCTCTATTTGATTCCTTTCAGGTAGTAATAAAACTTGACTTCACAAACTAACAAAGTTTTGATCGACTTCTCTGGAAGCACTTCTTTGAAAAGAACGTGAGCGGGGTTTTCTGACAACCTCGTTTTGGCACGACTGCTAAGGCAAATTTAATTTATGTAATCTCAAGGATCTGTATAAGTTCTGGGACATTTGATTAATAAATACTCGAAAAAACCTCAATGTCAGTACGATTTTTCCATCCCCCGTATTAATAAACATGATTCATTTTGAAAAACAAATTCATTATTCACAGCAGCTGATTTCATGGATCTTTATTGTTGAAAGCAAGGGCGAAGAGAGCAACCATTAACGAAGCCTAAATTCGAACGAATATTTTCAAATTGTTCAGTTAATTTTGTCTTATATCAGCCTAATCTGAGTATTAAATAGCACAATTTTATTCGACTCACTTTTCCTCTTAACAGATGTCATTTTCTGTCCAATTGATCATTTTGATATGAAGAAAATACTTAAATCATTGAATGGTTTTAAAATCTGGTAGAGCGAAATGACTAATTAAACAATTAGTTAATTTTTTTACATTAAAATTGTGCAGAAACCTGCGAGGCCAGCCTTGTGACATTCGTTTGCCTATAAATGAAGCAATTAAAGAAAAACGTGTGCAGGCAAGAAACTGTTCTAGAATCAAATTTAATAACGTTGCTGCTTAGTCAAAATAACTCCTAACACCAGTAAATAATGGAAGCTTAAAAGCAGTTTTATTCTGGCGATCAAATTCGGAGTAAATTTTGTGTCTCAAAACTTTACCTTTGTTAAAACAGGAATATTTATTAAAACTCCTTCTCTACCTATCTTGTTACTGCAGCATTCAATTTTGCTAACTTGTTTTCTGCTCGAAGTGAAACATTATCACATTGGACTGCAGAACACAAGATTTAACTTTACTTGTTCTAATCGCTAGTTACCAGGAATATAGTTTCAGTTTCGAATATTTACACGGGTAATTACACAGTAGAAATTATTCTGGAATTGATTTATGGGATCTCAGACAACTTCAGCATAAACTCGATCACCTCATTGTCTTGGGAAATATCACTTTGATTGGCAGGGTATTTTTTAACTCAACCTCATATTGAAGTTACGATCCGTATGATACACTTCGATGATATTTTAGGGATCCTCATTGTAACACATGTCAGTTCTACTAAGAGAAAACTCCTTAATCATTGGACTAGTGGCCTTCAACAAAGTTGCAAACAGATATATGCTTAATGTTAGGGCGGCTTCGATATTAGAGTAACATTACGTAGCAATACTATCTTAATGTATGGTCTCAAAAGGGGCAGTCCATAAGGGGGAAATAGCAATATAAAACAATGCCATTGCTTCTAAAAAACGTGAAGGTAATACAAGCTGTTTAATATAAACAAATTGCTTATTCTTGGGTGGATTCGCTGGTTTGTCTTTGCATAAGATATTTTCCTTTCTGAAACTGCGCAATATATAGCTTGCATTTTATGCCATCGCGCTTTCGTACCCATACCTAAAAGGAGAAAGTCTGCTGATGATGGCTGTGGCCACTTAGTTTATAGTGAGTCCAAGTGTAAAGAAATGCTGATAAAAAGGCTGCTGGTGGAAACCTCGAAAATTGACCTTAAGCACCATGTAAAAGCTGCATCTTTAGAGTTAATGTGTCCATTAAATTGCAGTATAAATCCAGAATTAAGCAGGTAGTTCTCATCGAATGACATTAAAGAGAAAGAACAAATTGGGAAATCGCTTTTTATATTGCAAGTCTTGAAAATCTAAATTGAAGTGAGGACAAATCTTACGTGTTGGTACACTTTGCTAAAATTTGGAATATTTTCAGTGACATCCCCCGTCTCATTGAAACAATGTTCAATAAGATCAGTTTCAGAGCTAAAAATTAATTCGATGCAGTTTCAATTGTTCACGTAATTGGCTCTTTAATAAAAATGTCTTTGGGGTGGAGGGGGTTCTCTGTACGTTTTTGCAGGAAACGCTTAATTTTCACCAACGTTTCATTAACTGCAGGATAATGCAGGGACTTCCGGGTAGAATGGCTGTCTTTTTATCCGTATAAGCTCTCAACAAAATACATTGAAAAAACATTGAACATCACAAACGTGATTGAGTTTAAATGTCAAATAAAAAGTACTTACCTCTCCAGTGTTAATTGTCGCGATGGTTGCTCTAAAGAGATTAAATTTTAATAAGTAATAAGCAATTGCCACTTGGCAATTATGCACTGTGGAAAATTGATCACATTTTCCTGCGACTTTCTAGACACGCTAAAGTGATTGGAGATGGGGGCAATAGTACTTTGACGTTGTTAAATGTAAGACCATATTCTTCGGTGATAACAATATATTGATGTGAATACAATTTCGAAAGATAAATAATAAAAGAGTGGCTCCCTGCAATTGCCCCTACAAGAAGTGCTTATTTTGTATTGTTTTCCAAGCAGAAATTCTTTAAAGTGTGTATAGAGGTACGTGTGTATAGTTACATAAGCCTTTGCAGTTGAATTCGTTTGGTAAATCGGTTTCAAAAACACCACGACAGCGCCCGGGGGTGACTCCAATACGCAGAAGAAGGGGGTATGTCATTTTGAAAAATGAAAACATGCCCTAAAATTTATAAATTTTCCAAACTCCCTAACCCAAAATTTCGACACAATATGAAATGTATACCTTTAAATTTAATTCAAATCTGCAAAAATCCAATAAGACCAGCAGGTAAATAAAAATACATCACCTTTCTTTTAAAAATGATACCCCAAATTTAAGGTCATGCAAAAAATCAATCCGAAAATTTATGACCATGTTTGATTTTACTACTGCAAAAAGCTACCGCAAAAAATGGCACATGGGACGCTCTTTTAGCACTTATAATCTTTAGAGGGTGCTAAGCCAGGGAGAGGGTTCAGGTGGGAGCAGAGGGGGTTCAATTAGAGGAACGCAATAACATAACGCATTGTTTGCTTATTCTGCTGTTATGAATAATAAGGCTATTGAAAATGTTAAAATTCCCTAAAATAAATTTGAACGAACCTTTTTCTGATGATCTTTGGTAATCAAACAACTTTTGAAGTTTTTGCAGTTTTGCAGTTAAAAATACATTTTTAAGACTATAACTACTAGAATTCCAAAGACTGCACTTACTTAACAGGAGAATCGACTCGATTGTCAAGAATGACTTTGTCTCCTTTATGAAACCTAAAACAGAACATGGATTTCGAAAATAAAGAAACAAAAACTGACAGCCTATCTAATCTACTTATCACGTTATACATAATTACTTTAAAATTTATCTGAGTATTAGATAAAAAATATGTCCATGAGATAAAGAAAACATCTTTTACTCGTGGCTTATGCAACGTTGCCCCAATGACACAATGTCAAAACTAGAAAAAGCAAAGACATTGAAAGTCTACAATGTCCAAAAATGTTTTCTTTAATAGCTCCCAAAAATAAGTTGGATGTTGGAAAGGAAGACGAAAATTTGGCAAACATTTGATATACTGCTTCCGTTTCCAACTTCATTTGCCCTCATATTTTAGTCGAAATCCAATATTGTATAGTAGGAGGGAAGAAATTGAGAAGAAATGATCCAACACTTTTGGCTGGCATCATAGAAACCTCTAAGCTGTAATTTGTTGTTACTAGCTTGAGTTAACTGTTGTTACTCCTTACCAGCTACAATTTTGTTTGATTAAAAATTTGAAAGCTAAACAATCAGTAATCATAAGTTAAGTTTACCATTGTCCTTCGTAGTAAAATTTTCCGTCTTCATATTTCGCTTGAATAAGAGGATGCTTTTCTTCTAAAATAAAAGCTGTGCTGTTAATGAGGTATACCAGAAAGTATGGATCTGGGGTTGTAAATCTACATCGATGCCTAGGCCATTTCAGATTTCGAGAAAGAAAACAACGGGAAAACGTGGCATGAAGATACAGAAGTTTTAGTATTTGATAGTTCACTAGAACAAAACTTTCGTACAGAAAGAACAGTCTCGCCAAATGAATATCGCAAGAAACAATTGTTTTGACGATTTATCCATAATTTATCAAAATTACAACTCCAAACAACTGGTTTACGAGTAATTAAAAGAATGAATCTTTAGACCCTGATAAGCGAAGACACCTTGGCCGTACTTAAATCTAGAAAAGCAAAAATGAAAGGCCAGAATTCGGCAAAGAAACAAAGCGGAGTCGCATGCAAAACTGTCAAAAATCGCAACGTTTCCTCTGTCATCTTCTTGATTTATTAAAACCCTATGCCTGCCTCTAGCCCAGTCACAAATCCAAAGTCCTTCACCTTAAAATATTCCTGTCATGAAAAAAACTATTCAAATAACTTATTATGGACCAACATTCTCAAAGAGGACATTAAAGAAAGAGAGTTTCTTATCCCGAACTAACTATTCTGAACTTTCGCATTGTATCCTAACCCTGAAGTCAACACTGATTTTAAGCTCGACTTTCAGCCTGATTTCACAACGAATTTCACTTTGATTTTTATACTGATTTTCATCCTGATTTTCACCAAAATTTCAGCTTGAGTTTCACCCTAATTTGCAGCCTAGATACAGTGCTTTCTGTAGGTGACGAATAAAGAAAGAACATTGAGATGAAGATGGTTTGATACAAATTTTGAAAATGAGCATGAAAATGGTTTGCTGAAAGTAGACTTATACTTTATGCTAAAAATGCCAAGTATGTGAAAACGCTGAAACGTAACAAATGCTATGAGGTCTTTTGAAACGTAACAAAGACAAAGCCACTTGGGAATATCAAGTTTTGAACTAACAAAATTGATTAAGTGAAAACTTTCAAATACATAGGGGTGCTTCTTCACCAACAGATAAATCGAAAAGCATTTAACGGAAACATTTTATGGGATAATCCTTAATCTAAAGACATAAAAAGAACTTCACAATTTTTGTAGAAAAATTGCAGGCACTTGCTCAGATTTAGTCTAGATATGCACTCTTCGAATATCGCTTGGAAATTTAGTAACTAGCAAGTTATACATGTATTGGAAAGCTAACAGATTTATAAACAAAGCTCTGAAAATGAAAGAAACGTCATCGAAAGACCCTTTATTACAAGATTAATGATGGAAAATAAACACATTGCCATCATGGTGTTTAAATGTCTCAACGGGTGGTCCCTAATCATTTGACTTCCCCATTTACATGACGTCTCACATTACAGTGTTTTACATCATGCTAGCTTTCAGTACAATTTACTGTAAAAAATCGGTAATTAAAATAGATTACCCAATCAATCGCGTTATAATTAATCACTTTTTACGCGGAAAAGTACAGAATTACGAGAAAAAAACTACATAAGAACAAACCTTCGGTTTTTCGTCGTGCCAGTTCGCTTTTAGCCTTTAAAATAGAAAATGAGGAGCTCAAATTAGCAGAGCCAATATTGAAGCTAATTTAAATGTACTCCCATGGATACTAAATGTTCACACTAAGATGTGTACGGCAAATCCCCTTTAGAAACAAACAAGTTTGGAGTTCAAATGGAAATCCTGATAAAATAGAATCCGCATTCAGCTAGAATTAAAAAAACTTGTCTTACTTACTTTCCGAATTGCAGCCCAGTCTTCAAGAATATCCATTTCTCGGAGCATGTAAACAATATATGGTCCTAAAAGTGGATATAAAAATAAATATCAAGCTTATGCATTTTAATGCTCTTATATTAATGCGTAGTTAAAAATGTAATTGTAAAATTGTAATTCGCTGTAGTACTGTAAGCAGTTAAGGGCCATCTCGGCCTAGATACTTGAATTGGAAAAAAAATATATGAATTTAAATGATTTACTTGAAATACTGTTTAGCAGTTGCATCGATTTTTCCAATCAGATCAGAGTGACGAAGAACAATACGTTCATTAATCTTTACAAAGCCAAGGGACATATCTTCAATATTAAGTGCCAATTATTATCTAATAATTTTGTATTTATTTACCTATATTGTATTCATATCACAGAAAAAAATGGTAACAAACTTTATGCCGAATAGTAATAGAATTCTTAGCCAAGCTTGGTTGTACCATTAGTAAGGAGTGTGCGTGATGCAACGAGAAAAACCAATTGGACACACCCTTAAACGTGGCTTAAAGAGTGTTTCTACCAAAAGCTTTAGGTTACACATGAAAAACAGCTGAGAAAGAGATTTTTCGATATATTTGACAAAAATAAGATGTAAATGCTTGTCCAAAGGTCTTTTGGTCATAAAGGAATACAATAGTGGGTGTCAAAAATCAGAAGAAGAAAACAGCATTACTATAAACAACAATCTTTGATGCATAGTATTTTAACAGTGCCAACCTGATACGGTTACAGGTCGTTTTCGCTTCTCTGGTATAAACATTTCCATTCCTTTTTTACGTTTCCGGGCATAGATACTGTCATCTAGCCAAATATCTATGAGAAAATAAAGATTGCAATGTCCCAATCTACTATAAACAAGTGTTTACAACTCTGATAAAGGTGGATTGAAAATCGTATCTTCCTGCTTCAAAAAGATAAGCTAAAACTCTACAGCTTCGCAGCCCAAATAATCCATTCAAATGCATTGGAAGTGCTTCGAAACTTCTTGCAACTATACATCCCCAAACACCGGACATTTTTTCGTTGAGCTACTGACGACTTAAAAAATTAAATTATGGAGACAGAAATACAGTCAGGCATAGGGGTCCATTTTACAACAATTAATAGCGTATCAAATATACTGAAATTATAAGACAGCTTACATCCAGCCAAAACGAAAACCCAGTCATCCTAGATTTTGGTCATATAATAATCCACTGATCTTAAGCTATTCTACAAGTAGTATGATTGATTCTACAAGTAATTTGTGGTCGGTGTGATTGTCACAGAAAAAAAAGTAATATGATTGATAAATGGATTGAGTGATAAAGCTCCTTTGTAAGATTCAAACACGTTCCAAAAACGTCATCCCTCATTTGTACGAAAATTTGATTTGAGAACTTTTTTGGTGGTCTGCTGCGCTTTGCAAAATAAGCCATTCAAACTTAAAATTGTTGACTATCTTTTGCAAGTGGTTGAATAACTTGCTAGGCTGCAATTTTTTCACTGTTAGGACCTCCTATCATGATATATCGCAGTTCATATTATGAATTTGAAAGAAAACTTTCCCGCTCTTTTCCATCAACTGACCTGAATACATTTCTACAGTATGTCGATCTTCTTCAACCTTGCGAAGTCTCTCCTCTAACTCAGCTTTCATGTTTTCTAAAAGATTCCGCTTTTCGTTCTAAAATCATTAAATTAGAAAGAAATTATGATAGGGAGAAATGGGTTTCTGGAACTTAAAGTAATAATACAAAGAAACAGCTTGGGTAAAACATCAGTTGCTTCACCATTAGACAAGATTCCACATAAGATAAGACATTCACATAAAACCGTTTGTTGTATTAGGTTTTGGCTTCTATTGCATCATAGAAATGCAAACAAAGCGTCTTTTTTCATAAAAATTGATTTCTTTTTCACTTCCCAAAATCTCCACTTATAGCAATAGTACAAATGTGCCTTCTGCCATCTGTTTTAACTGTGAAAAATAACAGTATCGATTGAATAACAGAAAACCAAAAAAACTAATGATGAGTAGATACTAGGTTAGATGTGATGCATTTTAACCTGATGCAGCTTTCAGATAGCTTTTAACCATTATCTGAACAGATCATGACCAATATTATCTGGCTAATTGATATTCACGAGATACTTACCAAACAATATCTATAATGCCTAAATGATAAAGCTTTCAGTTGGATAATACTTTATGATAACGAACCATCATCATATTTTCATTAACGTAGCTTTATCCTAACTTTTTTATTACTTTGCTTAGTGATTCAAAGAAAATAAATTTCTGCGATCAACTGGGGTGGGGTGGGTGTCAAAACAATACAACTACTTTGAGAGACCAAGCAGACCATACTAGCTGACTGTGTGATTGAGAGACGATCTTTGCAAACCAAAATTACAGTTTTGACATGACAGTTCATAAAAATGACAGTCAAATACCCATACCTGAAAATGTTGGTCTAAAGCCTGCACTTCCGCTTTGAATTTATGATCCAAGGAAATCAACTATCAGATAGAAAATCAGAAGAATTGTACAGACATTGCAAATCATTCTTTATTTATTGCCAAAACAATGATAAAACTAAGCAGATTTATTTTGCAAAAATTACAGTTAGGTTGTTCGCATTTAAACTTTGATTGTTCATAAGGTTCTTCATCTAATCTGAGAATTAAAAAGAGATTTAAAAGCCAGGTATTTTACATATTATACTTGCAAGGTACCATTGTCAAGTTCAGATAAGCAGTCAACTAAAATGAATTATAGAACTACAGATTGACATCTTTCTATTAAAAAATGATGGCTAACAGAAGACTTATATTAGAAAAGTGTTCAAATGGATGTCAAATGATTTGCCCCAATATAGTGGCAGACACTAGAGGTGCAACAAAGTGCTGCGAAATATCAAGAAAAAATCTTACATACCCTGTACTCCTTAAGATGACCTACAAAATAAATTTATGAATCTAATTTCTGGTATCTAGATAGACAGTGAAAAGGGATAATTGAATATCTCAAATAAGTTACTCAAAAGAAGACTTTGCTTTTTTGCACTTTCAAAAAAGGGGACAATAGCCTCTTCAGTTTATCTATGAAATATCAATTTTCTGGCACTTTTGTGCAGTTGACTATAGGACCAAAATTTCAAGTCAAAACCATCCAGTTGAAAAAGTAATAAATGATAATAGAGCATCTATACACAGAGAAAAACTGCTTTGAAAAATTAACATGATATAATTGTTTGATAGTAGTGTAGCAATCAAAACATACTTTAAAGCTATTTACAATCTGTTACACTGATTATAATCAATAATCCCCAGTATATAAGAATATAAGGACAAAATTTGAATGGAATATATGCAGCTTTAAAGCAAAAATAGCATATTTTTATCAAAAATAGCATATTTCCAAAATGTCATTTGTATGAAGGATTCAAAATTTACCTGCAACTTCACTCCTTATTCTGGAAGAGTCCTCCAGCTCTTTCAATGGAATGACATACTCACTAGCTGTGTCTAAAAAATTTACAACTCTTAATTTTCAACTGATTCAATTTCAGATTCTTAGTTGATACTATGAAAATGTTATGTGTTTATGATTCTATTAGAAGTATTATAATACAGCTTTATAATTCTGAAAGTATTTTAGATAAAGCTTGAAACTTGAACTATTTACTCACTGGTTTGGACTTCAATCAGCTGGTTTTCAACTTGATTCACCTTCTCTTTGTATAGTCTAACAAAGAAATAAAGAATTATAAAACCAAAAATTATTTTTGTAATGGAATCAAAGAAATTTTGAGACAAGACCCGATTTGTTTACAATTAAAATAAAACTATTTAAAAAATTTGCAATCCAGAAAAAGTAAGAGCATGAATTTCTATCACTTGCAGGTGTAGATTAATTTTCTGATTGATCAGCATTCTACATAAATGTTCATCAATGAATAATGCTGCAATTAGAGATTCTCCGAACAAACAGTTGCCCTGCCCAGTTTTCTTGACAAATGATGCACTCTGGCTTTGGCCATATCAATGCTTCATGTTTAAGTCTATTGATTACTTTGCAAAATGTGAAGCTAAAACATTTTATTGTAGTGCGAGATTCATGACAAAACAAAACAAAGCTTTCAACATGAAACACATTTTAAGGCTGGTTTCAGTTAATTATTGACCAGGTAATGATGCAGGACAGGGCTGGTTGCCTGTCACTTTCCTTCCAAAAAGAGAAGACCTTTGCATTTTTGATCTTTGCATAACCTTAAATTCTAACCATGTGTAAAAAGTACTATTCAATAAGCAAGGGATTTATGATTATCCTGAAATTCTCCAAGCTCAGTGATAGATTGGGATTGTAATCACTGGCCTTCCTGAACAGTAAGTTCTTGTTGAAAGAAATAGAAATGACATATGATGGCTAAAAAGGTACTTGAGAATTTTGTTACAAGAAACTCACTGTTCTTTCAAATCAGAAAATTGCTTTTCAAGATCAAAAATGTCTTCTTTATATTTGAGTCTTCTGTTCTCTGTTTCCTCCTCATCCACTGAAATTGAGACAAATGCATCATTTTGAGGCACAGGGACTTTCAGGAAATTTTTAGAAAAAACTATCAACAATTCAGGATAATTATAAGAAATAGTTTGACTTGCACAAAGAATTCTGGCCTTGCAAATCAGGGCTAGTTTAGGAAAAGTTAACTAACAAGAAATTTTACACAAAATAAACATTTAAATGAGTAAAAAATAGTGACTCTGCCATCGAACAACACCTTTTGGACAAAACAGATTGTGCAAAACTTTATAATGACATCATGTTTCAGATAAATCGCAGATCCTAATGGTCTTTTCATCTAGCAGTTTTGGAATCAATCTACATACAAACAAAAAAGGCACCAATGTGTAGACAGAAGGAGTTTTTTCTCTCTTGGACTCCAGTGGTAACTTTTCTATAGACACATAGCACTGATTGGAAAATTCTGCTGGTCATGTGCTTGCATTTTTCTGATTGGCCTATTTCAATCCACAACTGGATATATATTTTCCGTTGTGTTCTTTTGGTCCCTTATTCTGACGTTTTATTCTCTGAGGAGTGTCGAGCAAAAAAATTTTCAGTAGTACATTGTGAAATGTTTGCTTTATTAAAGCCATTTTCAATTTCTGTACCACCAAAAGATTTTTCATTTTCACTTTTCTTAAAAAGTACAAATGAAAGGAGAATACAGCTAGTATAAGTCTTGTTTTAAAAAAAGAAATAACATCAAATTATGGGCTTTGACACAGGTTGGAAAGTGGGGGGGGGGGAGGGAGGGAGATTTTACAATAATAACAACAATTTTTAAAAGAGCTCTATTGTTTTGCAAAAAGTGGGGGACAATAGCCCCTTTTGCCCCCTCCTTTGTTGGAGGCCCTGAAAATGGAAAATAGCAGAATGTGACTATAGGTGCACTCAAGATAAAATAATTCCATCAAAAGCTGTTCTCATCAGTGACAGTTTTAGGGGGATCCAGGGGGGCCTGCACTTATGCCAAAAAGGGCCCCACAGGCCACACCTAAGAAAAAAGATAGAAATTGTAAAGAACAAGGGCCCTCAGCATGTTTTTGGCCCCAGGGACGCCTGCACAAGATTAGGGCAGGAGGGGCAGTGTTGGTGCCGAAGGCAAATCATTGAATTTTTCTATTAACATAATTGCGCATTCCTAGGTGGGAGGGGGGGAGGGCAGGGTAATATAATAAAATATTAATTTGAATATGTGCCACCTATACAGCTGGATTTTTTAGCAACAAAGATTCTAAACATAAAGAAAATGTTGACGAAATTAACCATAAATGAAAATGGTTATCAAATGGCTTTGTCATTCACTATTCACAAGTTTTGATTTTATAAAAATCATAGCTGTTATAAATGGGCTGGTTGTAAAACTTTGACTGCCCGCTAAGTTTTTATACCGATTTATCCTCCTTAGGTTCCTGGAGTACTTCTGAGGGAACACATCTTTTGTTTATCATTTATTATCTTTGCCGCTCTCCCTATGTGGCCGACCTTGTCATAGACAAACTTTTCATTCTCTGCATTTTTGTGCTGGTGTTATCATCTTTCTAGTATTTTCTAATATATATTAACATAACGAGAGTAGTCAAAGTAGTCATCATATTTCAGGGCACTTATTGCCCCCTCTGCCCTTCTTCGAAGAGGGTAGGAGGGGCAGCCACCCCTCCAGCCCCCCTTGTGTAGGTGCCCCTGTTTGGCCCTGGGTGAGACAGTCCCTAAAACTACTGCTGGTCCTCATAACTATGTCATTTCTGACAAAACAAATAAAATTGGAATATAAAGTTGAATTTATACTCACTAGAATCACTTTCTGATTCAGACGAGCTTGACACTGATTCTTGTTCTTCTTCATCAGAATTTTCTCCTTTGCTTTCTTGCTTATCATTTGAAGGTTCTTCATCCTGGGCTTGACCTCTGGAATCCTCATCTAAGTCTTCTAGCTTTGGCAAATCTTCATTTTCAGTAATATTATTTTCTTGTTTTTCGTCTTTCACCTTTGAGTCATGTTCGACCTCAACGTCTTCATTACCACTTTCTGATCCACCTGTCATATCTGCAATCGCCAGCACAATGTCTGAACTTCTAACAATTAAATTTGTATACGGATTGAAAGACAGGGGGACTTAAACATGACTAAATGATATTAAATATAAAAAAATACATATAATCCCACTACATAAGTCAACCGAAAAAAACACCTGGGCCTAAAGGCAAACGATTCTTGGACATCACGAGTATGTGATATAGGTACACAATCGTTTATTTATGCAAAATGTTTTGATAAAAAATGTAAGATCCTTCTGCCAACAGACTGGCTGTTTATAAATAATTGGTACTAAATAAGTTCAATTTACAACACACATGCCTAGATTGTTTAGATTATATTATATGGACGGCAGGCAGGCAGTGATGGCATTCACCAAGACTTCAGTCCATTACACTTGTTTTGTCTTTCTTTCCAAAGTTTTACTCTAATACATTCTCATTCCAAAGCTTTCTCGCGA